GATGTGCGGCAATGTGGCATGCAGGGCGTGTTTGACCCATGGTGGATTCACGAATATTGCAACTGAACAAGAACATCCCTGCAACAAAGCTAGGGTTTGTGGTTGATGTACCAAAGCCAATATTTCGGAAATCCGCCGAAACAACACCCCAACACCACGTGCCCCGTTCCAGGGACGCCCTAACATCCAAAGATCTCCCACTTGAGCGACTCTATAAACCTCCCATGAATACCTATGTCGTATCAAGTTGCTTACGCGCGAGCTTGCGCTTTCCTTACGCGATCCATGTTTTAGCTTACGCGGCAGTCAGTGAGCATGTTAAGCTTACGCATCGCTTACGCGTCGGCGTTTTGAGCGTTTCCCCTCAAGAATTGCTTACGCGGGCTCCTTGTCTCATGCAGCCGCCAGAACTGTTCAAGATGACGTGGACGACTCTGAGGAAGAAGATAACGAAGAGCTACCCTCACGAGTTTCAGCGGCTTGGCGTTGTTGTTCTTAGGTCAAGAAACATATTATTGGGTGGCGGCATCCGTCGCGAGGGCTAGCGGGCAGCCGAGCTAGGCGAGCTTACGCAAACCTTACGCGCCTGCTTACGCGAGCTTACGCGCCCAAGCCCCTTTAGTTTCCTTAAATCAGTGGTTACAGAAGCCTGTTTGTTCCAGTAAAGGGTTGCAACAGCACCTAGCATGAGCCCCAAGAGCTCTCAACCAAAGCTCTGCTGTTGCTTTCTAACGGCGCGCACATGCGGTCTTAGACGTCTTCCTGCAGCCAAAGTCTCCGAGCAAGTTGCCAAGATCGGCTAGGTTGCAAAAGCACAAGCCACGAATAAACACATGGGCGAAACAACTCTTCCGAGCATGCTTACAAAGCCTACCAAGCAATCACGAAGGAGAGCTTACGCAGGTGCTTACGCAGCATGTCTTCCCAAAAACTGCTTACGCCGGCTTACGCCGTGCAGGGTTTTGCTTACGCGGGGCCCTGTTATGACACAACTCTTGCTTGGGATGTAACGGGGGGTTTTTAGAGCTGCTCACTTGTTTGCACCGGCGATCTTCGTGCAGGGGCGGAATGTGGGGTGTACGGACTGGACTTGTTGGGAACACTTTGATTGGGTGCGTTCCTGGACCCTCGCGCCGCCCGAGAACTTTGGGGCAATGACCCATTTCTTCTTAGTTTGAGGGTCCTGGTTGACGGATTGTAGAGGAGATGGCACAAGGGAAAACTATTTGGTGCCACTGAGCAAGTGTATCCTTCTAGCGGCTCGAATCATGTTGACCTTCAAGAATCTTTTAAGGCCGGAGGTCCGCACCGCGGAATTTCTGGCTGGGACTGCCCAACCCAAATCCTATGGCCTTGATATCGTGGCGCCCTGAAAGCGACACGGCTGCGTGGCCCTCAGCAAAGTGTTTTTTGGGCCCTCAGAAACGGAGCGTTGCCGAACCTCCAATGCCCATGGGGGTTAGCTCACCACCCACAGGCGAAGGAAAGACTCACTGGTTGCTGTTGTTGGCGGATTCCTTGATATACCACCGGCGAAGTGAAAATGCCTCCTTCAAATGTCTTGGGTCTTGGCCTGGGCTCAAATGGGAAGGAGTTGCTTCTCGGAATGGATTTCGGACCCCTTTTCTTGCTGGTGCTCAGTGGGGGCTATGAACCCCGGGGGTTCCCTTTCAAGAAAATCACAAGGCTTTGATTTGTAAGGCTCATTCCCTCCCCTCATTCCCTGCCGATTGAGCACCAATTTCTCCTTAGACGGGAAACCAAAATGCCAGCGTTGCCTAGGTCCTGTGAGCTTAGAATAAGTTGGTACCAACTTTTTCCTGTCGAGTTTCGTAGGGGCACCGAACCCTCCCCCCTAAAAAAGAAACGGCCAAAGAAACGGCGCCTAGCTGCGAGACCTCGAAGCGGTGCTGTTAGAAACCGAGTCCTTTGAGCACCTCCCCCACCCGCCCACCACCCACACCGTCCCAGTCAGCCCAGTTCAGCCCAGTTCAGCCCAGTTCAGCCCAGGCGGCTGTAGAGCCCTCCGTACATGGCGTTGATCTCCTGCGCCAGGCCCATGGCGATGATATCGCTGGCCTGACTGTGACTGACTCTCTGACGCGAGCGCGAGCGGAGCGCGAGCCATGGGCCCAACCAAAGGACCGCCCCAAGCCAAGGGGGTACCTCTTTCCAGACACACCCAAAGCCATCTCTCCGCCTTCAAACCACTCCTAGGTCCAGATTGGAGAGCTTAGAATGGATACCCGACTTTTTTTTCTTCTTGAAGAACGTCCTCCCCAAAAAAAGGTAAAAGGGGGCCTAGCTGGGGGACCTAGGAAAAACCACCCGAAGCCCTTCTTCCGGCACCCCAACTCACCGAATCTATGTGCTTATTGCTCACTCAAAGCATCACTCAAAACGCCGAAAACAAAATGGCACCTCTGGTTTTGGGAGGAAGCCCTGTTCTGTTCGTTGCTCTCACCGCAGTGAGGTCGCCCAAAGAAACTGCCTGAAGTCCAAGAACTGAGGAAAAGAGACCACCCTAACTAACCAGGGGCAGGAGTATTGCTCAGGAATCAAAGTTTGCGAGGAACACATATTTATGACCGGCACTCCCCTACAAGTTTTAACATGGAACGCCAACAAACTTTCCCCGACAGGAGTAACAACTTTAGCGAAATCTTATCGCGAAGATGTACGTTCCAAATGCACTGGACCAATGGAGAACTTTCACTCCGATTGAAAATACTTCTTTTTCCGTGCCCAATCAGTAGTTGGAGCCTTGTACTTGGTGCTTGGACCTCCATAAGCCCAGGGACTTATGTATAAAGCCTCCTGACCGCGATTTCGCAACCGCTCCTTGAACAGAATCGATCGATTGGAAATTGGACCCGGCTAAGATTTGGAGTCTCCGGCAAAGTGTTGCCCCCGGTTTGACGCCACCTTCTGTGGCCCCCCCGTTCCTAGCTTTGGTAGTTCGCGAGACATAACATCGCTGTCCCTTTTCAAAGGGGGACCTAAAAGCCGCGCTGCCACTAGATGAAGTGACCTTGCTTTCTGCTCCCCTGCTAAAGGTTGAAGCCTTTTAGTGGTTTTATACGGAAAACCGTTTCATTCGTTGGCCAAAAAGTTGTTCAGTCCTAACGTCCCTTGGCAAAATGCGAAGAAAAGGGGGACCTCCTTCAGCTCCGCCCTCGAAGGGAAGATTTGCACCGATCCAACTTCCATTCGCCAGGGCGCATCTAGGGAGTCGAAGTGAGCAGCCACAGCCTCAATCGCCATTCGCTCTCGCGGATCTGAAGATCTGAAGGCGAAGCTCCAAGAAGCCAATGACCCTCCACTCACGCAAGCGAGACAAACAACACCGAGGGCTCCTTGCGTGAAGAAAAGCGAAAGAACTCAATGGTCCAGATCCCAAGCAGAAAGTCGAAGCACTTGGGGAGGATAGACAGTTGGTCAGGAGAACCGTTTCCTGGCCAAGCTGTGGATTGGTCAGTTGAGAGGTGAAACTCAATTTTCAAGCAGCCTCCAACCACCTGTCCGTTTAGGCCGAGCATTTGGGGCTTATTGGAGGATCCCAACTTGCGTCAAGGGTATATCATTGGTAGATTCTTTGGGTACCATCTTGGTTGACGTTGGAAAAAATAACTTGAAGCAGTTAAGTGGATTCGGATTTCAACCACTAAACCACAAGAAGCAAAATGGTTCAACGTTTCCCAACAACCATGTTTTGGGATTGCAAATTGGAAAGCAACCGGACACCGGTTGAATCACTCCGAGGGTCTCAAAAAGCAGACAAGCCGACAAGCCAAGCCGACAAGCCGATGTCCCCGCCTTTCCTTTCGGGGCGGTGTGTGTGTGTGTGTGCCTGTGTGCCTGTGTGCCTGTGTGCCTGTGTGTCTGTGTGCCTGTGTGTGTGTGTGTGCCTGTGTGCCTGTGTGCCTGTGTGCCTGTGTGTCTGTGTGCCTGTGTGTGTGTGTGTGCCTGTGTGTGTGTGTGCCTGTGTGCCTGTGTGCCTGTGTGCCTGTGTGTCTGTGTGTCTGTGTGCCTGTGTGTCTGTGTGCCTGTGTGTGTGTGTGTCTGTGTGTCTGTGTGTCTGTGTGTCTGTGTGTGTGTGTGTGCCTGTGTGCCTGTGTGCCTGTGTGCCTGTGTGCCTGTGTGCCTGTGTGTCTGTGTGTCTGTGTGTCTGTGCGTCTGTGTGTCTGTGTGTCTGTGTGTCTGTGTGTCTGTGTGTCTGTGTGTCTGTGTGTCTGTGTGTCTGTGTGTCTGTGTGTCTGTGTGTCTGTGTGTCTGTGTGTCTGTGTGTCTGTGTGTCTGTGTGTCTGTGTGTCTGTGTGTCTGTGTGTCTGTGTGTCTGTGTGTCTGTGTGTCTGTGTGTCTGTGTGTGTGTGTGTTTCCCCCCCCCCCCCAAGAAACCAAAGACCCCCCGCCGCGCCCATTTCAGGAAAACACCCTTGCTTTGAGACAGGGCAAAAAGGAGACTAGTCAACCTACACCCTCAAACCATCCGTAAACAACATGCTGTTTAGGGCAAGCTACCCCATGTTTATATGGATAGTTTGAGGGTCCACAAAGTCTGTCAAAGGTTTCTCCCACCGCCAAGTCACATTGTTGAAAATCAGGCTGAAGACGAAGACCTAAGCGACAAATCAGCACGTGGGCCATGAGCTAGTGCCGCCCCGCCCCTCCGCCCCCACGAAACAAAAAACAACACATGTGGGTGTGTCCGTAAGGGAACCAACAACCAACAAATGAATTTCGGTGTTCCGTGCCTAGCCTCAAAACAAGACGAGCCACCCATGCTTTTCTCCCAACTTCCAATGGACAACACTCGGCATGTCAGTCTGATGGGCATCCTTGACATCGGGGCCTGGAAATCGCGTTCGCGCCACGTCCGCGAAGCGAAATGCGAAGAGAGCCCAGCCGACGTAGTTAGCTTCCCCTCTCGGTTTGCATTTCGGTTGAGAGTGTCTCCAGCCAATTCCTTGGAAAGAGTTCGAGCGGTTTGGGCACCTCTACGCTTGGCTGGAATTAGGACACCAGCAAAAAACAAAAAGTTGCCTGGTTAGAGGAAAACACATGAGACCCCCGTGTTTTTTTTTTTTTTTTTTGTTTTAAACGAAAGGGGAGCGAGGTCTGGGGAAGTACAGAAGTCTTCAGATGGCTCATGTCACATTTGTTTCACACGTTCCGCAGCTCAAGGGCCCGCGACCGGAAAGCAACAAAAATGAAGCGACAGCGCAGCTTAGCACATGGTTTTCTTTTTTGGAAAATAGATGGGTTTCCCTGGTAGATGATTGAATCACCAGGTATTCCACGGCGTTCTATTTTTTGAGCAACACAACCAAAAGGAACACCTATAGCTTTGCGTTTGCCTCTTGGCCCTGCTTCTTGGCTGAAAAAAATCAAGCAATCGCCGCCTCAAACAAAACGGAAACATGGACATAATCAAAACATGCGGGAATCTATCGCAGTTTGCTGTTGTCGACGGTCTCACCGATTCAAACCAAGCAGGGCTAACCTTTGCGCTCTTTTACATTTGGCTGTGGCTCAAATAGATGTACCAAAATGGCCCCGTTGGTACATGGAACCAAAGACTAAAACCTGCGTAACCCTAGCTCTTGAATTTTGAGCCACACCCATTTGACTTTTTGAGTCAACACCATGCCGAACAAAGGATGGAGAAACTGCACTCCACTGCCAGCCCCCCCCCCCCCCCAACTTGCCTCTGCCGAATTTTTCATGTCCAAAAGAATCCCAACTGTCCCAAAAGAAGTGGCCATGGGTCAAAATCCCGTACCGTGAACATCCCAAATCCCCACCAAAATAAGCTTTGAAAATGGGTGGTGAATTCACCCACCAACCCAAAATGGGATCCCAAAACGGTGTTGACCACCACCGCCAAATAGCTTGGGAAACTCGGCTCCGCCATTTTTTTTTGCTCTCCGCCGGCTGGGCGGGGTCCAACTCCGCTCGCCGGTCTTTCGGCGGGGCGGAAATCTTCGGCCGAGCCGCGATGAGGAGCACCACTTGCAAGGCCCAGAGCAGGTCGGCGAAGGAGTTCAGCATCGCGAAGATCATGGTCCCTGCGGCTCGGGAATCAGTCGGGAGTCCGAGCGAGTCCGTTTGCTTAAGTCGCCAACGGAAGAACCAAGCAAACATATATCCAGTGATACGAATTCCCTTTTAAAAATCAACAGGGGAAATAGAGCATACTCTTAAGCAAATGGAAGATACCCATGCAGTAGTCTAGTGCTACCCTCCCCATTCTGAATCCAGGGATCCTTCTTTCTAGAAAACCTCCGAAAACCCAGGGAAACGGCCGGTTGTCGAAAAGAACGATGGTTGGAAAGAATGAGGAATCAACCCTTAGAAGTAGTGATAAACTCCCTTTAACACCAACAGGGAAAAAACATATTCTTAAGCCAATATTAATGGAAGGAGTTGGTCGCTTCTCTCTTGCTTGAAAAGAACCCCTTCCGGACCCCCCCCCCAACACTGCTGTTTGGACAGTACTTGACATTTTGGACATTGCACAAAGCCGTTGTTGGGGGGTGTTGGTCTTGCTTTTTTTTTTCTCTTCCTTTTTTGTTTTTCTCCATGTTTGTTTTCGGGCAAGCCAAAAGGAGAACTGCGACTCATGTGTTTTTTCTTCCCCGTGGGGGGGGGGGGCTCAGTTTTTCAAAACCACGCCTTTGGTGTAATTCAATATGAAACCGAAACCAACATTTGAGTGTCTTCAAATAGGATATGGATCCTCCCACCAAGAAAGGGCTTTGGCATTCCTCTGGTTTTCCTTTACAACCACCCCAAAACGTGTACCAGCTAAGAACCGACACGCCCATTTCTTTAAACAGATGATGGTTGCTGTCCCCTTCGGCAATTGCCATGAGGGCTCTTCCGTTGCCAAAGCCAACCTCGAGTAGGTAACCTGGTTCAGGCAGCTAAACCAATGCCCCCCCCTTTTTAACACCAAGCAACAAAAAAACATCCCTGAAAAAACAAGAGGGGCAACCTGCTTTCAGCAAATCTGTTGGGGAAGGGGTCGACTGCTTGAGCTCAGCACTTGGCTTCTCTGAAGGGTTAAACGCTTCCAGCGTATCCTCCCTGGAAGGAAGTGGACCCATGGACGGTTTCAAGCCTTCGTTTCCATGATTCACAGACCCCGCGGCTACCATCCAAAAACACATCCGTGGATGCTCTTGATTTCTCCGTGGATGCCAATGAACCATGAAGCCACAAAACACAAACTGCGCTGTCCTTGTTCCATCCCTGAATTGTGCAAAGGGAAACCAGTGTTCTGAGTTATGTGGTTACTTGGTTGCTTTCTGCTCCCCCACTGAAAGTTTAACTTTTAGTGGTTTAATGGAAAACCCATTAGTTGGCAAAAAGTTGTTCAGTCCTAACATCCCTTGGCAAAATGCACCAAAGCTGAGTGATATGTCGTCATGTCCGCGCAAAAATGGCTCTCTGCATCCAAGGCACGCAGCTTGCGCAGCGCCTAGGCAGGCCAGGGGCCAATCAAAAGACTACAAGGAAACCGGTGAAACACACCTGAGTAGACTACCAAAAAACTACAAGGATTCCTGCTAGTCAATTCTCTTGGACTCCTGAGTCCGCCCTCTATATGCCAAACCTCCGATTGCAAGACTTGACTCAGGGGCTGCCTGTCCTGGCCAAGTTTCTCCGCGGTCCCAACAGCTGCATGTTGCTCCCTCTGGGATGCTGTCCTCATGCTAGGGCCTCTAGTAGAGAGGTTAGAATACGGGTACCAACTTTCTTCTGAATCGTCTATTTTAGTAGGGGAACCCTCCCCAATAAAGAAATGGTAAACGGGCACCTAGCTGGGGGACCTAGGTTTGGACGCGCCAAAAAACCGCCTCATCACCTGATAGCTGGCGTAGAAGCTGGCCAACTTGTTTCCTTGAACGCCTCTCAGAAGCCACAAATGGGTGTGTCATTTTTGAGGATGACCCCTTGTGGAGTGGTTTTGAAGGGAAACCAAAAGGAAGCCTATCTTCTGTTTTTTTTTTGGGGGGGGGGTGGGTGGGTGAGGGTTTCCCCTATTTTAAGACCCACCATGCACCAAAGAGCCAGCTTGCTTTGGACGCACTCGAGGTAACCCGGCCCGGCCAAGTTGGTTGTGGGGGGAGGTACGGGCCACCCTCCGAAAAAGGGTTGTATGATTCTTGGCTGATGTTGCCCCCTCTGCAAAAAATATTAACTTTTTGTGGGTTGAATGGAAAGCCCCTTGATTTCCCGAAAAGTTACAGTCTAAAAATCCAACCCAATAGTCAAGGAATCTGGGATCAACACTCCCTGAGACTCACCTGGGAGCTCCCAGGTTCGAAAGGGCTGGGAGCTTCCACGTTGGGAGGGTAAGAAGTTCGGAACAAAACGAAAAGCTTCGGCAGCTCGTTTCGACCTCCGTGAGACCTGCCAAATTCGGCGGATTGCCGAGACGCTCTTGTCTTAAATCCCCCTGATTTCCCGAAATGAGCTCCTTACTTGAAGCCCGATTGAAAGCTTCTTCGGGAAACAGGAGGGATTGGGTTCGGGGTTGGAAGATTCTATTGAAAAACGGGACTGGCTTCCAACAGTTATGACACCAAACACTGGTTTTGGCAGTGGGATGGGTCACCAGAACCTGAAATGTCCATTTAAGCCGATTCAATGTTTGTCGGAGTCCAAAAAAGTCCGCCGAGTTCAATCCACAAGATGCAGGATTGCAAGTCGGCTGCGTTTTGAGACCATCTTCGGACGGCCATTTCATCTCATGTCCAACCAGGTCGAATTCTCAAAAGGACACTCCACCCCTCTCCCATCCCGAATCCCCCCCATCACCACCAAAGCCCCGGCCGACGACCCGCCTGAACGGTTCGCACCAGCCGCACGATCCGCACCAGCCGAAAGACCCGCAAGATCCGCAGAAAAGCCAAGCTCGCCGGCACGTCCCAGGCCAGCGACACCAAACTCTCCTTCAGACGCGCAACGATCCCAAGAAAGACCTTGGAACGCCTTCAACTCCCATTAAAAGAACTGGTTGACCCAATTTGGATGATGAAACTCCTTTGGCACAATCATGGTGGCTATATTGACCCCCTTTGTTTTAATGGTGGTTTGAAGCCAGCCTGGGTTTCAGTTCTGTGGATTCAGCGCTTCGAACCAAAGACCCGGTCACCCGAGCAGCCTTGGACACAAATCTCGCTTTGGCCCCTTTGGTTGGGAGGCACATCGAATCAAACGCAAGCGAGCGACACCCAAAGAGCCACCATGGTCGACGGATGGGTCTTTGGGCCCCTCGCGCAAGTCGGTTGGGGAATAGAACACCAGGCATCGGACCTTCCAGGCACCACGAGATAGTCATCTGCCAGAGCCTCTGTTTTTTTCAGCATCCGCCTGAGAGCCCGACAATCCTAGCAAAGGGGTCCTTGTATGTCAAGCATCATCCAGGCAAGTCAGGCTCGAAGGCCGCAAAAAAAAAAAAAAAACGCTCAGCAGTGTGGATGGGCAAAACCCGATATAACCCCTTTTGCAGCATGTCAATGCATCTTTGAGTATGCCCCCTAAAAGGATACTGAGCCTTTAACTGGCGCGAGCGGGATCTTTGCATTCTGGCCGCCGAGACCAAGAAGAAGTCCAACGCGTTCCAGAACTTCTCATCACCTGAGTCGCAATCAAAACCTGGTACTAAAATGGTCTACCCAGAACCATGTACAGGATTAAGAAGGCGGCCGCAGCTATTTATGGTTAGGATCGTCCCTTACTAACCTTCATCTACCCGGGTTTTGATTGTGGCTCACCTCCACTTGCGGTCCATTCAACTCCCCCCGACAAGCTGGGCATCTTCCGCTTGCTTGAGTCCTGAACAAAGCATCAAAGTTAGTGATACATTCGCCTTGAAGCCGACTGGGAAAGATTGAAACAAACACATATTCTTAAGTAAATGGAAGGTACGTGTCAACATATGGGTGTGTTTTTGGTACCCTTTTCGGGTAAGTTCTAAGGGAAACCAAAGTCAAAACCACCATTTTGACAGCCCCCCTATTCTTACACATACCCATAGGGCATAGGGGGACCCCCCCATGATGGTTTTCCGTTTCCTCCTAAATCAACCCAACCCAACCCCTCCACAAGACAATTTCAGGTGGAGGATGAAAGTATGGCACATTGACTGATTATAGTCTAGATCCCCCAGCAGAGAGGTTAGAATAAGGGTACCCTTGTTCTGTAGTCTATTTGAGTAGGGGAACCTCCCCCCAAAAAGGAGAGAGAAGGACCTAGCAGCCATCCCAACCTACGTTCAGCCAGAACTTGAGGAATGGCCACGATTGTCCGATCTTGTGGGGGGCGTCTCAACTTCTGGGCCAAAAGTGCGGGGTTTGGCCACTCTCAAAAAGGGTGTGCCACGGTGCAACCAACCAGGTGCTAAATGACAGGGCTCCCTATGTTTCCCCTTAAAACATCACCCCTCACCAAGGGACACTCTCCTTTCATGGGCCAAAAAGGTGATGTTTAAAACCACCAAAGAGGGTATATAGGGAACCCTGAATGACCAAGCGAGATCAGATGCAACCATTGCAGACCCAGACCACACTCCCCTAAGGGTTGTGACCACAGGTTTGATGACAATTGCCACCTGGTAAACTGGTGGAAGGGCCAAATAACCGCACGCCAGGTCATTTGGGTGTCTTTTTCAGAGCCCTCCCTCCCCCCCCAAAAAAAACAACAACAAGCCCACATGTGTTTTTGTTTGGTGGTCCTTCAACAAGCCACAAGGGGGTAGCCTCCACAAAAGACCCCGTGTGTCATGTTTCGTCTTTCGCCGGCGAGGCGCCGGTGAGGAACTCCAGCTTCTCCGCCAAGGCTCGGATGAAGAGCTCCAGAGTGAACCAAGCTGGCGGGAGAAAACGCGGTCGGTGCAGCTTGGGTCGAGTGGCCAAGCTAGCTGCTTTGGCTCCTCCAGTAGAGTGGTTACAATAAGGCTACCCCGAAGTTCTTGTTGATTGTTTTTTTCCCGTAGTCTATGTTAGTAGGGTAACCCTCCCAACCAAAAAAGGGGAGAGAAGGGCACTACTGGGGGACCTAGTGGTAGGTTCTTGGTAGCCTGTTCGGTTACAACCCCTTATGATAGTCCCCCAAGCGGAACAAACCCCTTAAATAGCGGGTTGGCGAAGCACTGACTAACTTGGCCGAACAGCCAAGTGGCCTTTCACCTCAGGGCTGTGGGAGTCATTTCCCCTTCTCCAACAGAAAAGGCTTAAAGACCTTTGCCCCCCCTTTTACAGGGGGAGACTTCCCCGAAAGATATCACAGTGGTTGGATAATCCCCGAGTGATGCTGACAACCCTCAACTGCGTGTCTTGTGTCCATTGGGTATAGGGACGTCATTGAAACTCGCCTAGTCCCAGCGGCGCCGAAGCCTTACCCCTGCCATCGGCAAAACAAATTATGGGTATGGGCTAAACTAAATAAAGTCAAAGTTTGGACTTTACGATAGGAATTTATGGCTATCAATTTCACATTATGGCTATTCCCTTTGAACTCACTTGGTATGGGTCCAATTTAAAAGCACCAGGGGACGGCAGGTCTTGGCCCTTTCCAGTTAACAGGGTTCCATTTTGGGCAAATATTTTTTGACAGCAGACTTGTCCCCCACTCAGGTTAGGGTTTTCCAGCAGAACAACTCATGAGCTCAGGGAGTGACACGATCCTCACCTGCCCAAAGGACCTGAAACAAAAGGTGAGTGAAATGCTTGTTGCAATCACCAGGGTTGGTGCGACATGTGCCAGGCTGAAACCAGCAAAGTGGTTCCACCACCTGTTGTTTTTTCCGCCCTTCTTCTTTCCGCGGAGCTAGCTAGCTTAAACGCAACTCCTTCTATGCAAATCGGATTGAACCCAATTTTTCCGGCCCCGAACATGTCTTTCGACTGAAGCGGATGTGTGCTTTTGCAGAGTGCCCTCCAAAAAATAGGCTTTGGTTTTCCCTTCTGGTTTACCTTTAACACCGCCAAACATGGGGTACCCTTAAAAAAGAGACCTGACTTCATGTTCTTGTTTGGTTTCGTGCCAACCAGGACCCAGGACTTCCCCTTGCCAGGCCCAACCTTCAACATGGGTTGCCCAAAAAGGGGGGCGAGGGTCCCAACGAACCGATGCTGCAACAAGGGGCGATTTTCGGTTGGGTCCGTGTGAATGTCTAGGAGTGTTAGCAACCTGGGAGTGTTAGTAACCTGGGAGTGTTAGTAACCTGTGCCGACATGTGCTGATTTTTCTATTGCCAAGTCACCCCAAGGTCTTGGGACAACCATGCCGGCAATCGGAGGCAACCAAGGACATTACATTTGGGCAGCCGGCTCGCTTCGTGGGGAGGCGGGGTTGGCCTGTTTGGCCTGCTTTCAGGTAGGTTTCGGAAGGGAAATCGTCTGTGGGCTTGGTTGGGAGCCACGGCAAAGCGACTTGCCGGAAATTGAGATACCCTCTTTGAAAGGTGACCCATGAGATATCATGCTGCTCTTAAACCATCCACAGGTCCCATCACAACTTGACGCATACCCAGTAGCTCCCGCCTCTCATGTTCAAAATCCAAAGGTAGTGACAGGTAGTGTCCGAAAGCATCCGAAGGGGTTTGAACAGTCCGAGTGCTGATAAAGCAGGGCAAGAATTTCACACTTGAGGTGCTTTGCTCAGATCCTTGCATTGGTTGACCAACACCAGTACGGATTTTTTGCTTGCCGCTCAAACATATTTTCCCCGCCAGATGGATGTGTCTTTTTGAGGGTCCAAAAAAGCCGATCTGGTGTAAGTTGCTTTAAAGAAAGGCAGAGTCGATTGTGCGATTGAATAGAAAACAAAAGGCGAGTCATTGTTTGTGTTCCTCTCTTTGATCGTCTGTGTGGTTGCTTGTTTAGTCCTTCAGCAAGGGTTTGGAGGCTTGATAAGCCTCAGGCCTTACAACAGAGCTAGTCTCACTCGCTTGATGCACCAGTCACCAGAGCTTTGACGCCAGGTTAAAACCAACTTTGAGAGGCTGCCTAATGTTAACCCTGGATTGATCAACCCCTGTTTATTAATATGGGGGTGGGGGCCCCTCCAAAAGTGGTCTGATTCCCCACATTTCACTGGAGCCAGCGACACCCTATGAGTAAACAGGGGTTCATTATTCCGGGGTCAACATCATAGAAGGACCAAGGTGAAACCTACCAATTCGTGTCCCATCGTTCCGGAAACACCCACCATCGGATCTGTGTGCCAAGATGCCGGCAAACGCCTCAAGCGCGACTGGCCGGCCGTTTCTATCCGCGTGCCAAAATTGGACCAGTCCCGTGCTGCCCTTGAAAGTGCACGTTTCTGGGGCCACTTCAGGAGACAACACAAATTGCACCCATTCACCAAAATTTGAGGCAAACAAAGTAAAAAATCGAATTAGACAAACATAGCAAACAACACACCGAGGCTGAAGAACCAGGCCTTGTGAATTTTGAAGAGGTGGGTGTGTCCTTGGTGGTTCCACTATAAACACCTTCTACAAGGGGTTCTGTGTGTGGGAAAGACCCTCACAAGGTTCCTAAATGGTCTGATCTTAAAACGGAAAGCAAGCCGCACCGGCAGATACTCAAACAAATTAGAGGGGCACCTTCTCTGTTCTTACTGGGGATCTTTCTGCTGCTGAAAATCTCAAAAAAGCTGTGGGGAATGGCTCCTGAGTAAAAAAAAACAGATGGTTGAACGCGGGAGTCACGCCACCAAACGGAACTGGAGCTGGAGTCCTGTGTGTTTTCAAAACACCTCCTGGGTTCATTTCCTTAAGCAGTGTCTGAGTGTTTCAATTCTAATTCCACCACCACGAGGTTTCCTGTAAAGTTCAAGGACTAAAGCTGCTTGGCGTTCCAATTGCTTCCCCTTGCGTCTGAAAAGAGACAGTTCAGCTGGCCATTTTATGGGGGAAATCACCGGACTGCAGGATGGAGATCTCGCTGCTTGATTCACAGTTGGTCTGATCTTCGACGGACCCGGATTGTTTTTGGGGGAAAGGTGACCCAAAGAATCCATCGGGTACATGAGTCCAGTTAAAAATATTCACTTCCTGAGTGGATTGCGGAAAAAGGCTGAACTTGTTGCTTACCACCGGACCAATTAATCTGGCCCTCCTCAAACCTATGTAGGCTTCAGGTGAACCCCCAAACTCCTTTGTTGCAAGGTTTTAGGGGAAATCTTGGGATTTTTGTTTCGAACCCATGTTCAAAAGGGGCTGACCTCTAACCCACAAAAACCGGAGGGGTTGGGTTGTCCGCAAACGGAGGGCTCAAGAGCCCCGCTTCAAAGCAAAGGAATGGAGTCGGAAGGTGACCATCGCCTATGCTATAAGACGTATCAAACTTTTGCCACAAGCCAATGCACGAATCAAAATCAACCAGCGGAGTACAATCTGTCCAGCAGTCTTGGAAGAAATGGAGGGGTCACTCTGAGTTTGGCTTTTCTTTCTTTTTTCTTTTTTAAACTATAGGACCCTGTAGTGGACATCATCATTGGGGATTTATGTCCGCCAACCACTTTTGAAAAAAAAAACCGAAATCCCCATTTTCACGTTCGCGCCCACTTGCGGAGCCGAGCGACAATCTCTGCCACTCGACTCTGCGGCTCCATCGGCAAACTCTGCAGCCTTCGGAAGCTGTTCTTCACCTCGCGGGAACGACGCTCCTCCAAATCCCTGAGAGAAAATGACACAAATGCCTTCCATTTGGTTAAGGCCCCAGGAAAAAATACAAATATGTCCAGTAGTGATGAATTCCTTTTAAGACCAATAAGGGAGAATAAAAAACAGATTGATTTCAGCAAATGGAGCATCCTCAGGTAGCAAAACCGTCGAACCCCCATTGGCCCATTGGAGAGAAATGCCGGTTTCGGCAAGCGACTCCTGCTTTTTGACCCCCTTGAAGTAGTTCTCACAAGGGTGTCAAACGAGTTTGAATGGGATTTAGAGGGGTAAGTGATGACCCCTGAGCTATAAACCATCTGCTTGTTAAGTGTTGTATAGGTTGAGCTTCTGAGTGTGAGCCTGCTTTCGAAGTAGACATTCCGGGTTCCTGAAAAGCAAGCAACCCCCTCCCCGCGTTACATACCTACATTGCATCCATACCTCCAGCAACATGGGAAGAAATCAAAATCGCGGGCTTCCTTTTTGACCTTGCAGCCGAAGCTGTCATCGGAGTTGGAAAGGAAGCACTGTGAACGTCTGCTCAAAAAGTGCTCAAAGAGGAAAACCAGTGGTCACATCCAGTATGTAGGTTTGCACACTCCAAATGTGTCCTGGACGGCAGTGAGCCAGGGGTAGTGATAAACAACCCTCCCAAACAGGTACTTAATAGCGCTGAAGTGGTAACTCTCTGGTCGATTTGCTTTGGTTGCAAGTGAGCATCTGTTTCCCAAAGAGCCGCCAAACAAGCACAACCAGCAGCCCAATTCCTGCCCGTGTTTTGCCCAGTCAAAGCTCAGGTTCCGAGCACCGCAAAATCCAAAAGCCACGCTTTGACGGGGTTAGTCGCTCATTTCCCCGAGCAAAAAAGGCTGACCACCACTTGCAGGTTGAATCTGAAAAACCCAAAATCAAACCCAGATTGGTCCGCCCTTTGAGGCCTTGAACCAGCAAATAAAACACCAAATCGCCAGGTATGGTTGATCCCTGATTTTCATAAACCTTTAGTCATGAAACCCAGCAGGAGTTGTTGTCCGCCTGGTTCAGAAAGGGTTCCTCATCAAAAAGGGAATCCCCTCAATACAACAAGTGGGGGATTCACGAAATCGCCCAGAAAACCAGCCATATCCTCTTGGCTGAACGAGCCATTCTGCCAGTGGGGGTGTAATTTTCGATCGGCCAAAAAAAAAAAAAAAACTCCGCCGGGGCCCGGGCGTTGAAGTCTGCCGCCCATCCGAGGTAGATGGTGTTGGCAACGATGGCCACCATGGCCAGACTTTTGAAGACCACCCCTGGCGATCGATCGGCTCACCCCGAACCTTCGCGAGACGCGCTTCGCGGATCGCGAGCGGCTTCCGCGCGAAACCGAGAAACCTCGCGTGGGGAGGTCAGAAGCCCAAAGGTAAGCAAGCTGAAGGAAATGGCCCTGGTTCAATTTTCAGAACCCGGATTTGGCCAAAATGATGGTCGGGCTCAACACGTTCAACCAACAAAAAAAAGAAGGGTCAGGCTCAACATGGTCAACTCCCTCGCCAAAAAAAACACACACAAGGCGGGTTTTGCAAGGTGGGACTGTAAGAATCTCTGTCCCGGTCCTTCATCACTTGATTATTCAGGCCGAAGGGTTGTGGAAATGACCTCTCCAGAGCTGGCAATCCGCCTTCCAAATGATTCTTCATTCCCTCAGATGTGGGTACACTCCCTCAGACTAACAGCCGGAAGCTACCAGAAGGCCTCTGTGAATGGAACCGAGTGTTCCAAAGGGGTCCTGGGAGCTTCCATGTTAGCCTGGGGGAGGGTAAACCAGCCAGCCTCGCTCCGACCCTGCTCACTTCTGTTTGGCCGTGTCAAGATCCTTGACATGTTTCCTTGATTGCCCCAAAAAGTCTAGTCTTTGCGGGCAACGCAAAACTCACTCCAAGCAGCCTGGAATTGCAAGGCTCACCTGCTACGACTAAAAGGGGACCAACAAGGCAAACAGAAAGGCAACAAGGATGGCTTGCGACTGAAGTCTTGAAAGCTGCCGCGAAGCAGCCTCAAGCTTGCCGACAAACTAATAAAAAAAGAACACATTGCCGTCAGCGCCGACCTTACGCAACGGGGATGGGTTTGTGGCTGGTTCCCCGTTTCTCTCACCAAAAAGGTTGCAAAGTAGCACAGCTTTTCTTCGGCATCTTCCGACAGCCGGAGCCTGGGGTTCAGAGTCCTTCTTTCTGCACCCCCCCCCCCCAAAGGGTCGATTCTGTGTTCTGCACTTGCAACCTACAAAAACAACGAGGAAAGAACAAAAACGATCCACTGGACTTGGGGGTCTCATGGCAAACTGTTGGTTGGGAAGCAAAAGGAAACGACTTCAAAGTTCTCCGCTTTGGTATGTCAAGACTACGTGAAGCATAGGGTCACTCCAAAGATGGCTTGCAATTTTTCTTTTCGCACCCAGTGATTCCATTTCCCTCTAAAACAAAGGAACCCTTCAAAAGCTAAATTCGGAAAACAGCTGGTTACCCACAGTGACGAAACGCCTGGGGACATCTGGGGACCAGCCCGAGACACGTGGGTGTGTCTTTTTCAGGGGATCCCCCAAAACTGGTGGTTTTCCTTCCAAAAAAAGGGGTACCAAACCCAAAAAAGTGACACACCTTTGTGACCTCTGAACGTCCCGACCAAAGCCGCAGGCTCTCGACTCGCTCGCCCGCCTTGCGCGATCCGCTCGAAGCAGGACCCGCGGTCCGGGTACGTCAGCAGTCGCACGGCGTCTTTCCAGGACCTGAAAAAGAAGATGCCTCCCTCTGATTGAGTACCCCCCGGTGAACACCAACCAATCCCCACTCAAATAGGGTGGTGAATTCACCAATCCCAATTTTTGGGATCCCAGAACGGTTTTGACCACCACAGCCAACTCTGATTGAGCCGCGAGCAAAGCCGATCGGTACTAAAATGGTCGGAATCCCAGAACCATGTGGATTAAGAAGGCGGAGATTCGCAGGTAGTTCTGGTTGGGATCGTCCCTTAACCCGCATCTACCCGGGTCTTGATTATGGCTCAATTGGTGGTGTGGCTTGGTGGTTTGGTGGACAAGGAGGGGTTTCTCATTTGCCGTCTGCCACCAACTAAGGGTTACCCGAAAGATAGCACTGGCAAGAAAGGTTCTGCAAATGAGATTTTCGAATGGGCCCCAAAAGGGGCCAAAGGATTTGAAAGAAGGAACCCGTTGCCATTTAGGGCACTCCTCGAAAAAAAAAGAAAAAAGGACTAGAGACCTCCTCAATTTGGAAGTTCTCAAGCAGGAAAAGGACACCTCCCAATCAGCTTCAAAACGGATGGTTTGGAGCCCAGTGGTTTCACCGGGGATCAAATCCGTGTCAATCCACCCAAGGACCCAGCCAAAGCCAAACAAGAAAGCTGTCTCCAGGCAAGACTTGTGAAGTGACAACAGAACCCAGTGAAGTAGTCTTTGCACAAAGACTTTGAAACGCAAAAGGACACACAAAAAAAGGAAGGCGATCCGGACCATATCTTTTTGCAATCCGACATCCTCATGAAGGTCTCAGGAGTTTCAGTGACAAAGCTCTGCTTGGAAACCAACACCGCCAGCGCAGGGGTCGAAAAATCGCCTGTCAATCAGGCCAAATCCTCGCAAACTGGGACCCCCTTCAAACACAAGCAGAGGGTTTGTCAACGGGGAGGCAACATGACTAGCGGAGTTTTTTCTCAAAGAATCAAAAGAGAGGCGGTACATCTGGCTTCCTTCCCTTCCACTGCCCAGGTTTTCATTTTGGGCTTGCAAAGAATCAATCTTTCAAAGAATCCTGATTCCTCGCAGCTGGGAGGCAGTACATCGTGCTTCCTTGCAGCTGGGACTGTCCACTACTTCCCTTCCACTACCCAGGTTTCCATTGGGGCTTCGGCCCTCTACGCAGGTGGCCAACCAAAGAAACAGCATCCAATTGCAAAGGTTCTTGGATGCCCGAAAATCGACACGGACTCCCAACAAGGTGGGGTCCTCCAGAAGGTTGTTTATGGGCAAGCTTTGAGGTCCATGTCAGGTCTACATGGATTGAACCACACCCAGAACCCATTGGCTTTTGGTTCTACGATGGCAATCAAGATGTGTATAGGCCTGACCACCTCACAATTTTAAGAGGAAGTTTGTTTCCAAGGACCTTGGTAAAGAAGTCGGCGTTAGGGCAGACAAACTCCAGGTACAACCACCCACTCACATGCCCATGGGCCCATGGGAATTGCCTTTGGGGCTGCTCTTGTGAGTCTCTCCTAAATCGGGTACCCCTGTCCCAAACACGGTGGTCTCCCGTTGCAAAGTATACACCTTAACTTGTTCAAACTTCAAACCAAGGAATTGAATAGTTTCTACCCTCATCACTTTAGCAATACGATGGTACCAAAACGTTGACCATGTGTGTGTGTGTGTATTTTGTGAAGCTAATCTTTTTAGGGTGGGTTTAAGGGCAAGTTCAAGGGGCAATGCCCCATAGTCCCCTTCAACACGTTTTCCAGCCCAGCCCGGACGACAAAACCGACCCGCGCCAAGCGGGTTCCACTTTCCGTGCCGCGGTGCTCGCTGAAGCTTTTCCCGCGGACGATGCGGGCTTCTTGCTTGTCTGGCGGAAGGGGCACGAGATGCGTATGGCGCGAGCAAGCAAGACAGCAAGCAAGCAAGCAAGCAAGCAAGCGAGCAAGCAAGGAAGCAAGCAAGGGAGGCAGGGAGGCAGGCAGGGAGGGAGGCAGGGAGGGAGGGAGGCAGGAAGGGAGGAAGGGAGGCAGGGACAAGGGAAGCAAGGAAGCAAAGAAGCAGCTCAAAGGAGCAAGGGCATGTTGCAAGCACACCACAGTTGTTTGCACATCGGGTTGCAGGAGCGGAGCCGGGACTCCACGGAACCACAAGTCTTCGAAGAAATGGAGTTCGATCGCCAAGATGACCATCATGTTTGATAGAGCACCTGCTAACTTGTTGGCAAGATGAGATGATGAAACGCCATGAAGGCCAAAAATGACAAAGGTATGTGAATTCTGCAATGCACGCGTGCAGCGTCTGAAAGGAGAAACTTAGAACTCATTCAGCATCGGTCGCCCAAGGTGGCATTGGTTGCCGCAAACCGCCCTAGGCGGGCCGAAATGGCTGGTGACCTGAGGGGTCATTTGGAGTCGCGGTTTGCCATAGCAGGGCTCCCTATATTTCCACCACCCCAAGGCACACGCACCTTTCATGGGCCAAAAAGGTGATGTTGAAAACCAGCAAAAAGGGACCTATACGAATCGCCCCCATAGGGTGCTCAAAAGATCCACAGCTGCCCGACTTGGAGGCCGGTTCAAAGGAGTCGAAACTCCCCGCCGTCGAAGGGATTCCTCTTCAACATGTTCATCCTCAGATCGGCGAAGCGCTGCGAACCGCGGCGTCTTTTTGGGGGGATTCTGGGGTAGGAGAGGGAGGGGGGAGCAATTTACAGAAGCGTCGAGGATGCATAGGTGCTGTTGCAAGCCACAATGCTTGGTTAACTTTGTTTCTTTGCAGCTGACCACATCAAAACCTGTCCGACTTCACCCAACCGGCCCGATCCGTCTGCATTGAGAGCCGGTTCGGCTGGGCTGCTGAAGGATTGGCTTAAAACGGGCGGGCAAAATCCTAAGTGATGGTTTCCCTCCAGATCGCGGATGTGTCTTCCTTCTTGCGGGGGATCCTGAAATGGGTAGGGCGTTCAATTTGGTTTCCCTGTAAACCAACCCCAAAAGAAGTACGTCCCCAGAGTGATCACGGAAAATAGGTTACCCCCTCCACCAAACCCATGTAGCTATTCGGGTGCTGAATCGCTGAGCTGGTTCTAAAGATGCAGATGAGATGTTGGTGAAAACACATTCTAACTCATGGTCTTCGGTGTCCCTCGTTCTCACTTCCTGAGAGGTTTGGTTAAAAGAAGTCAGAACATTTTGTTAAACTGGCGCATGCCAAAAACGTGCTTCATGCCAGGAACATGTGGAGAACATGGCTATCCAAGTTTCCTAAGGGCTTCACGACCATCCCTACCTCATTTGGCAAAACAAAACACGGTCCAAAGATGCTCAATGGGTAGTTCGGCTCATCAGGTCCTCACCCTCCCTCGATGGGTCTGGCGTTTCTTTGAGGGTATTTTTTTTGGCAGGGTGCCCCCAACAAAGACGCAGCCATATAAGGGTTTGTTTGAACCTACGGCTCATGGTCATGATGTTTTTCACTATGGGATAGACGACCATCCCTGCCAACCTCAAGTGCAAAGTATTTTGACCATGGCTCAGTTGGGTATGTGACATGTGAAAGATTTATATAGTCAAGTTAGCCACAATTGGTGGTTTGGATTGCTTTGGGCATTTCAACGGATCTTGTCGGGAAATTGGGCCACCGCCCCGGCGTCGAAAAACTTCCGGGCTCCAAACCACCAATGAGAGGCAGCTGGAGGTGCCCAAAAATGGTGCCAGCTTTCAACGTGTGTTCGACATCACAGTGAATCCCAGTTCCTAGCATAGGCAACCAAGCATCTACCTTTTGGTTTTGTGGGTTCCCTCAGTTGCCACGGGTTAATCTCAAGATGGGGTCGTCTCCCATCGGTTTCCATCTGTTTCCCTTGAAAGCCGCTCAAGGGCACACCTGGACCACTACTCTTTAGACTAAAAAAGGGACACCACCAACCATACTTAAAGTGCTCGGGTTCCTTGCCTCCATGAAAAGAATGGTCAGGACCCAATTTGCATGAAGCTCCTGAAGGGTCAATCATGGTGGTTACATTAAACCCCCTGTGCTTTAATGGTGGCAACTGAACCATTTTAGGGCCATGTCTACGGGTAGTTTGAGGTCTCAAGTACAGAATCCTCAAAAACGCCGCGCACGCCATCGATTCCGAACCTTTCGGTTTCGCGCCAAGCCACTTCGAAGCCGCCAGCGACTCTTCCGAGGCCAACATCCCAGAGCCCTTCAAAGGCGCGCCGGTTTTCTCTCACTCAACTTCGTCTTGCTGGTGCGAAAGAGGCAGGTAATGTGGTTGAATGAACCCAGGCTTTGGTCCCCTTAAAAGAAACCACCAGTTGCATGGTTTACTTCCAGAACAATCTATTTCTCATCCCCTGCCGATTTCGCACCAGCAAGTCATGCCAGAATTCGCAAGTCAGCATGCTCCCACAAGAACAATGGGACACCTTTGCATTCCAACCGGTTCATTCGCCGAGTGTGTGCATTCCTCAATTTGAGGGAACCGACTTAACTTTGACAGGGCAAAGCACCCGCGTGTCAACCTGAACGTTGCAAACCAAGCTCCTCGGGTCGAAATTTGCGCTCCAACCCAAGGGTTCGTGGAACCTTGGGAGGGGTTCCTAGGTCCTCCAGTAGACAGGTTAGAATCAGGCTACCAACGTTTTTCTGAATCGTCTATTTTAGTAGGGGAACCCTCCCAACCAAAAAAGAAACGGGTGAGAAAGGGCACCACTGGGGGACCTAGGTTCTTAAAAGGGTTCCACGAACAAATTTGGATACGGGCGCCCGTACGACTGGCCCATAAGGAACAAAAGGGATGTATACAAGCTCTTTTTGGTACTTGATTTCAAAGGGAACGCTTCTTTGAAGGAAGTGCACCTCGTCTAAATTGTAGTGCCCCTTTGGTTTCCTTGGTTTCCTTCCCTTAAAATACCAAAGGGGTCCGAGATACATTTTGAGAAACAATCAACTTAAATGGGAGTGAATTCGTCAAGCTGAACCCCTTGGTGGACAAAATAATTCGGTAGAAGTTCACACCTTTGAAGTGCTTGCCTATGAGTTAGTGCATCGAAAAAATTTTGGGCCCTGTCTCTTCGGCGGGCCAACAAAAAACCACATTACGTGCTTCATGGCTCAATAGGGAGCCTTGTGTCTTTGGCTGGCGGGGGGTAAAAAAAAAAGCCACGGCGGCGGATCTACGGGACATCGGCGGATCCTGGGCTCCGCGGAGTGCGAGAGTGCGCGCGCCGCGCCTCGCGCTCGTGGCGCTTGAAGGACAGCTGCCGCTTCACGTCGGTGGTGGTGACCTGAAAATTCGGCGGAGGCTCCCGGCGTTGGCGGGAGGCTTCTGCGGTTGCCGGGGGGGGAAACCAAAAAGAAAAGAAAAGGGAAACCAAAACCAAAAAGGGAAACCAAACCAAACAAACCTCGTCCCAACCATTGCTTTGTTTTGGGGTGCTGGCAAAGATGTGTTCTAGGGGAACCTCCCTTGAAACAAACAGTAACATGGTTTTTTGCGGAAGGCGACCCGGAAATTGTTGACACACAAACCAAACTGGGGCTTCATCTGCAAAGACGGCTGTCCTTTCCTGATGAGTCTGGACACGCTTCATGGTTGTTTCTTTCAGCTTTTTTTGTTCGGGGGCACCTCCTTGCTTGATGTTTGAAGGGAATCCAACATGGGAAGCAGCTATTTTGGAGTGCCCCCCTGGTGGTTGGCTTTGAAGGGTATCTCCATTGTAGCTCATTTTGCATCATTTGGTTCTTGCGCCTGGAAGACGCCCAAAACGAAGGGACGACCAGTGGATTTCCCTGGACCCAAACAAAAAAGCGACGTGGCTTTGGTGGTGTTTTTTCTTTCAAGCGAAAAACACATCTCTCCCAACTTGAAAAGTCGGAAAGCAAGTTCGGTTTTTTGCCCCTGGTTTTCGAGGGGAACATCCACCCTCCAAAACGTTTGCCGAGAGGATCTGCGCCTCGGGGGCGAGGACTCCGGATCCGATTTTTTCTTCCCAAGGCCGAGGCCTTCTTCACCTTGAGCGCGTCCATGGGGCGGTCATCCACTTCCTGACGCGGGTACCCTCCGAATGAGTGACACGTCGGTAGAGATTTCTTACATGGCCATGGGTACAAAACCCTCTACCCCCAGTGAACATCCCAATCCCCACTCTGAAATAGACTAAGATGGTTGGTGCAGCTATCCCAAAATGGTACCATTGGTTTTGAACCATGGCCACATGGCTTGTGGGTTTGGTTGGCTGAACTGACCTTTTGGGAAAGGTTGATCGTGTGTTGCGTGTCCTTTTCTGACAGGTGAAAAGCTGAAGGGGTCATAAGGAGTAGCCAAGTTTAGTGTCGATTTGCCTTGCAAAAGCTTGGTATATCTCCAAAAGGATGACTTGAAAGGAAGACACCCCAAAGTATTCTGTCCAAGGCTCCGCTTGTTGGCGCATCTGGCTGCAAGGCAATCACATCACCCTCAAGGCGACCCAAACACGCCCTCCCCGTTTTTGGGTGGTGTGTGTGTGTGATTGTGTGTGTTTGCTGGCCTCATTATTTTACTATGATCAAAGTCACCCCCTAAGTGATGGGTTAAAGGCCGGGAAACCACCCCATTTGCTGACTTTGATAACCCCCTAGAAACGGTGAACATAATGACCGCCAGGTTTGGGTAGCAGAAGTTCTATGAGGCAAGTGGGGTTCATTTAGCTCAGATCTTTCTCACGCTGGCGCGGAGGCGCATGGCAAGATACACCAAAGCACCCGATAATACTGGCGGCCAAATAGATCCGACCTATAAAAGTTGGAACTCTTTGCTGGCTTGGAAAAAAAGTGCCTCGGGTCAAAAGGTAAGGCACGTCTGCAAAAAAAAGGTGGCGAGACCAGCCGCAAAGCGAATGAGATTTGGTTCTGGCTTTGATTGTTGCGGGCGGGCCGAAAGGCCTTGGACAAAGGGCAGCCTTGTTTCTTGATCCAAGCTTAAAAGAACCAACAAGTGTCAAAAGGTAAATCCCAAGGGTAAAGCCTGTTCAGCCATGGATAAAAAGGGAGAAAACCGCGTCCGGCACAACTTCCAGGAGTTGAATGGCTTTCCAAGACATGATCAGGTGGCCCGTTTGTTTTGGAGTTGGTACCTTTTTTTGGTGGTGTTCAAGGGACACCAGAACAAACCAAGTTGTGCGGGTCCCCCCTTTAAACAAAAAAACAACATATACATCCAGGGGAAGTGCTGGGATTCAGCCCTGGGCTTCCAAGGATCGCCCAAAAGCACAAGCCCAACGAATATCCTGGCACAACACAACTGTCTCTTAGACCATTTTGAGTCATACCTCCAACAGTTGCACAAACCCTATGTGTTTCATCACATTTTGGCATGCCTGCAACAGTTGCACACCGCCCCTCCTATGTGGCTGTGGCTCAAAAACATGTACCAAAATGGCACCCCAATGGAACCAAAGACTAAAACCGTGTAACCCCAAGTCGTTAATTTTGAGCCACAGCCATATGCCTAGCTGAAGTAAGGTGCCAAAAAAGTGGTTACCTAAGATGATCCTAACATGGTTGTCCCTGTGGAAGCCAGCCGAAACAAAACAGGTTGGTCAATGGCACCCCCTCAACAACCTTCCGTGCCGTCAGCATCTTGCCATCTTGCCAGATGGCCAATGGCCTTCAACCCAGATTTCCATCCGCTTTTCGCCAGGCATGCTTGGAGATGACTTTGAACTCTGTTTGTCTCCATGGTGATCCCTCACAATGGGTGGTTTCCTCTTCGTCCAAAAGAGGCTCTCCAAAAAAAGCGCCCTTTCAGGGGTCCCTGGCTTTCCCTTGCCACTTTGGTGGTCCGAAAGGGGCCCCCGAGGGATTTTGAGCCACAGCCAACCGCTACCGCTGGGTCAAGCCAATACCGGTGACTCGACCGACTCGACGAATCCCAAGCCCCAAGTCCTGATCAGAGTCCAGGAATACGCCTTGGAATCCGATGGCTGTTGGCCCCTATGGTTCTCCAATCCAATTGAGGAACCAAGTTGCGGATTTTGAAGGTTGCTTTCCAATCCAATGGCAGCAAACTGCAGATTTTGAATCAAATGTTGAATTTGAGGGCAATTGCAGAACCACACTTGTTTTCCAAACTCACCCGAGTCGCTCCAAAGGGCACCCAAGTCTGTATCAACTGCCTCATTTTTATTTTTCGCTAGCCCCGTCGGTGGGAGTCAGGCCCAACACGAGCATTTCTCACCACCACGACTGCATCAAGTCCCACGGTGTCCGACCATACCTGAAACGGGGTCCTCGCTTCAGAAAAGGGGCAAAGCCCGCGAGAGAAATGTTTGGACCGAGCCTCCAAGCCTGGCGGACTCGGCAACCAATGTGAACGGATCGAACTAGAACCCCTGGTCGATTAATAATCCGCTCCCCCTATTAATAAATACGCCCCCCCCCCCTATTATAAATAAATCCACCCATTTTGTTTTTTTTTAAAAAAATGGGTTTTTTGGGGTTGGTTTTTTTCCCTTTTCCAACAATGTGAGGGTTCACATAGGATTTGGAGGCAATGGATTGAATTGTAAGGTCCGCGAGTAAGCGGTTTAATAAGGAAATTTGATGTATCAAAGGATGTTTTGTAGTTTGTTGGGGCAAACCCAGGACAGAGCTCTGCCCAGGCAGCCAGCTTTTGAGGGAAGCAACCTTTTGGGGAATTGTGGAACCCACCTTTTGAAAAGTGAGGCTGGAAGCTTGCTAAAAGTGCCCCCTAATAAGGATTCCAAGACTTTAGTATTGGTTTAGTATTGGCGCAATGGAAAATCAATTGTGCGGAGTGGAAATCTGGTCTCGGGCCCCGGATTTGCATTTATTATTAATGGGGGTCATTCATTAATAGGGGGAGGAGATTAGGGGGGTGTCCAAATCCTTTTAGTGGTTGGATTCAGACCACTTTTGGAGGGAACACCCCCCTAAGAATGGGACGGGTTTATTAATCCTGGGTCAACATTAGTGAAACGCTACTACAACATGGAACGCATGCCCCTCAGTCTTAGTGGGGCCGTGAATGGACAAGGCGGTCTCCAACCGACACGCGTGAGAGCAAATGGGTTTTCCACCCCCCCGAAAAAAGGCTTCTTGAGCTTTCAAAGTCATCCGGAATCCGGAGCGAAATTGACGAAATTGGGCCCTAATGGAAGTGGATTTTTTGGTGAGCAACCAGGTTCCCACTGAATGTTGGTAAGTTTGCCCTCTGGCACCACCTTACCATAGATGAGCATTGACCGTTGCTCTCATGGAAGACTCAAATGGCGCAAACCCGTGAGCGAGAACCCGGAGATCTCGTCGCAGACCCCTGCCTTTCCTCACTTCCCGAGCGGACTGGCCAAAAACAGTCTGAACTTGTGATTAACCACCACAACTACAATACATGATTAGAGTTAGGCCCAGCTATAGAATGTACATTTTATTGCCTGCTTCACTTCGAGTCACTGGCCAAATAATAATATGTATCCCAAGTCTAGCCCAGAACAGTCTTTCCAAGAAGGGTCAAGCTCATGAACTCGGGTGAGAAAGTTCCAGGGGGAGAAAAACCGCGCGGGAAGGCGGGCAGTGCCAACCCTTTTCGTCAGGCTGCAGGACTCCGGGTGCTCCAGATGATCGATGCTGTTTGGGTCCGCCGACGGTGGCCTGGCGAATCCGGTGGAGAAAACGACGATCCGTCCGAAGATCCAAAGGCCGCAGGGGCCGTCCAAAAAATGTCCGTCCCAAAATCCGCAGGATCCCATCCCATGCCTCGAAGAACCCCTTGGCATCCGCTGAGGATGGCTCTTGGGGCGAAAAAAACAAAACGTCGCTCAGCAGCTCCCAGTGGATCCCAGAGAATTACCACTGCAGTGGGTAACCAGCGAGTGTCCTTTTGGTTTACAGGCAAGGCCTTGGTCGCCGAAAAAAAAAGACCAGGCAAAACGGACTCGCTTCTGGCCCACTGGAAAAAGGCCGAAATGTTGCAAGGTGAACAAAGAACTCGGCCATGGCATTTCAGACCAAACAAAAAGGCCCCCCGAGGGATTTGGATCGCTTCCGCTGGGAAGCCCCCAGGCTCGTGACCCGCCAAACGGGGAGTTCCGGAAACGACCGTCAAACGGCGAGTTGTACATAGTTCAACACACATCTGCATGGAAATGCGAATGTATATGTGAAGGCATACATATGCACACTGTGCATGTGCATATGTGTTCATGTAAGAATCTGTCATGGGAGTGTCATTTTTGGAGGGCACCTCCGTCGAGTTGGGAAACCAACTGGACACCGATTTGGACAAGAAGCGTAGTATGTGGCCACACCTTCTGCAAAAGTTGTTGTGTGGTGTTCAAGTCCAACTCAACCATAACTGGGGGTCTCATTCATCGTCTTTATATTTTTTAAAGGTATTCCAAGTTGGTCCCAAGACCCTATAGGTCTGTGGGGGGTCAAAGGCCATCACATGTTGGAATCCTGGGGAAGAATCTGAAACAGTGTGAATATGTACACCTGCAGGGCCATAGCAAGAGGCCTGCTTGGCAATCTGGGCGTGTTTTTTTCTCTAGGAATCGGACCCTAAAAACTGCGTGGCTGAACGGCTTTCCTTTCGGTTTCCCTTTCAAACCAGAAAAAGGGGGAGACCCTCAAGAAAAGATAAAACGAGTTCACCATTATGGCTTTGAAACCCAAGCACCGCAAAACAAAGGGGGGGCCCTCCGCCTGACGACCGACCCGGCTCCGCGTTGCCAGGTCTCTCCCTCGCGCCTCTGGCCGGACTCCAGAAACTCGGGGCGAGGAATCACCTGAAATTCGGATGGGGAAGTCTCAAACCCCCCATCCGAGCGGAAAAACGGTACCCAAAAATAACGGTACCCAAAAAATAACGGTACCCAAAACCCCCCAAAAAAAAGGTGCCCATTGGCACCTTTGAGGTACTTGCCACTCAAAAAAAGCCCCCCCCAAAAAAAAACACACACACACAAAAACTGCATAGATCAAAATGGTCGGGACCTTTTGTTTTGAACAAATCTCAGCCCACCCTTGTTTTTATATTAACCAAAACGGTCCGGATGCAATGGAGATTGGGTTTTTGGCCTGCCAGGAGAGACGGATTCCTCGGGGATCCGGGGAGGGGGGCCTGGAGTCGGTTTTCCAATGCTCAGTTGTTCAGTGACCCTGGCAAAAAAGAGGGAACCCTTTTTGCGGAAGACCATGGTTAGTGAGGCAGCCACCAAAAACAAATAAAAAGGGTGCCACTTGAAGAATTGAGAATGAACACAAAAGCAGGTTAGGTGGTATCCCCAACAGCCAAGGCAACCCCCGAAAGGAATCCTCATCTTAAGAACCCTCCCTGAAAGCTGCCGAAAAAACCAACCCTTATAGCGCCTATCTGGGCCTGTAGACCCCAGAGCTGTCAGCTGTTGAAAAAATCAGTCCGGAAGCTCAGGAAGTGCGTGGGTTACCAAGATGACAACATTTTTAGAAAAGGTACTTGCTTGTGGAGGTCTCTCCCGTCCAGCAATCCTGAAGACAACCTTCCAAGAGCTCAGGTTGGAAAACCGAACGGGGCGGAGAAAAAAAAGCGTGCCATGGTAGCTGATGACTAACCCAGCAAGCTTGACACATGGAGATCGACATGTATTGACATTGGCTGAGTGGATGGCCCAGAAAAAGTCCAAACTTTATAGTTACCACTAAAATGGTCCAAACCCAAAAAGTTTAAAGTTCATGAACTCAGGAAGTGAGGAGTATTGACCTTGGCTCGAGGCTCAGAGAATCCAAGTTTCGATGTCAAGCCGTCCGTGCTCGAGGCTCTCTCCGAAACTCCGAGCGCATCGATTGGGTGACCCGGACATCAACGATGTTACCAGGACTTTGTTCAGGGGATTAGCACTCAAAATCAGAATTGCCATGGGGTCAAAATACTGGGCTGGTCCTCGGATTCCCTGCTAACAGTTCAATTTTTAGTGGAATAAGCAAAAAACAAAACACTAAACCAACTAAACCAACTAACCACTAAACCAACAACCGGATCACCTACTAAAAGTTTAGCTTTTAGTGGAATAAACAAAAACAAAACACTAAACCAACTAAACCAACTAAACCAACTAAACACTAAACCAACAACCGGATCCCCTGCTAAAAGTTTAGCTTTTAGTGGAATAAACAAAATCAAAACACTAAACCAACTAAGCACTAAACCACCCGAAGGAGCCGGACGGCTGGTTCCAACCCAGGGGCAACCCCTTGATATCTTGGCATGTGTGTTGGTGTCCCGAGAGACCGGCATATGGCTATGGCTCAAAAAACCGGTACCGAAATGGAACCCTGGTTAGTGGAAACATGGACCAAAACCTGCGGTTTGCCCCTCCTGCTTAATTTTGAGCCACACCCATATGAACGTTAAGCCCTTTGAACCTCAGGCGGGGATGAACAGGTCCAAACCCCTGAGGTTCCAACTCCTCAATCGCCATGGCCATGCGGGTTTGTCTCTTTTTCAGGGACCCCCGGAGAAAAAAAAAAAAAAAACAAGAAAGAACTTTCATTTGAATGTCCAGTTCATTTAAATGTCCATCGGAGCAACCCCAAAAAGGATACCCTCAAAGGACAGACCCCAAAAACGGAAAAATGCCTTCAAGCCCACTCCCAAAAGATCTCTCGCCTGATCGAAGCTCACCTGCTTCTTCCTGTTCTCCTGAAAAAAACATGGGCGAATTCGAGGCCTTTGGCATCCATTTGCTTGAGTCCCCCACGTTATGTTTTCATAGTTCCAGTAGCGATAGATTTCCTTAGCCAACAGGGGGAAACAGCACGTATTCCTAAGCAAATGGAAGTCAGCACGGGGGGAAAAAAAAAAAACGGCCACGGCAGTTCCACCACAGCACCCCTAGCACTGAGCTCTTCCCATGTCCGAAACGTAGTGTCCAACATACCACGTGGTAGGCTGAACAAAAGAGTGGATCATGCCGGATCCGAAGCCTGGAAGCCCCCAAATCCGGAAATTCAGGAAAATTCTCTCGATGGCGAACTCGATTTGCGAGTCGAAATGGTTGAAGTTTTTGACCTTCAGCACCGAAAAAGGACAAAATGTTGGGTGATTTCCCGAACTTGTGGACAACTTTGAGCCAGCAAACAGGGGAAGACGGATGCCACTGACTGGGAAATCACCAAGGCTTGTCCGGTTGAGGTCAACAAGACCAGCCGAACCGAATTGGCCACCGGAAACCGACATGGCCAACAAGCGAAGAGTCAGAGGGTACCCGACAAATCAGGTCTAGAGCTGATGAACAAAGCAAAACATGCAACACAAATTTGGAATTCAACCAGGTGGCAGTGGCTCAAAATTAAAGAGCTAGGGTTACGCAGGTTTTGGTCCATGTTTCCACTTGCCAGGGTTCCATTTAGGTACCGGTTTTTGAGCCATACCCAGGTCTAATCGATTGAACTCCGTCACGCTCTGTTTCGTCCCGTAGAAAAGATGTGCGAACCTCGGGAGCTTCATTTCGAGTAGATCCAGACTACGTTCGAACTTTTGATTACCACCCTCCCATCCAACACGGATCCTCACAACAAGGTCCTGGAAGACCATGATGTCCTTAAAAAAAAGAGAACGAGCCTCTGGCGGGTTCCATTGCAAGGTGGACCGGAACCACCGGCCCAGATGCGAAAAATAAAAAGAGAGCCCAGGAGCTCAAGCACGGTGCTGTGCACCAAACCGAGCGCGAGTCGCCCGACGGAGTGCGAAGCTCGGCTCCTCCTTGGCCTTCTCGTTCTCAGGCCAGGCATGTCCTGCAAACCCAGCGCCGAACAGCACAACTTACTTCTGGATCCAAACTTTGTGGAGAAGCCATCCATATGAGTAGATTGGCACAAGTCCAAACTCATGTTGACCCCATGTGGATTCCCCAAATTTTTCCCAAAATGGACACCCCCCCTTTTGCATAATTAAACTGAAATTGAAATTCATTCTTGGGCTCCCACCCCTTCCGTGTTGTCCGCCCACGCCCCGCCGAGAACCTCCTGGGGCCCGGGCGTCGCTTCGGCAGCAGCTCTTCCTCCAAGGCGCTGCTCATGTAGAGCTGGGCCTGGCCGAGCCGAAAGCGCCGACAGCGCCGAAAGCGCCGGGCTCGGGGGGCAATTCGCCTGGGGGCAAGTCGCCCAGGTGTCGTGCCTGTTTTTTGGAGGGAATCTTAGCTGGAGCGAAGCTACAAGGGGTACCCTCAAAAAACCATACTGAGCCTTCTTGCTTTGTTTCTTCTTTTTTCTTGAAGCGAACTGCAACGTCAACAAAAGAAGGCAGATCCAATTACCTAAAATTAGCCTGGTTGTGGGGTGTTTTGGGGGGGGTTATTGACTTGCAACATAAAAGAGGGGGGTCCAACGTACCACCTGGGCTCCGGAAGGGAGCAAGAGCTGAAAGGAACACCAAGAACAGTTGGAAGGAAATCAACAAGTTGGGGGGTCTGTTCAGACTCCACCAGATTGCCAGGCCCCTTCAGAAAAGCCAAAAGGCCAAATGTTGCAAAGCGTGCAGGCTTTCCAACACTTTCCAGCAACCTCCTATCTTGACCCACAACAAATCTGACTCATATTTAGTAGACTCCCCCAAAATATACAGTAAGGAATATATCAGTGGATCGGCGGAGACCCCCCCGCAACGACGAGTGTTTTCCACCAGATCCCAACCGCCGTGATTTCCAACTTCCGATCCAGTGGAGAAAATGGTCACCCAAAAAGTGCAAAGTCAACCTGAACTCAGAGGCGTTTTGTACTGTCCCCAAAACTGAAAAACTCGCCCTTTGGAAGGCCCAGACTCAATGCCAGCCGTGCTCGGGAATCTACCTTGGGCAAAAATCCAAACAATGGAGCCCTGAAAAGGGCCCCCCATTCTCCCTTGAAGATGGCTGGAGATTGAACCACTCCGCGTAAAGGCATCTACCTGGGGCAGCCGATTGAACTAGGTGAGAGTCGCTTTCCCCACTCAGCACGGGGGGGGGGGGTTCTGCGGGGTTCTCCTTACTCGACCCATGGACTAGTTCTTTCGCGGCAACCCTCCCAACAAAGACAACAGGTAACCAAAGGATCTGGATCTGAAATGGGGCTATGATGTCTGGTCCCGGAAAAACAGAAAAACTACACCAGCATAGACCCCAGAGAGCGAAGAAAAAAAAGACGAAAAAGCGGGCCATTCCATTCCTATCTGGGGAAAAGCACGTTTTCTTGGATGCTGGCCAAGGAGCAGCCTTCGGAGTTGCTTCAATGCCCCGAAATACGCATATATATATATATATCTATTAACAAAAACAACAACAATACATATATACATATATATATATATATACATAAAGCAATATATACTGTATATATATATATACATAAAACACTACATGAGCAACGGCTTTTATTTGTTACATGGCGTAATGGACGGGTGTTCCTGACTCGTTTTCCAACCCCGCGCTCGGTCGCAGCCCCCTATCTCGTTTTCCAACACCGCGCTCGTTTTATCTGGCTTAACTTTCTGCTTGAAGAAGAGGAGCTTAAAGAAGTAAACGAGCTTTGGTTAGCTTGCCGCCTCCTTTGTCTCCTTCGTTGTTGCCGCACAACCTTTTGCTAAGCAAACTGCTACTACGCAATTTGTTGAAAAGTAATACTTGAAAGAAGGAACCGGGCCAATACTCACTTGGACGCTGTAGGGGACTCGTTCTGAACTCGTTTTGAACTCGTTTTGGAACTCGTTTTAACATGGCCCGCTTTTGGACGGCTGGAAATTGCCCAGAAGCAAATCTTGAATAAACCAGCTACGCTACTTCTTCGCAAGTTTGCTTCACACCCTTTTGCAATGAGGCATCGTAGGGTTGGCCAGTACTTGCCCCGGAAAGTCTGTGGCAAGTTGCCACGGACCATGCGATGTAGGTCGTCTACTCTACACTACATCTAACAACCTTGAACCCAAGGCGCTCTGCCAGGCTGCACTTGCCAAAATGTCATCCTAATCCATGATATCATGCTTGTTTGCCCTATCTCGTTTTCGGGGTGTTCCCCAACTCGTTCTGCGGCTAAATATGCACCTTTCCAAAAAAATAGTTCCAGCCCCTTGCATGGTTCCATTAACGTAAATAAAGTTAGTCGCTCACATAGATAAATATATAAACAACATGTCGGAGTTGGCACCGGTCTCGCTCTGCTCCAGCCCAGGGAGCTGGAGACTGGTCGATTTCCCTCTGGTAGCTGAGTCGCATTTTGGTCGGTAAAAAACGCCGAGTCGTTTTTCAGTAGACTTTTTGTGGTCGTTACAAGATCTGGGCGAGCCGTTTTTCAGTAGGCATTCTGGTCGTTACAAAATCTGGGCGAATCGTTTTCAGACTCAACTCGACTTTCAACTCAACTTGACTCAACTTGACTTGAGCCGGGAGTCTGAGGATCATACATGTTTCCGGGACCGGTGTAGAGCGACCGAAGAACTAGGACCGAAGAACTAGGACCGAAGCGACTCTCAAACTAGGACCAAACGATACCGCGTCCCACTTCCTCTTTTCCGTTCCCTTTCCGCAAAAAGAAGCATCCTTGGCGATTGGAGGTTAGCCTTGGGAGTCGGAAAAATGGACCCCCCGTATATCATGGTTCTCAAAATGGGCGGTCCCTTCATGTCCGTTGGACCAGCCACGTGTTTTTGCAAATCCCTGGGTGCCCAGTCTGCCCAGTCTGCCCAGTCTGCCCAGTCTGCCCAGTCTGCCCAGTCTGCCAGCAAAAAGGAAACGTGTCGGCATGGGCCTTAAGCTCATTGATCTGGTGGCTCAAGATGTCGTTCTCCAGCTCCAGCTGCTCTACCTTGCTCAGCGCCTCAGCTGGTTACGAGGCTCCCAGATCCAACTAAGAAGTTGTTGCTTTTTTAGTACCGCCAGGGTTCCCTCAACAAAACACACACCCACACGGGTCTGCCCTTTTTTTCCGCGGCCCCCTGTTTTTCGCTGGTTTTCAAGGAAACCAAAAGGCAAAACCAAAGCCATTTGGGGGGGTCCAACTGTAAAAACACAAACTCACATCTCAGCCGAGCGAAACTCCGTGAGCGAGCCATTTCTGCCCGGAGTTCGGCTGAGTCTGAGGTTTGGGCAGAACTCTTGAGAGGCTCGGCCCTCGTCTGCTCTACCTTGAGGGCATTGTTGTCCTCGGCTCTGGGGAACTCACTGGAGTCTCCGAGTCTGACCCCTGAACCATGGAACTACCCCCCCAAAAAAGTTATGGCCCCGCTTTTGAAGGGGCATGGAGACTGTAGGTAAACAACAACAGCTAGACTTGAAGAACAGGACAAGAAGACAAAAAGGCAACACAAACTACAAACCCTCAAAGGAACATGAAACGATACTTCAATACTTGAAAGAAAGCTCAAATTGTTAAAGAAGACTGCAACACAACTGACAGCAAACTAAATCAATACTTACAGGAACACACAGAGGAAATCAAAGGAAACTAAGTCACACATAAAGGGCACACAATAAGCAAAGAGAGCTGAAAGGAAGGTCTTTCAACAAAATGTAAGGATGTCCTACGTGGACTACAAACAGGCAGGGTTAGCTCCCGGAAAAGCCAACAGACAGTTTTTGGAGTCCAAGCTCAATGGAAAGGAAGCTCGGCAGCTCGGAGAAGCCAATGGAAACTAATTCGCCTGGGACAAGGAAGCTCATTTTGGGAATCGCTGGGAATCGGAGCCCCTCCTCAAAATAAAAGGGCAAGGGCCCTTCGTCTTTGTGTTGGTCTGGAACCAAAACGAAGCTCAAGAAAAGGGATACACACGCCAAAAGAAGGCACGAGGGAGAGCTGGAGGAGCGCACCATGTCTTGAGCTCGGGTGGTTTGGTGTGTCGTGGTTTGCCAATCCAAACCTGGGAACATGGAGGGAAACTTGTACCGCCCGTTTTTCAGGAATCGGACACCCCCCAAACAAAAATGGCGGGGCGTTCCTCTCGGGGTCCCTTGCAACAAAAACACGAGAAAGAGGTTTGCTTCAAAAGAACACAAACTCCAATCTCCTTTTTGTGACTGAATGCAGGGCCCTCTGGAGGAACCTCAAACCCCGTTCCCAGTGGTGCCCTCAAATTTCGAAACACCCAAATCTCCTAAAACTGCAACTGAGCATCTGCCTTGAGAATGTCGATTTCCTCCTGGAGGGTGGAAATGTGACTCGTCAGGTCCTGAATGGCAGTGGCTAGCAGTCCTTTTGTCGAACAATCTTAGAGGGAGGAGGTGATTTGTTCATAGGAAAACAAAAGGATGCACAAACCAGGGTGCGTCATGGTGCGTCTCTAATTCGGGCAACCCACAAAATTGCCTTTTCCCCCTTCCAGCACCCCCCCAAACCGCTGCTCTTTGGACAGTACTTGGGATTTTGGGCATGGAACAAGGCGTTGTTGGGGGTGCTGGTATGGTTTCCATGCGAATTACCAAATACCCCAACTACTCTCAAGGGTGTACCCTCCAAACAAAAAACCGCCCCCCATGTCCCGCTTCTTTTGGAAGAGGACCTTCGCGCCAAAGGACCCCTCGATTCTTTTTTTTGGGGGGGGGGGTGAAGGGCCGCCAAGAGGAACCCCAGCCTTTCCCAGTTCGTCCGACCCCGACCTCCGGGCCCATTGTTCCGATTTTTGAAGGTCTTCGGACTGGAGGAAAAGGCAGCGAGGCTGTGAGCTGCGAACTCTGAGTTGGTTCAAGGGCGACCTCCGCGGAAAACTTTTGCCCCAAAATCCCAACTCGAAAGCTGGAAAGCTCTAGGGGCATGGCTTGAGGGCTGGTCAGGGCAACCGAGATCTTCTCTGTTTCTTACTCGATTCACCCAAAACGGCTAGGAACATCACAAAGGGACCTTCGTCATGCACCTGTTTACTCAAACCTCTGCATGAAATGTAAACAAGCGAGGCCCAGAGAGCCTTTTCTTTGCTCAAGTGTGTCAAGGTGCCACAAAAAAAACTAACTCCACTTTTGGCCGTGTCTCAAAAGAGGGAATGTCGGAATGCCCTAAAAACAACAAGCGGAATTTCCCTCTGGTTCCTTTTAAGGCAATTCCCAAGGGAACCGATCCCCGGGAATCCAGCACTAACCCGCTGAGGCCAGCACGGCCAAGCACCTCGGGTTAACAGGGGGCAAGTCACGCTTGCGATCAAAGGATCTCCTCCATTTGCTCAAGTCCCTACAGCAAAAACGATATTGAGCGGTCCCCAGGAAAAAACAACAAAACCCAAAAAACAAAAACAAAAACAATATTGATCAGTCCCTTAGGAACAAACAAAGACATTTTTTCCGGTGATGGATTCCCTTTCAAACCAGCAGGGAAAAGTAGCACCATGTTCTTAAGCAAATGGTGGAAAGGGTTTCTCAGACCGCCAGTGAGGAGAGAATAAGAGCACTCTGTGTGTTGTTTGGATTGTTTCATTAAACCCCTCAAACAACGGCAAAAAGGCGCCACGGCAGGCATGGGGACCCCAAACGAAATTGGATCCCAAAAACGGTGAAGCGGGTACGTGCAAACACAAAGTGTGGCCCCAAACCGGTGGGCTCCTTTTGGTGTCCCTGTCAAACCAGTCCAAAAAGGAAAAGGCACAAGGCAGCTTTGGCACGCGACAAATTGGCGGCACCTCTGAAAACGGACCCTTTGAACAAGGCGACTCAAGGAGACCAACCGCCTTGCGCAAGACCTGCTTCCCTTTCCAACACTCAGGGAGTGAGATCACCACCATGGCCCAAACATGTCCAAACCCCAAAAGATCCAAAAAAAAACGACCGGAAAACCCCGAGCTGCCAACGACAAACGCATTCTGGCATTCTGAGCATGGCGCTGACTCAGCGCCAGGGGCAGTGGCATGGAGTTCTCGGATGCGGGTGGAGCCGATCAGCTCACATCCGCGATCCCATGGCTGGAAGGAGTGAAAACGCGGACGGGGCTCCGGGGTTGGCTGTGATCATCCTGGTGGCCTTTCTTTGGATAGCAAACGGCCTATGACCATTCTGGTGGCTAGAATGCTGAAACCCAACAATCATGGCTGCTGGTATAGGGGCTGGAATGCTAGAAAAAGCAAAGGACAAGCATGGCGAATGGCCACGCACAAATGTAACAATGGTACCTACGGGTAGTCAACAGTATTTCACTGCAAGACATTGGTCCGCTCCTTTCGCGCAGGTCCGACCAGGTCCAGAAGCAAGTTGATGTCTCTAAAACTTGCTGCTGCTCAGTAGGGCATGAACCAAGTCCGGGTGTTGGGAATAAACCGTTTGGGGATTCCCGAATAAAGGAAACCATAGGGGATGGGGTTGTTTGGGGGTCATTCCAATTCTCATTCCCTGCCTGAAGCAGCAAGAAAGTCAAGGAGTTGCAAGCGACCTGCCCAAATGGACTTGATTCTTGAAGGCCCCTTTGAACCAACGAGGCCTTCGGGCAAGCTCTGCTTGAACGGGAAGAGACAGCTCGAACATGCACCTGGTTCCGAAAAGTATACGTGGTCTTCTGATTCACGCTAAGACTACACCCCCGAGTTGCAAGAGGCGAAATGTTTCGCAGAATCTTGCGGCGAATCCGAAAGATGGAGCAACACCACAAACAAAACTGTCCGAGTATGTCCGTGGGCAACCGCAAGGCTTCCAAACCACAAACTCGACGTGGCTTGTAAACATCTCCGGGGTGGGGCCATAGTCGAAAGCTCGCGGAACAAAACTGACGGACACCAAGGCAGGAAATGATCTGGTCGTCACAGTCAACCTCGTGGGTGTCTGAAATTCACAAAAAGCAGATCCCCATCCGCCAAAAAAAACGCAATGTGTCTGAGTCTTTTCAGGGGCTCCCCAAAATGGTGAGTTGTCCTTTTGGTTTCCCTTTAAAACCACCAGAAGTGGGGGTCCCTCAACAAAAGGCACACCCAAAACGGCAATGGTTTTCCTTGTGAAGCCTCCGATTCCACACCAGCCAACAAAAAATGGTCCCGAACCTCAACAATCTGGCGGCTGATTTCTGTCTTTCGACCTACGTGGAGCTGGACCCCTTCAAAAGGCACCATTCAAAAACAGCACACACGACGCTGGGCGAAATCCATTTCGCACCACCTAAGAAACCCCCAGTTTCTGAAACAAATACCAAGAAAGACTGGGCGTCCATGGTTTCAAAGTGGCAGGATTTCGTCCATCCACAGTATGTTTTGAGCAGTACCCCCCCTATTTTGTTCGCGCCGGGCTGACAGCTGACCTTGTTTTTTTGCAAGGTCATTGGTTGTTGATGGTATTTCCCATGTTTTTTTTTGCATTTTTGTGGCTTTGTTGCATCATGATGACCAAGGCATTATCCTTGCATTGACCGCAGCCGTTGTCATGCGGCAAGCTCTCATAGCCCAAGCGGTAGCGTACATTCTACTCATACGTATAGCTGGCCATGCGCGAGACTGGCAGTGGCACGGCGTCATCAAGCCGTTCATGAGCGTGGAGCCTCTGTACTTGGACTCGCTTCATCAAACATTGTGCAGCGCGGACAAGAAAGACTCCACCCATTCATTCGTGGTGGAGACCGTGCTGGATGAGTCAAGATGGCCACTGCGATTGGCCGCATTGGTGAATACGGTATGGATTTTACGAGCTCATTGGGACTACATTTGGCGCATGAGTGGATCCAGACCATGTTGTTCACCAGGACCGGGAGTTTCGCCGTAAGGAAGCGTGGGAGACCCGATGGCGGGACAATGTCCATGGACGCTCGGTGGCGGTCCTTAGATCGGTACCTCCCACAAGGCCTGCGTGCCCGCGCGCCCGATCGAAGCATCAACAGCTTCGTGAAGGTCCTCGTGTTTTCGTGGCTCGTCAGGCACAATGCGCCAGACCGAAGCCCAAAAGGGCTTCGCCAGATTTTAGCGAAGGGCTTGAAGATGTATGCCCGCATGTACAGTCAGAAGTAACAATGACCGAGGACGGAAAGATCGTGCTTTTCTGCAGCAGGCGGGTGTCGAGGTGCACAGAACCATTTCCCCCCCCCCCCCCCGGCCACCCCCCCATTGAAAAAAACACTACAGTCGTCTACCAACTCGGTACGATTATGTTGGGTAGTTTGAGGGGTCCAGGTGGGTTTCACCCAAAGGAGGGCGACTCAAATATACTCAAACTAAGGGGATGTCCAAGCAACATTCTGGGCAATGACATCGCAACCTCGCGGAAGTTATTGTTTGCGACGTCGGGACCCGTGAGGTTTCGTTTTGCAGAAACAACTTTGTACTGGGCTGCCAGTTTGTATGCGTCTCAAAAATTTCTTGGAGCCCCGCAATGCAACCCTGAAAATGGTTGTTCCTTCTTACTTAAGGTTGTTCCTTTGAAACAATCCCAACCATGAACTTCCTCTTCAGAGACACCCATCTTTCACCCGGAAAAACAAGGGGTTTACTTCCAAAAGCTCGAGTTCGAAGTTCCGTCTGCTCAATCCTGGTACCCTGAAGGAAAGCCCACCATTTGGGGAGGGGGTCCCGTAAAAACACACACACACACCCCTGTTCCAAACCCTACCAGGAATCCACTGGTAAAGATCCACCATGAGCCCTTTCAGCTCGAGATTGCCATAGCCAAATAAGTCAAAAGATGCCGACCACATGATACACCAAAACGAGTGCTCAGTATCAATCAAAGGGGCGAATAACACCCATCAATTGACAAAAAATCTAACATTTGGACCTTTATCAAAGAATGATGTGTGCCTGGACCCTCACAATCTACCCAAAAAGCTGGTTATTGCCCTAAAATCATGGGGTGGTGTCCCTGTTTTACGTGTTTTTGGCCAGCTGCCCCTTGTCTTTAAAACGCCACTCCGTGTACCCGCAGGATGTACCCCTTTACCCCTTACTTACCCTTGTCGGGTCGTTTGAAGGGGATGGACTGTTTTGGGTCACATCGTTTGCCGCCGTGAGACCCTGTTTGGGGGTTGCTTTTGGAGGGAAACACAGAAATTCACCGGAAACGGCCAATAGACAATTCGCCCCACCAAAAAAGAACTGAACTTTTCTGTTTACCACCAAATTTAATGTTTCTTTTTTTTTCTCAAAAAGCTGCCTTCATTCCAGGAACTCAGGAAGTGAAACCTTTGGCTCCATTTCGGGGATCATCCATTTGCCACCTATTTTGAGGTTCACCAGGGGTTTTTTGGGTTTTGACCCTCACATCATGCCCCCCCCCGTTTTGATCCGTTGCCGTGACTTGCTCTGCCCGTGATGTTTTTCGCGAATATGGATTGATTCCCATGCCCCCTCCGGGTGCCTTGGTTAAGCCAACGGAAACCGATCCAAATCCGAGCCCTATGTTTCACTGGTCAAAAGAGGTACCTAGAGTCTCCATGACCCTTTAAACATGGGGTCATTACCCAAAATAATGGGGTCATGGACCTATTTTTAAAGGGTCATGGAGACTCCAGGTAGTTGGAAACCCCCAAATGGAACCCGAGCCCAAAGGCTACCTGCAGTCCCCTGAGCCCCTCATAGGCTTGCCCATACGGCCAACTTAAGGCACCCCTGTGGCAAAAACAAAGACATTGCGCAATGTTTTGTTTGACCTAAGAGACCAACGGACACCTACCCAACTAGCTACCCCTATGTTTGACCATCTTACAGCCAGCTTGGAGCAACCCCGCGAACAAAGACGACGTGCCATGCAGTTGTTTGACCCGTGCCCTGCGTGCTCCACTGTCTTGTGCAGGTAGCGCGCCTTCGGGCGCCTACCGGAGCACAACCTGACACGGCCGTGAAACCAAGCGGTCGCCTCGCCGGCTGGCCGCTTGCTTGTTTGATCGCTGACGGCGCTGGTGTTTTTCTTGGTATAAGCTAACACAACAGGCAAATTGAACAAGTGGATTTGTCTCAAAAAGGGGGAACCACATTGAACACTTCCTGGTATAACACTTAACACGTTGGTTTTTGGTGTAAAGCAAATGGGGTTGATCAATACATGGAGACCATTCGGGAAACCACCAAAAACGATGACTCTCACTAATTACATGGGAACAGTTTCCCATGGTCATTTTGGTGCCAGGAACATTGATCAACCGCCAAATGTTGTCTCACTTCCCGAGTGGGCCCAAAACACGTCGAAACTTCTTATCTACCTAGGTCCATTTCAGGGGGGGTTCTCGGTTCATTCCATTTCTCATTCCCTAGTTCTCGCAGCAAGGAAGCCCATGAACTCAGGAAGCGAGTTTCGACTTGGAATCTGACTCCGTGCTTGGCGCGACACCTCACACCTCACAGCACCAGCAGGGAGGTGCTGGCAGCGGGGCCGAGGCCCACCGCGTTGTTGGCGCGCACCTTCGAACTTATCGAGCGAGGCGACCTCTTGGCGCCATGGGAGAGCGCCATGTGCCAAGAAAACCAACCCAAACCAACCAACTAGTGGTATCATGCTGGTTTGGTGGGTGGCTTGCTTGCTTTGTTTTGACCTGTCTTTATCCCCAAACAGGATACCATCGAAGCACCCACGGCAAGGGAAACCCTCTTGCGTGGCCTTCAAGGCCCAGCTGATAGAGACTCCAAACCCTACTGGTCAGATTTTCGGGGCGGGGGGGGAGCCTCTAGAGCTGGTCAAAACTCACTGGCCCAATAGGAACTCTGTCAACAAAATCAAGATATCAGACTCTGCGGGTGGTTTTTTTTCCTGAAGCTGTTCCCAAGCCACACCTATATTCGGAAGGACATGTTGTTTGATCGTGCTTCGTAGTTTGCCAACCCTGAGATATAAACACGGTTTGGAGACCCAAGACATGGTGGTGTTTGGAGCCCCTACGAGTGGCTTCTCCGAGTCTCTCGAAACCATTCATAAGGGTCACTTTGAGCAAGACCCATATGGGTTTTGCCAAACTTCTAGTTCAAACCCTTCTCTCCAATCCTGTTTTCCAGAAGACAACTAGCAACTCCTTCTTTCCAAAACACCCCAAACCCAGTTCTTGAACGGAACTTCGATCAGTTGGTGACAAAGAAGCATGGTTGAACAGACGGGGGAACCCTACATCCTAGAAAGATACTCCAGCCCCTTTAAACACCCAAAGGATCAACCCAACCCCTAGATCCCCGACTGAGCAATCCTAAACGATTCGTGGTTGGAAGCATCATCTTATAGCCAAAGTTTAAAAACAGCTTTCCGTTCATTCTCAATCAGATGTGTATTTCAAATAAGTCGACTGGGGTTGTGGACTATGCGCCGTTGCGTCATGGGATAATGATGTTTGTGATCCGTTCACATACTATCTGCGCCAAATTGGAGGTTTGGAGCAACTTTGTTCAGTCACATCTGGAGTCAGGCTTGGAAGGAGAGCTAGATAAAGCGAGTCTACAGAAAGGATACGTATGAGATTAAGGGATGACTTGCTCTTCTAGGAATATTTGGTCACTTTCTATTTTCTAATATTTCGACTTTAGGATTCTAGGTAATAAGATATTGTTCGTCTAGCATTCATTTCTTTTCTGTAATCATTAGTTTACTTCTTTATTAAAATGTCATTCTTGGCATTCTTATGTCTGCACGTCTAGTAAAGAAGATAATTAATGATGACATCAATTCCAAATATCAACATACGATGATTCCTAATTCAGAAGTTAACATGCTTTCATATCCTATCTTCACATTTTATTAGTTTATATTTTGTGTCTTTTGTAGAACTCTTCTTCATGTTGCTTGTTCATTGTCGATGTTGGTCGAGGAAAAGGCTCGTCCACATATCAATATCTTATCATTCCTCGTCCAGCGGATGGTTTTCCACCATGTACCGGGCAAAACTTCCAAGAACCCCCGGCCGCCTCCCCCCCCCCTCCGCTCCGAACCGACTCGCCCGAATCCGCTCGAATCGGATTCGTCCGACCTCGCAGGTCACCAGACCGGGCGATGGGCTGAAGATCACCTCGTGGCTCAGCACCGTGTTCGCCACCGCTTCCTCGCTCTGGCGATCCGATCGGATCGATCGGATCGATTTGAGTCTGAGACTCCCGGGTTTTTTGGTGGGTTTTTCTGGGGCAAAGGAACCACCACCTAAAATGTGGGGTTCTCTGTCTTCTGAGTCTCCAAACATTGTCTCCCGGTTCAAGGGGGGTACCAAAAAGGGGGAAGGGGTCAAAAGAAAGGAAGGGAAGGACAAAAAACAGAAGAAGCTCTTGTTGGTGTGTGCTTTGTTTGTTGAAGGGAGGAAACGCCACCATTTAGGTGGGCTCCCTTTTCTTGTTGCTGTTGTTGTTTTGGCACCCTTTTCACTCTGAGAAGGAGCGCCAAAAGGGAAACCACAATTCCTGATCTTGACAGATACCCATATTCTGTCTTGTTTAACTGAGGCCCCTTCTGGTTGACGTAGGAAACCCAAAGGAAAGCGTTGCAAGACAAACAGATATGCGTGGTTTCGATTGACATCAGGGTTCCATTGTCCGGCTTCAATAGACTAACACAACACACCGCACAAAGAGGCTGGCCCTTTTGAAGCTTGATACTCTTCAGCTTCCGCTCAAACTTTGCTTCAACTCATCTGGGGTCTAATTGGCTTCGTGTCATCAAAAAAAAACCTAAAGGCAGTTTCCCTTGGAATCCAAGCAATCCAAAGCTCAGTTGTTCAGTGACCCTGGAAAAAAAAGGGAAACCTTTTTTGGGAAGACCATTTTAGCGGGGCAGCCACCAAAAAAAAGAGGGAAAAAGGGTACCACTGAACAAGTGAGAAAGGGGTCTCAACAAAAACTCGCGAGCCGCGCCCATTTCCGCCCCCCGCGGGTGTTGCCGAAGCGCCCAAGCGCCGCCGCAGCGGGCTTCGTAGGACGAGAGGGGGATGAAGCCATCGGAGATCGGGGGAAGCCAGGTGAGAAGGATTCCTCAGGCGACTTCGGCCAAAGAAAACAGCTCGCTTGCGAAATCTGCTCCCCAAGCAGAAAAGCTGAAAACCTTTGATGGTTGAATGGAACACCCATTAGTTGGCAAACAGTTCAAGTCCTAACATCCAAGCAAATACACCAAAGAACAGGCATGACCAAATCCCTTCTAATACCAACTGGGAACATTTGAGCGCAACACTAGAAGTCGACATCAAATTTGACAGACCCCAACTTTGACACGATTCCAAGTATGCATCGTCTTCATGGATTGGAAGCCTACCTCCAAGTACCTCCGAGATGAGAACAAGAAAATATTTCGGGTAAAGGGTGCTTGGTCCAAAAAAGTAAACACAAAACAAGGAAGAAATTGACTCCCGAGCCTTCTTTACGCCTTCGTTACAGCAACCATTTCCACAAGTCTTGAAGGGACAAGAACCTGCGTCGGACCCCGTTTTCGGGTGTCTTTACATTTAATGCAAAAAGACGCAGGCGTCCCATGCGAAACTATATGCAGCTTTGGTCCACTTTTCCACGGCTATCGGTCACATGTAGCCCCTGCTTGTCAGGGTGGTGTCACGCCCGAAGTGCCAACTGATGGCATCCATCGGCGAACCCCATGTTCATGAGTTCCACCAGTGCATTAATTTTGCCGGCATCCAAATGCTTGGTGCCAACATCGGCGGGGTTCACTGACGTCCCCACCTTGCTCAGTGCAATCTCGCCTTCTGCTATCCGCTGTTGCAACAGAAGGTAGCACCGACTGATGTGCTTTGCTCTCCCATGCCCGCGTCTGCCCAACATTGCCTTCGCAGCTGTAGCATCAAACAAGAGTTCTGCTTTGAACGTCAATCCAAAGTCCTGCATTGTTGCAATTGCACCCAAAAGAGTTGCTCCGGCCTTAATACCGGCATAGAATTCCGACTCTCCAGATGAGAGCGATATCACGTGTTGCGTTGTCGAATAAAAATTCAGCAAGTGCTGCCCATGAAACAATGCGCCACTCGATGTCGACTTCCTCGTGGAATGGCACCCAGCGTCGTCAGAATCCGTGTACATACGAAGCTTGTCCTGCTCCATCTGCTCGTTGTAAACCCAAACCAACCTGGGCCGTCCACTCAAATAACGTACCAACCGTTTCAAGCCCTGAAAGTGGCTCTGTCGTGGCTTCTGCATGTTCCTGGCCAGCTCCTTCGACGCATAGCAAATGCCAGGTCGGTCAAGAGCCAGGTAATTGCACCGCATGACCATACTCCTGTATCTCGAAGTCTCCACCGCTGAAAGTTCTGGACTGTCGTCCGCACTGCAACTCACACCGGGGGTTGTCACCGTCTTTGCGTCCCCAAGACCAAGCTCGTTCTTCAAGATTTGCGCGTGCCTAGGATCCGCCTCCACTGTGGTTTCGTTGGCCCCGAAGTGAATAAGCCTATTCAGCAAACTCACATCCTGCACATCTGTATCTAAATCGGGTCCAAGCATACCCCCAAACTTCAGTTCATACCTGTCACTCAACCGCTCACGTAACCATTGCAAATTGTCTTCAAATCCCAATGAAGTGATGTCATCCCCATGAACTGAAACTTGTAAATCCCTCGTCATATTCACAAACAGCACTGGGCTTCCCAATCCCGGCGTGAAGCCATTGCAGGTAAAGAAGTCTGTGATCTCAATCTCCCAGCATGCCGCCGCATCACGACACCCATACATTGCTTTGTTCAACCGGCCACAAAATCCTTCCGGCAAGCCTGCTTCCTCTGGGAGGCGCACGTAAACCTTCCGGTAAATGCGTGCTGTTCAATGCGCCCGTCTGATGTCAATGAACATAACCTTCTTCCGCCGCCCCTTACGATCCGTAGCTGCACCTGTACGCTGCAAACTCAAAAGCATCCGGACCGATTCTAAAGGTGGTGTGGCAGCGAAAATTGCTTCTATATGAGCACTGCGGACTTCCTGAATGACAAGCCTGCTTCTGTAGTTCGGCCGGGCTTCGTCGCCCTTGTTCAAGTCAATCCAGCGTGAACCGATCGGTCCTGTACCAGTCTCCTGGTAGCACTCAGAAATGGGTACAGGGGTCCACACTTCATACCTGGTCGCGAAGTCAATTTCCTCCGCGCGTGCTGCCCGAACTCCTTCCGTGGACAACGGCTTCCCCGATGACTCATCAGTAAACGTCAACCAGTCCTCCTCCAAGGTCCGATCATCCACAACCAAGGACAGGTCGAGGTCCACCTCCTCATTCGTCGGCCCACACTCCAAGGAGCTCATAGGCTTCATCTTCTTCAGCTGTCGCTTCAGTTCCCGCAAAATGCTCTGAAGCAACTTGTTCGGATAAACCTCACACTGCTTTGCTTTGCCACCAAGCAGTGGCACATGCCTGTGCCACTTCTTCCCTGGAACCAGGTGGTAATACACCGTCTCCACTTCTCTGCAAGTTGCTGGCAAAGTGAAATGCAACATATCCGGCGTTGCTTGCTGCACATCTCTCAGATCTTGAATAACCTGCTCGTTTGTAACGTCCAGGATGACACGCCTCTGCACATTGCTCCACAAAAATTGTTGCTTGGGAAACTCCCCTGCTCTGCCCACATCACAAGTGCGGAGTCGAAAGATCTTGAGCGCATCCGGCTCATTGCTGCACCGCCTTCCCAACTTCTTTGCAATGCACTCACTGTTTGTTAAATACCCAGTGGTCTTCTTTGCAAAAGCTTCTCCGTGCTTGTCTCTGATCTTAAGACCTTGCTCGCACATTTCTCCCACGACCGTGTACACATCCGGTCGGCCTGCAATTCGAACCATCGAAGGCGATTCCCATGATGTAGCATTAGCAGGGTGTTCATGCACGAAAAACTTCCTCCTCATCATCTGAGCTTCATACTGCTCTGCGCAGAAATCTAAATGTTGTTGGGCCTCCTCCACATCCTGCTGCTTCTGCACGGGATCCCCTTTGTTCCGATTCAGGAACTGGAGTGGTGAATGCATTCTGCATGGGGGGCATCCTAGCAGCAAGTCTGGGCTTAAATCCGCAATCTTCTCATTTGCACGTTGTCGGCAATCAGCCTTGGAGAATTCCCAAGGTTGTCCATACTCATCCATCACCGTCAGGTCTAGGGCTAGACCGTCTCCTAATCCTCTCTGCTGCGCATAGCGGGTCAGGCGAGGTGGCGAGAAAATCTCCGCCAGCACCGGTTCTTTGCACTGATATGCATCTGCAACAAAACTCGCATCTCCTCCACCTTCTCATCTAGCATCAGCTCCGCTGTCTCGTCTAAGCTGATGCTCCGGGTCAGGGCACCATAGGCCGCCTTTGTGGTCAGCGAACCCAAATCCATTTCTCTCATCCTTCAGGACCTTGATCCACCGCCATTGCACCACCATCTCCTCCACCTCGATCCTGCAGGGGGGCTGGTGATGGTGCTTGGGCTGCTTCACCTGCTGCTGCCTGCTGTCGCTGTCCTGAGGAGCTTGCCGGCTGCACATCACGTACAACATCTCCCGGGCCACTGCGAAGAACCTTATCTATTTCTTCGCCTTCATTCGCAATTCTCACACGCCGCGGGGCCGCTGCTTTCGGCTCTTCCCCGCTTGCCTCTGACCTCCTCTTCTCAGCCTTCTCACGCTCCTCACGGTCATGGTAGGCCACCACGAACTTCTCCTCTCTCTCCTTCACCTTCTCCACGCGTTTCTTACCTTCGTCACTCTTCTCCAATTCTTCAGCAATCCTCTGCTTGCAAGCTCTGCTATGCTGCCGATGCGCCAGCCCATGTCGGGCTGCCTCGCAACCGTCGCAACCTTCTGTATATCCAAATTGCTCAAGCTCAACATCTCTCCGGATGTACAGGCCTCGAGGAACGTAGCCTTTCCTTTTGCGCTCCAGCAACGGTGTTGCTGCTGCTTCATCTCCTCCAGCTCGATCATCACGTCCTTCTCCGGGGAAGACGGGGACATTGCTCCTCCTCCCTCTATGGGCTTAGGCCGAAGCTGCCACGGTAAGCCAATCACCTTGTTCAGCTCCTCCACCACCCATTGCTCCTCCGTGGGCCGCCTCTTGATAGTCCAACTCCGCTGCACTCCTGAAGCTGCGCCCTCCCAGCGCAAACCTGTCCCTTCCTGCAGACCCAGGTAAATGCCAGGTAAGAACAAGGCCTCCATCTTGCTTCCTTGATGCTCTCCTTTCAAAGCTTGAAGAGCACACATTCCCCAAACTCAGGCAGCTGAATTGACCACTTCTTGCCCACAGATCTCTTAAGGCGTCATACCATCTTCGCCCCTGTTGAACCGCGTGATGAGTGCCCCAGCATAGTCAACCAGCCAGCATAACACCGGATGCCGTGCAGGAATCCTCACCTTATAGTGATCCTCAAGCGCGCTCCTCAAAGTCCGCGCCACTCCTTCAATCCGCCCAATCGCATTCTCGATGGGCCCATTCGTCTGGGACTCACCTTTCACCGCATTCTCGAATCCCAAACCTGGAAGCTTCTCCTGCACCGCATTCCTGAGCGCCACAATGGACGCCTCCGTGTCGCTCTTCAGAAGCCCGTCTTGAGCTCCTAGACACCTCAGGAGTTTCACCACCACCGCCACATTGTATTGATGTCCCACACCCTTACAGGGCATAGACAATGAGAAAACACGTTGGGTCTTCTCATCCAGGATTGCCAGTAGCGGCAGGGCCTCCTCCTCCTTCTTGCTCAGGTAGAAGTAGTCCATGTGGATCCGGGATCTCCTTCTACTCTTCTCATCTTCATCCGCTGCAAGGCGATGATGTGGCTTCGCACGTCCTCGTCCTCGAACGCAATGGACACACCAAGACCGATACGGCATATGCGAAATCATATGGTCTTGGATCTCTCTCGCGCTAGGCTTCACTGGGATGCTCTGTGATGCCCTCGCTCCTCTCTCCTCAAATTCGCCATGCAGCTCCTCCACCGGCAGATAGCCGCCTTCTGCGCTGTCCACCGCACCTCCATGCACTGCTGGATGATCCAACTCGAAATCTCCAATCGGCTGTTCACCTTCCTCCAGGAACCTTTCGGGCTCATAGAGGTCCGGATCTCCAAGCTCGCCTCCGACATCTCCGGCGCTCACCGCAAACACCATAGGGACTGCAGGTGGTCGACCGGCATGATACGGGGGTCTTACAGCTCTGCTGCTCGCTGGCCTCAATATGGATGAGGGCCACCGTGCACTGCCTGCCCTTGAAAATCCGCCTCCGAGGTGAACTGCTGCTTCTCCGGAATCACCAAGAGATCTTGCACGTAGACTCCATCTCGTTGATGCAGCCTCATCCGATTTCCGGTGGAGATCTCCTCAATCCAGCTTTCTTCCCAGGACCCAAGATGATCCGGTGCCCGCGATTCGCCACTTGAGCGGCTCACATCAAAACCTTGTGAACTTGGGCCACCGAAAACTCCGTCATCCTGAGCTCTCCTTCCTCAACCATCGCCGCACCCGATAGAGTTCCGGAACGACCTCTCCGTTGGCGCTCAAGAAGCACACGCCCTCTGCTGGGTCCAGCTGCTGCGCCTCTTCAAAAGCACCTGGGGGAGCCACCGACGCTGCTGCTCCGGAGTCCACCGTCACCACGATCACCCGAGCGTCTTCTTCTCCTACCCTCACCGTAGGCCAGGATGGCTGCTCAGGTTCTGCTGGTGCATCCTCTCTCCTCCGGCTGCCGCGTCTCCATGGAGGTTCAGGATCTCCCGACTCCTCATCACTCATCTCATCACTTCGTCTCCAGGGAGGCTCCGGTCTTGCTGATGCTTCCTCACTCCTCTGACCGCGGCGCCTCCTCACACTCAAAGCACAAAGGTGCTTAACCACCACCAAACTCCCGGCACTCACTGGCATTGGAGCTGCAGCTGCTGCTGCGGCTGGGCCTCCTCGGATCGGGGGAGTTGGGGGCGACTGCTGTTGCTGTGGGCTGCTGGGGGCTGCCGCATCTCTCACCACCCGGTTGTACTCCTCCAAGGCCGCTCGAGCATAGTTGGACTGCATTTGCGCCAGAAGCGGATCCTCGAGTTCTCAACCGAGTTCAATGGCTTGGGCTTGCTCCAGCACTGATCCTTGGTGTGCCCTGGCTTACCACAATTGAAACAGCCTCCCTTTTTCCCACTGCCTTTCTTCCCACCTTTACCTGCTCCTTTTCCACCTCCTTTGCCCTTGCCTTTGTTCCAAGTACCGGGTCCTTTTCCTTTGGAACCACCCTTACCTTTGTCCTTGCCCTTCTTGCAATCTCTCTGCAAATGCGGGCCACGGCCGTGCCTCATACTGCACAATGAGATTCTCCCAGTTCACCACCTCCGCGGCCAAGCGATCCATGCCGATATTCGCCTGAGGGTTGGTGATCCTCATCAAATCAGCCCGCTGCCGTCCAATCGTGCTGGGATTGAACCTCGTATTCAAAAGCCGGAATGCTTCATACCCGTTCGGTCTCCGCGCTTGTCGCACCAGGCTGCGAGCTTCTCCAGAAGTGTAGCTGCTGAGGACTGCATAGATCTGCGTGTCCCCATATTGGATCAGCAGAGGATCCAAGGCAGGGAACTTGACCAGCAAATCTGCCAATACCACACCAGTCTTGGGCTGCTCATGCATTATCCACTCCAGGATTTCATAGATCTCTGGCATGTTGGAATCGCTCAGGGTGATAATGCTGTCCGCCCAATCCAGGAAACTGACCTTACTGTGTGCTGGATTAAAATTCCCAGGCCGTCCAAGCTGCTTGCCGTCCACGCCTCCTTGCTGTATAGCATATGCAACTGCTGGGCTTGTTCGCACACCTCCTACTCCTCCACCTGGTGATCCGCCACCCACACCCGCCATATTGTAAACTGGCACTCCCGGCTGTCCTCCAACCGCCGGCTGTGGCGACGTGGGCTGATGCCCTCCAGTGGCTGCGCGAGGCGTGCCTTGTCCGCTCCCAGCTGCTCCTGATGCTGTCCCTGCTGCATATTGACTCATCTGCTGGATCTGGCTCTGCATCAGCCTCAGGGTTGCTCCCACCTGAGTCAGTTGATCTTGAGTCTGTTGGTGGGCCTGCGCAACTTGTCCCAGGTTGTCCTGCTGTCGCTGTTGCTCCTGGGCAAAACTCGCTTGCACCTGACCCACCACTTGTTGAACCACCGCCTCAGTGACTGTCTGAGTCATCTGCAACCCACCTTTAGCACCATGCACTGCTTGCGCCAAATCCTGCATCTGCGCCCGCTGAGCCTGCTGCTCTGCAATCATCTGTTGCAAAGTTGCCTCCAGCCCTTGTTGCCCCGCTGACCCGTCCGCCATGCTGTCAATACCGACCAAGGCGATCACAAAGCCGACGAACCCCACCAAGACTCCTGTCAAGATGTAAAAACGCCAGCTCGTGCCCGTCAGCTTGCCCAAAACCAGAATACCCGCCGATGAAGCGCGATCCTGATGCACCTCGCGATTGTCACGCGATCTCATTGGGTCATGGCTGCTGGTTCAGCGGTCCAGCTCCGCTACCATGCGAAACTATATGCAGCTTTGGTCCACTTTTCCACTGCTATCGGTCACATGTAGATTCTACACATCCCAGGAAAGGAACCTTCGTTTTGGATGAACAGCACCAACTCCTTGCTTTCAAAATTCGAGGACTTCTGAAGCCTTCAACTTGCTGGGGGAAGGACCTTCCCTCCCCCCCGTTTTATGGGAGCGGCCATCTGCGGTTCCGCCCTTACCTGGGAAATTCAAAGTCCTTTGATTTGGAGAGACCCATCTGTCCCCAAATGGATCTGGACAGTTCACAAAACCTCATGTTGAAACCCAAACCGGGTTTCCACCACAGCACCCAAAGAACAGTCTTAAGCTAGTCGAACATAGGATGCCGCTGGTTTCAGTTGACCGGAGGGGGGGGGGGGGGCATGACACCTGTTGGAAGTTTTTCTCTGGGCCCAAATCATTACAATATTGTGGGTGCTATCAAACCAAACTTAGTCATAGGAGTCAAGTCTGAGTAATCTAGCTCCCTATGTTACTTGCGCAGCGGCGAAACGACGGACCCCCTTTTAGATTGAAAAAAAGGGGGGAGTCAACCAACTAAAAACCGTGGCCATTTCAGCAGTGCGAGAATTCTTGAGAAGCATCCATGGGCATGGCTCAAAAAAATCACTGTGATACGAAAGCAGGCCACCCGCATGACTGCTTCATATCTTTTGAAGGCTTGTTTTGGCATGACACAAACTGGTTCGAAAAATCGATTTGAACAATGGTCCACATTGGTTTGAGGGGCCTCAACTTTTCGATCCCCTGCAAATGCAGGGGTTTCTGCTTTAGGGTTTAGGGTTTAGGGGTTTCGGGTCTAGAGGGTATATCAAATGGATTGAGAAATTTTGCTGCACCCAAGTTTTTCGCAACCCATGGGAACACAAGTACATGACTTGCTGGTGCGAGATTGGCAAGGAAGGAGGGAAAAACACTCATAAACAATCCCATGTGGTTTCCTTTCAGGAATCTTCTTCCGGTTCATTCCCAAACTCCGGACTCTGTCACACCTGTAAGATGATGAATCTAAGGGGGCTAAATGATTAGATGTCGGGGCTAAATGATTAGATTTCCATGTCCCCAAAGGGCGTTCGGGACCCGGTAGTACCGATTTTCCCCGAACCTCGACGGGTTCCGGCTGTGCATCAGCTTCCGCGGGGTTGGATCGTGGTCAAAAGGCCAGGGTTCAAATCCCACTTGAGCCCTGGCTTTACCCTCACCAATCCAAACCAGCAGTCCAGACCAATCCAAAGAAACTAATCCAAAGAAACCAACCTGACAGGGCCACCTGAACCAAAGGCCTTACTCCGAAATGGGGGGGCTTAAGCACACTTCGTCCCACGGAAAAGCCCAGGCGCCGGAGGCGGTGACCGAGGCCTGCAGACTCAGCACCTGGCTACGGCGACATATGGCCATGGTTCAAAACCAATGGGATCCCATTTTGGTTGGTAGGTGAATTCACCACCCATTTTAGAACCTATTTGAGTGGTTGGATTGGGATGTTCACTTGGGGCTACGATTTGGGTTTTGAAAAGCCCATGGCCATATGGTTCAGGCCAAAAGGCTTCGGGGGTACACCCCTCACTGGCCATGGGTGTTTTTTTGTCCTGCGCTGCTTCAAAAGAAGCCCCGCCCCCCAAAAGTTAAAAGCAAAGGCTTTGGGGTACCCGCCCCAGTCCGAATCCGGGGACCCTTCTTTCGGAAAGCCCACTTCAGAAACCCCCGGGAAAAACGGATCCGTTCTTTTTCGAACAGAACGAGGCTGGAGAAGAATGGGAAAGGAATCAAAACCTAGAACAAGGGCTTTAGAAAGGGAACCCCAAGGACTGATTTCTTCAAGTGTGTTTTCAAAACATGTTCTTTTTCGGAGGAGTGGTGTTTCCAAGGAGGGTCTTTTTCAAGAATTCGTTTAGACAGCAAAGCAACACACACACACACACACAGCGCGCCCCATGGTGTTTTTTGGTGCTTCCACAACCAACACACAACAAAACACGAAACAAACACACACACTGTTTTTTTTGGGGGGGGGTTCCAGGAAGGATGACTCGGTTGCTTTCAGCTCCCCTGGTAAAAGTTCAACTTTTAGTGGTTTAATACGGAAAACCGTTTCATGAGTTGGCCAAAAGTTGTTCAGTCCTAACATCCCTTGGCAAAATGCCCCAAAGATGGGATGCTTCCAGTCTTGGTTGACGTTGAAAGGGGAGCAAACATTTAAGTTTTAGCAGTTAAGTGGATTTGGATGGATTTCAACCAATAAGCAACATGTTTCCCAACCACAATAAGCAAAAATGTAAAAAATGTTACCCAACCACAATAAGCTAAATGTAAAATGTTTCCCAACAACAACCATGACAAGCCATTTTCCTTTTGTAAAGCCTTGCAAGCCCTTGGCTACCAAACTCCAGTGGCTTCGTTCTCCGCGCACCTCTGTGGCCAGCTGCGCCGTGGACAGCGCCACGTACGGCGAGAAGGGCCTCGCTGACCCAGTGAGTCGCGGCGAGCGAAGGGCGGGCTTCGGGGCTGGGGCTCAGGTCTCGTGACCCCTGCGTCAAAGAAGTCATTTCTCAAAAAAGACTATTATTTTTATGTCATTAAAAAAAAGAGAAACAAAAAACAACAACAAACAACACTTATGCTGAACTGTCATCTTGACGCAAGGACATCTTTCTTCTCGTTTCTCTTGCGTCAAGCGTCAAGAGATGATATTGTCCTTTGTCAGCTAGAAGGAGTTGGACCAAGATGGTGAACTGTCAACACAAATCCACGAGAGTTGCACGAAAACTTGAAGAACTCTTAAGACAGGAATCGGAATATGTTGCTTCAAAACCAACCTGATGCAACCCTGGCTCAAGCCAGGCATGCAAAGCATCTCTCTGCCGAGGCTAGGCCATAGCTGCAACGTGTGCCATAGCTGCCGCCATTGGGAAACAACATTGTGGTGACTTACCAAATCCAGGCTCTCACTTGGTTGACGTTGGAAGGGGAGCAAACATTCTCAAGTTTTAGCAGTTGAGTGGTTGGATTTCAACCACTAAACCACAATAAGCAAAAATGGGGAAAATGTTTCCCAACAACAACTATGCTCAGGGGCTTCCCTGCAGTGCAAATGATTTGTTTGACATGTTGCCTGGATTGCTCAAAATGGGGAGGTTCCTCGTTTCAAAAACCCTAATCCGGAATTAGTGGGACACCACTACAGCGAAAAACAACGCTGCCAGCCGGCATAATTGAGGATCTTGAGAATCAATGTTGAGCAACAACGATCACTGCAATTTAAAGCCGTTCAAGGAACGGTGAACAGGAAAGCAGTGAGCATTCAGCTTTCGAAGGCAAAAAATGCCTTTTACCATTTCTCAACAAAACTCAGTTTTAGCCAAATAAAACCGTTCAATTAAAAGTCTAAACTAGGTCCTCCAGTAGAGAGGTTGGAATAAGGGTACCAACTTTTTTCTGCAGTAGGGAACCCTCCCCCCAAAAAAGAAACCATCAAAGGGGACCTAGCTGGGGGACCTAGAAAAGGAACGCCGCCGTTGGAAGGCTTTGAGCCTTGCAACCAAAGGGCCCAAAGCCGTTGCGGTTGCCGAGGCGCAGCTTGAAGCCCCAGACCTCGCAAAGAAGGGTCTGCGCCAAGCTTCAGATATGCCCAGGGGTCAAATGACAAAAATCGTAGCCCCAGGGAGCATCCGATTCAATCCAACCACTATAGGTTCCAAAATGGGTGGTGCACCGAAAACCCCAAAATGGTCGCAATTACTTACGGCCGTTTCGTTCATTGGCTTGAGAGTCCAAAATCCCTATCCTTTGCCATGGTTTTGTGCAATATACTAAACTCAACAGAAGTCATTTTGACGGTGCTTCATTGATGGAAGCTGCGAGTCTATATAGTTTGATACGTTATAAAGGCCCCTTCGTAGAAAAGGGGGTCAAATGCAAGCCTGGGGTGTTCAATACGAGCTCTAATCAAATACTCGCTCAGAGCCATAGCACGGGAATGGAAAGGTCATGGCCCTTAACCTCACTGTTAGGCAATGGCTCCTGCTGCAAGTGGGCGAATCAGCATATGTGCAAGGCGCAAACCTGTGCGGCCTCCTTGATCATGTCAGTCTTAGTGAGTCCCGTACTGTGGGTGGACGAAACCCATTTTGCGTCACTTGGGATAGCTGAAACCCTATAAATAATTGGAGAAACCGCCTACCAAGTGGTGCAGGATTTAGTATCTCATTCCAGCACATAGATGAAACTTCCTAACGGTCGTTGCCTAAGGTATCCGTATGGCTATCCAAATTCCGATTGCGGGGTCATATTGTCTCCAGCCTCCCTCCCACCCCAAGCAGGTCTTTCGACCCTGCCACATCTGGGTCTGTCTGAAAGTAGAACCCCAAAATGATGAGTGTGCTTTTGCATCCTCTTAAAATCATAACCTTACTAAAAGGGTACCCCCACAAAAAGAGTGGCACAAACTGTTATGATCGGGGATTGTCTCATTATTCGGGAAACCAACAAAAAGGTTGCTTTCCTATTGGTTTTCTTTCAAGACACCCCCAAAACCGAATCCCCCTCAAAAGATCGGACCCCACATGGGTGGGTCTTTTCTTTTAGGGGGACCCCCGACATTGTTGATTTCCTTTCGGTTCCCTCTTAAAACCACAAACAAGAAATACCAACTCCAAACAAAAGCAGAGCCAATTGGATTTTGGTTTTCCTTTTGGTATCCCTGAACAAACCACTCCCAGGTCCTCCAGTTAGGTTAGAATAAGGGTACCCGATATGTTTTCCCGTAGTCTATTTTAGTAGGGAAGCCTCCCCAAACAAAGAATAAAAAAGGGCACTACTGGGGGACCTCATCCCAACCCCAGCAAACGACCTGAGATCCTTTTCCATCTAAAACCCTCCCAACGAGGTGGCGGGTCAAAACCCCATACCCCCAGTGAACATCCGATTCAATCCCCACTAAAATGGGTGGTGAATTCACCTATCCCAACCAACTATCCCAACCAACATCCCTTGGAAGACTCCAAAAAGGCTGCCCATCGGCAGCTCCTGAGTCTCAGGATCCCGAGTCGCCCTGGTCACCGGGGTCTCTGGGAAGGTGTCGATCTCCACGGAGGGGTCCACGGCGATTGCCGGGCCACCCAGCGGGTCGGCCTGTGGCGTAAAGCACTCGAGTGGTAGGTTGGTTGGCTGGTAGGTAAGTTGGTGGCTGGCTGGCTGGTGTGTTGGTTGGTAGGTTGGTTGGCTGGTTGGTTGGCTGGCTGGTATGTTGGTAGGTTGGTTGGTTTGCTGGCTGGTTGGTATGTTGGTAGGTTGGTTGGTTTGCTGGCTGGTTGGTATGTTGGTAGGTTGGTTGGTTTGCTGGCTGGTTGGCTGGTGTGCTGGCTGGCTGGCTGGCTGGCTGGTATGTTGGTAGGTTGGTTGGTTGTCTGGCCGATTGGCTGGTTGGTGGGTTGGTTGGCTGGCTGCTTGGTTGGTACGTTGGTCGGCGGGCAAGCTGGCTGGTTGATTAAAAACTGGCCTGCTCAAAAACAAATCGATCCGAAAATTTGGAGTGAGAGACTCAAGCCCATGGGATCCAGGCGCCAACTTTGTGGCCCTGGACTCAATTCGTTCCTTGAGCATCCAATGAAAAGTGCCGCTTCGGACCTCTTGTCACACTCAGAACCCCCCACCCATGGGCCTGGCCCTCTCTCCCCTCTCGCCTCATGTGAAGTCACTTGGTACAGGCGCCGCCAGTTGGAGCCGTCGGACAGGTCGGGGCTGCCCCAAAGGTCGTAGTCCACGCCCAGGTTCGCTGGGTCCTCCCCAGCCAGCGCGGCAGTGACCTGTGCAAAATGGACTTGGGTGTGGGCAAGGGAAGGGTTGCCAAAAAAAACTAGACCACGGTTGGCCCGAAAGCAGAACATCGCAAGCGAGGTCGGCCCAACGCTGCAGGATGCGTTCTTTTTCCCTACACGAAGCATTTGTGAAGCAAGCGCGAGACAGCGCCAGGCAAGGTGCTCTGCGCAAACTGGTCGGTGCAAGTTGGTCTGCGCAAGTTGCTCTACGCAAGTTGCACTGTGCAAGTTGCTCTGCGCAAGTTGCTCCGCGCAAGTTGCTCCGGCAAGTTGGTCCCTGCAAGTGGCAGTTGTGCAAATTGCGCTCCCTGCAAGTTGCTCTGTGCAAGCTGCTCTGTGCAAGTTGCTCTGTGCAAGTTGCTCTGCGTAAGTTGCTCTGCGCAAGTTGCTCTAGGCAAGGCGCTCTGCGCAAACTGGTCGGTGCAAGTTGGTCTGCGCAAGTTGCTCTGTGCAACTTGCTCTGCGCAAGTTGCTCTGCGCAAGTTGCTTTAAAATGCAAGTTGCATCTTGCGACGCCCGCCCGCGGACCAGGGAGGAATCGAACCCGCGACCCGCCGGTTCCGGGAGCAGGCGCGCGAGCCACGAGACAACTCCCGAGGACCAGTTCGAACAACAAAAGTCGCAAAAAACCTCGAGTTTTTGCACCTCGACCACGCCGATCCCCGCAGAGGGTGCGCGAGCACCGCAGAAATCGCAAAAAACCTCGAGTTTTTGCACCTCGACCACGCCGATCCCCGCAGAGGGTCGCGCGAGCAGGTTAAACATCGCAAAAAACCATTGGTTTTTGCACCTCGACCACGCCGATCCCCGCAGAGGGTCGCGCGAGCAGGTTAAACATCGCAAAAAACCATGGGTTTTTGCACCTCGACCACGCCGATCCCCGCAGAGGGTCGCGCGGGAACTTTAGAAATCGCAAAAAACCTCGAGTTTTTGCACCTCGACCACGCCGATCCCCGCAGAGGGTTGCGCGAGCACCGCAGAACATCGCAAAAAACCTCGAGTTTTTGCACCTCGACCACGCCGATCCCCGCAGAGGGTCGATTTTCGTGTAGTGTCGTCGGCACTACCCCGCCGCCCTAAGAAGAGATTTTAACTCCTCGCAAGTCAATTGCACTTGACTCCTTGCACTTGCAACTTGCACTTGACTCCTTGCTTGTTTCAAGGAGTCATTGCAAGGAGTCATTGCAAGGAGTCATTGCAAAGAGTCATTGCAAGGAGTCATGGCAATTGGAGTCATTGCAAGGAGTCATTGCAAGGAGTCATTGCAAGGAGTCATTGCAAGGAGTCATGAGAGCCATTGCAAGTTGCAAGGAGCCAAGTGCATGGAGTCAAGTGCAAGTCGCAAGTGCACGGAGTTAAGTGCAAGTTGCAAGTGCAAGGGGCCAAGTGCAAGGAGCCAAGTGCAAGGAGCCAAGTGCATGGAGTCAAGTGCAAGTTGCAAGTGCATGGAGTCAAGTGCAAGTTGCAAGTGCAAGGAGTCAAGTGCAAGTTGCAAGTGCAAGGAGTCAAGTGCAAGTTGCAAGTGCAAGGAGTCAAGTGCAAGTTGCAATCCTCGCCATGACTCCTTGCAATGACTCCTTGCAATGACTCCTTGCAATGACTCCTTGCAATGACTCCTTGCAATGACTCCTTGCAATGACTCCTTGCAATGACTCCTTGCAATGACTCCTTGCAATGACTCCTTGCAATGACTCCTTGCAATGACTCCTTGCAATGACTCCTTGCAATGACTCCTTGCAATGACTCCTTGCAATGACTCCTTGCAATGACTCCTTGCAATGACTCCTTGCAATGACTCCTTGCAATGACTCCTTGCAATGACTCCTTGCAATGACTCCTTGCAATGACTTTCATGATGATGATTCCTTGCAATGACACCTTGTAATGACTCTCATGAGAACAACTCAAGTGAACCCAGTGGAAGAACCCTTCGCCATGCTTTCGGGAAAAAAAACAGGTGAGATCCCCCACCCAAACTCCCCCCTGGAAGCCCCTGGACCTCGGAGCCCCCTGAAACTTCCTTGGCGTCATGCCTGGTGTCTCTCTAATTCAGGGCATCAACACCGGGGTGGTTCCTTTGGCGGAGGTTTTGGGGAAATTGTCCAAGACGGGGTGGGACTTTTTTTGAAGGAAGCCTTTATGTGGTTTTACGGGATAACTAAAAGGAAAACCATAATTTCGTGTTTGTTTGTTCTTGTTTGGGGGAAGGTCGCCAGAAAAGAGACCCACCCAAGAATCCGGTTATTAAGTTTATGAAACGCCAGTTAGAGGTGAAGCCCTTTTCACATGAACTCTGTTTGCAGTGAAACTTGCAACACGGCGATATATGACACTGCCCGAACATTACATTCATTCAGAGCTTCAGAAAAGCAAAGTAAAAAAAAACTACTGGTGAACTCTGTTGCGACTTTTTAACGCAAAGAACAATCCATCGGAGAAGTCCAAAACCAAACATTCTGACCGCGAATCAGACCTTGCGAAACTTTGACCTCTCGAACCTATGGCCCCATGCTCCGCTTCCAAGTGACCCTTGTCTCTTGGTCTGTTTGAGTGCCTGGACATATGGGGGGTGTCTTCGGGTAATGTTGACCCCGGATTAATAAACCCCGGTTTGAACAAATATGGGGGTGGGGGCCCCTCCAAAAGTGACCAATCCCCACTACCGGGGACACCCCCATATTAATAAACAGGGGTTTATTAATCCGGGGTCAACATGACCCACTTTGTTTCTTTGTTTGCGTTTTCTCTGAGGGTACCCATTTGTTTCTTTGTGCTTATTTCTCTGAGGGTACCCATGTGTTTCCTTTTCTGATGGTACCTATTTGGGGGCTGGTTTAAAGGGAAACCAAGCGGCATGACGCGTCTTGGGGACCCAAATCGCTATTTTGAGACAACCCCAAACACACATATTCCAACAAGTGAAAGGCATTCTTGCGATACCGACCAGATAAAAATCATGCCCCATAGCACCTGCCCGGTAAGTTTGGTAGGCAGGTCGGAAGGAAATTTGGCGGTGTGTGTGCAACCAAACACTCCATGCAGTCTTTACCAACATTTACCTTCCAAATGGGTAACATGCTGGTATACCTGGGCCCTCCAGGTGTGCAAAATTTCCGCCGTTTGGCGAAAATGCTATAATTTCCGATGTTTCGTTCAAAAGCGCTTTTTGACCCAACAACTGCTCTTTTTCAAGATTGCCGCGAAGCGTGTCAGAAAAAGCGCCTTGTGGCCGGGTAAAAGAGCTTTATGACCAAGGAAAAACGCTTTTCCAGCACAAGCCCAATCAAGAAAAACATGCATCACTGGGAAAAAAACGCATCAAGCAAAAGCACATTTTCAGCCAAAAATAACTTCTTCTTGAAAGAGCACAAAAAAGGCACGCCTTGGAGGATCCAGATATTGACCCACGTGTTCCAACAGGGACGACAGAAAGTCAATATAGGTCGGCGTTGGGCAGCTGACAAGAGTAAGCAGGAACTCAAGTGGGGAGACCTTTCAACTCTTGCACCTGCCAGCGAGGGGGAGTGCAAATTAGCAGAATCAGGTTCAAGAAATCGCGGAATATTTCCCGAAATGCGGCCCATGTGTCTAAGCACGAGCCGAAATGAAGTACCTTCCCACCCGCCAACATAGAATCTGGCCCATGCTCCTCTTTAAGATGTGCGCGAAAGGCCATCGTTTCAACAGCCTCCTTTCAGACTCCCTTTAAAAAGGTTTCGCCGCTTCCAACAATTTGTTTCAACCACCTCCTTTCAGTTTCACATGTCCCTTCACAAACCAACAGAGTTTGGCTGAGCCAAACCCAGCCCCCCAAATGTTGACCCCATATCCCAGTTCATTCATAGGGGGAGGGTGTCCATTTCTGGGTTTAGTGCGGAATCAGACCACTTTTGGAGGGGACCACCCTATTACTAATCTGGTTGCTTGAAATTCATGCGGGGTTCTCAGATGCCCATTGGCCATGGGGAACAAAAAGGGCCTCCTTTTTCGGTTGCTTGACTTCAAAGGAATCGGAACCCTTCCCCCCCCCCAAAAAAAAAGGAGAAAAACGGAAGCAACCCACTGGGCCATTTGGGGGACTCAACGCAGGACGGCTCCGCAGGCTCCTTCCCCCCAAAAAAAAATCGAAGGGGAACAAAGGGTAATTCCCACCGGGCCACTGGGACCAAACGCCCCAGGCAGCTGACGGCTCCGGCTGACGGCTGACGCCTCCGCGCCTCATCCCACTGGAGCTTCACGCGCCCCGCGGTGGCGGAGCCCCGCCTTGGCGCGCCGGGCGCCAGCGGCGCGTCGATGCACAGCCGCGCCGCGGACCACTCGGACCACTCGGAGGCGCCCAGGGCCTAAGGCTGGATGGGCGCTGAGGTTTTGGAGGCGCTGCCAAGAAACCCAGGGAAGCTGACGAGGTCCTCCAGTTTGAGGCAGTACGGGTACCCGATTTTTTTTCAGTAGTTGAGTTTAATTTAAAACAAACTTGGAGTCCAAAGGTGGCCAAAAGTCGCCCTGAATTGGCGGTTTGGATTTGCTAGGTCCTCCAGTTGTTTGAGGTTAGGTTAGAATAAGTTGGTACCCGAGTTCATGTCTGACCCTCCCCCAAAAAAGGAAACTGTAAAAGGGCACTACTGGGAGACCTAGCTGAGCAAACCACAATGAACGGTTACCCGGGTAAATGGAAACATGGACTAGAGCCTACATCCTGGTGGTTTAATTTTGACCCGTACGTGCTTCCAACTGCAATCCAAACATCAATGAAATTGATTACCAACCAGGGTCAAATGTTGATTGCTGATGTTGGAAACATCGAAATCATGATTTAGGAAAAGAAAACAATAATCTAATTCGCAATCAGATTGAATGTGGGTCTGTATGGGGACTTCTGAAATGATAGCTTTGCGTCCCTTTTGTATTCCCTTTGAAAACCAACAAACAAAAGGGTTCCAACCAAAAAAAGATGAGCCATGGCAACATCTGGTAGCTCCCTTGCCCCAACCAACAGGTGGATTGAAGACAGGAATTTCCTGGATTTAGGAGCCGGAAATTCAAGTTGGAAACCAAAAGGACACCAAAAACCAGCTTGGGGGAACCCCATGTTGAAAAACACCCATGCCGCCTCTAAACAGGGGATCCCCAAAAGGAAAGCCATAGTGACCAACTGCCCAGCAGCCTGAGACATCGGAACTTTCCGCAAGTTGCTCAGCGAGCGACGGACAAATGTCTTGAGTAAACTCAACATGGGAAAGTCGGGTTGTCCCTACGGCCCTCCCCAAACCAATAGTGGACCAGTAGTTGTGTCACTTGAGTTGCGTCTAGAAAACTGCTTAGATGTGGTTTGTGTTGATCCACCCTTTTAGGGTAAGAAACGGAGTCTCCCTGAGAAATGTTGATGTCTCTTCATATATATATATATATTACATCTACCTACCTACGTACCTACGTACCTGCCTGCCTGCCTGCCTGCCTGCCTGCCTACCATGTACCTATCTATCTATCTAGCTACCTACTATCTATCTACCTATACCTACCTACCTACCTACCTACCTACCTACCTATCCAACTTATCTTACCTTATATGGTCTCGTGTTTTACTATGCTACTCAATTATCTTGTATGAACTTATCTTATCGTATCTTCTTGTACCGTATAAATTATATGTTCTAGTGTAATCTCATTATCCAGTCATCCATCCCTCCGTCCATCCATCAATCCATCCATGTCTAACAGGGAAGCAGTATGTAGCAGTGTCGTAGAGTCAGAGCCAATTGCGGATGTTGTGAGGAATCGCTCATAGCTGAGGCTTAATGCTTCTACCGTGCAGACCAGAACAGTTCAAGAACAGTTGGTTGTGCATGTTCAAACACCAAGTTGACCCCTCTCACAAGCATGGAACCTAAGATCCCTCTCAAAAGGAAGCTTGCCTTCCGTAAATCCGTGCCATGCCATGCTCAGTTGTTCGGTGACCCTGGAAAAAAAGGGATCCCTTTTTGGGGCTTGGACCATTTTAGTCGGGGCAGCCAAACAAAATGTTGGAAAAAGACTTGGTGCCACTGAACAACTGAGGCCATGTCAATGAGGACCTTGAGGCGTGAGAGGGGTCGGCTCCGAAGCAAACACACAGCCAATGGGTTAATTGGATTGGGCGGATTCCACACCTACCCTCCGAGAAGTCAGCGGGAAAAGTTGCAGCCGGTTGCAATGCTTGCAATTCTTCTGCCACTTTTTTGAGAAGGCAAAAGAAAATGCAAGGGTCCCTCTGTTGACTCAAAGCCGTGATCTGATCGAAGGAGTTCATTCTTCCCTCTGTTAAACCACTTTGCGTATTTCATTTCCTGATCTAAGAGGGGCAGTGGCTGCCAAAGCCAGCTGTCAACAATCCCCCCTTTCTTACTCAGGGCGACTCAGCTCCTTGGTTGCAGCGCGACAAACATCGCAGCTCTCAAAATCTCCTCACCTCCCCAGTGGCCCATTTCAGGTGGCCTTCCATTGCAATCGAGGAACGCTAATGGCGCGCACCGCGGCACGGTGGTACACGTGGGGCGTCAAGAAGGCGACCTCATCAAATCGGCGTCAAATCGGCGGATCTCTGTGCGGTTGACCCTTTTTGGGGGAGTTTTGAATGGGAAACCCTCTTCCGGAAACCAAAGCCGATTTCTGGAGGTCCAGCTTCTATTCGAGAAGAAACATTGGTTTTTGCCCAAGTCAGCCATGTTGGAGGGAAGACAAACCAGTACCATGTAAAGACGAACACGGAGTGTTGGTGGCTGGAGAAGCAAGCTTCTTCAACCTGACAGAGCTTGATTGTTGCTAAGTGAAGAATCATCTCTTCACTGAGTGCCGACATTGGTCTAAGCACCAGCCCACCTTAAAAGAGAAGCTCAAAGGAGAATTGTTAAAGCAGTGGGTGTTTCAACATGTGGTTGACTCGATTGGGATCCACCAAAGACCAGCCATACAAACAAGTCACCGCAAAAAGGTCGCCGTTGATTTTCGGCAAGCGAAGCATGTCAACCCCTATGACGGGTCCCATTAGAGTAGGACCACCCAGCAAGCTGTGGTGCGGCTGCACGAATCTAGAACACCTTTTCAGGGTCTCTTTCTTGTCCCAGAACTGGAAACCGGAACGGTAAACTCTGAAGACCTCCTTTCCGCATAAGGCAACCCTTCTTGACCAGACTTACCGGCAAAACGGCGCTTCGTTGGCTTCAAGGGACAATGGGGATGTGTATAATACCGGGAGCCAAACAATATTGGCCTTCTTGTTGGTCTCCCTTTCAACTAAGGCGCAAAGGGTGCCCTGCAAGCAACACACACACACACACACACGCACACCCAAATCAAATAAACAAACCCAAGCTGGGCAATTCAAAATGAAGCTTTGGCCAATCCCCTGTGGGAAAACCGCTAATCAAATCCTTTGGTAACCCAAGGGCCTGAGGCAACCCTTGGGCCAAACGACGTCCAAAGCTCCAGCCGCGACTGCGCGGACCGGATCGATGGATCCCGCCTCTGCCTGAAGGTCCAAAAGCGGTGCATCCACCGTTCCGGGCAGCGAGAGCATCGTCTCCGAGCCGTCCGCGGCCTGCACCAAGAGCTCGTAGCTGTGCACCACGCCTTGGGACGTTTTCGGTTTTTGGGTGAGCGACGTTGCGGTTTGCCACTTGTTCTTTGCTTTTTTGCCGGGGGGGGGGGGGGTTGGGGGGGGGGATTGGGGGGGGGGGATTGGGGGGGGGGGGGATTGGGGGGGGGTGAAGAAATGTGTTCTTTGTTGGGGGGCGATGGTCAATTCCCTGGGTTCCTTTGAGTGTCCCTTGAACGGGAATTCCAACTCTCGAAAGCCGCGAGGGGCAAATTGCTGCGGGTGTCTTCCGCTTTGGGGGAACTCATCAATCTTGGTTGATGGAATCAAGATGCGCAGGCAAGGTCAACGGCAAGGTGTGATAACTAAACCAACCAAAACAAAAGCACCTGATATCACGGGTTAACAACTACACCTCATCCCAGCTAGGTCCTCCTGTAGAGAGGTTAGAATACGCGTACCTTTTTTTTCTGAATCGTCTATTTTACTAGGAGAACCCTCCCAACCAAAAAAAGAAACGGTCAAAGGGCACTACTGGGGGACCTCATCCCAACCCCAACACACGACCTGAGATCCTTTTCCATCCAAAACCCTCCCAACGAGGTGGCTGTGGGTCAAACCCCATACCCCCAGTGAACATCCCAATGCCACTAAAATGGGTGGTGAATTCACCAATCCCAACCAACATCCTTTGGAGGACACGTTGAATCTAATACTGCCGCGACAGATAAGGCCGGAAACCCCACAAATAAAGCTGGAAACCCCCTCTCCCTCCATTAAACCTGGTACCATTGGTGTTGACAACCACGGCCAGGTCCTCTCTCCGCGACCCGTCGACCCGTCGGCGTCGAGGCGACCCGTCGAGGCGCGGCCGTTCTCCGTGGCCGGCGCCCAGTGCCAGGCCATGGTGCAGTTGCCGCTCCGCGCCGCAACGAGCCACGGGCGCGTCACGGCCGGCGCGCCTCGAACGTTGCGTAAGCTAGGTCCTCCAATAGAGAGGTTAGAATAAGGGTGCCAACTTTTGTCTTTAGTCTATTTCAGTAGGGGAACCCTCGCCCGAAAAAGGGTAAAAGCTTTCTGCTCCCCTGCCAAAAGCTTCTAAGTTCTAGTGGTTTCACACGGAAAACCGTTGACGCCTCGAGGAAAATGGTTCACACCGGGCCGGAATCTCAGTTTTCTGTGAAAAGGGTGGGATCAATCTGGGTTTGGCCGGTTTTCCCATTCTCATCTTGCTGGTTCAGGCAGGAAATGAGAATTCGAATGACCCCGCAAAAAACCAGCCCCGAGTCGGTTTCCTTGATTCGGGAATCCCCTTCCGGTTCATTGCCAGCACCCAGAAGGTCATTCCCCACTGAGCACAAGCAAGAAGGGGTCTTGGGCCGGGGACTGCACCTCTCTTCTTTTTTTTTTTTTGGGGGGGGGGGGAGGAAAACCTCAGGGGAGACTTGAGGTGGAATCATGTGGAATCCTTTCGCTCCAGCCACACATTTACAGCTCAACGGAGGGTCAAGGTAATTTCTTTGGTTCAAGCGCCTGGACACAGAAACGCAAGCAACCATCATTCCCGGTTTCCAGGTTGCAACAAAAAGCAAACACTACCGTGGATGCACAACATCCTGCACCAGTTGGAATGGATAAAGCCCTATGAATACTGGCACAAACCACCTACCAACTCGTGCAAAGTGGAATTTGTCTGGTTGCTATTTGGAAACAGCTTGTGGAAACAAACGTATCGCAATCCTCTCAAATTCGCCCCAACTATGCGATTTCACTCAGAGCAAGGCTTCCTAGATTTCTATCCCTCAGTTGTTCAGTGACCCTGGAAAAGAAGGGACCGGAAAAAGGGTACCACTGAACAACTGAGATGCCCTCTGGAAACTTATGGGGGCAGAGCTACCTTTGAACAATCATTGAAATGGGCATGGGTCAAAATCCAAATCGTACCCCCAGTGAACATCCCAATCCCCACTAAAATAGGTCCTAAAATGGGTGGTGAATTCACCTACCCTAAAATGGGATCCCATTGGTTTTCACCCACAGCCAAATGGGTGTCAAACGTTTCCGACCCCCAAAATGGGTGGGTTCCCTTTGGTTTCCATCCCTTAAGAAACCAACCCAAACGGGTACCCTCCACAGCAAAAACCACCCAACTGGACGCCGGCGCACCTTTTTTCCAAGTCCGGGGCACACCTCAGAATCAAGCTTGGCCGGTCTTTGGGCTTGGCTCTTGGCTTATGGTTTTCCTCGATCGACCTACCAAAACTGATCGGCCTGAAAATCTCTTGGGGGAGGAGGCAGCGGGAGCAGCCCAGCTTGCTTATTTTTGAGGCAGGGTGAAAACCCTGGTATCCTGACCAACTGAACTAACGCGGAATAACCAAATTTCTATTTGTCTATGTATTTAAATACATAATTCAAACAGTTAATTGACTGACTAATTAAATAACAATAAGCCACCTCGGGGCTCCAAAAGCGGCCACGGCCGTGGCCTTTCGCCTTTCGCCGACCGACCGCGCCTCCGACCCAGATCTCCGAAGCCTCGCTCAGCGGCCCAGCGCCCAGGTGGTTCCTCGGCGGAGTGGATGGCGGCTCGGTTTTGGGGGAGGTGTTTGGGGGGTGGGGGGTGGGGTGGGGTGGGGTGGGGTGTAGGGTGGGGTCGGTGGTTTTTGGTGACAGAGGCGGTTTTGGGGGTTTTTGGATGGTTGGGGGTGGCGGGGGGTGGCGACAAACCATAGGGGCGCCAACTCGGTTCCGAATTGCTTACGAGAATGGCTATTTGGATATTCGTAGCGTTTGAACGTACATGTCCTACTGAGTTCAACTAGCATTTTACCCATTGAACTCACTTTGTGTGGGCTACTGTTTGCTTTGCTTGTGGACGTTACCCGGAAGTCAACCGCAAAAGGGAGAACCCCCCTATGCTTTGCAGGGATGCGTCTTTTCTCAGACCTCAGGCGGTTCTTTGATCAATATGAAGTCCCTCTGAATGTTTGGGTTCATTTTGGGGAGAGGGAGGTGCTACTTGGTCTCAACCACTCGGTGGCTACTTCCGACAAATCCGCTAGCAATCTCTGAGGGACATACCTGATCTCTGTCGATTAATATATTGGGAGGGTGACATTTTCAAGTGGCCCCTTCTCTTTAAGCCCTTGTGTCAGAAGTATCCGCTGGTCACAATCCGAAAGGATGACTCATCCCAGATCAACAGTAATCCTTGCGCCGTATCTTTGCGAATATCGGTGCACGTCGTGTAAGTTATTGCCTTGTTCCATTCTGTTTGGGAGGCTGGAAACAACAAACAAGTAAGTTTGTGAGCAAAACCACACCCGTCTTTTGTGGGCCGAATCCTATTTTGAGAAGAACCCTCACTTATGCCCTTGTGTCCTTTCTCTTGGTTTCCCTTTGAAATACTCCAACCACAAGATACATCAAACTCACTTCCGTTTTAGCTTTGGCAGACTTCGAATGAAATCCGAAACCCTGCCATTTCAGCACCCTCCGGTTGTGGGACCACTTGTTGGGTTAATGTTGATTTGTGACACTTTGCCAAACTATTCAACTGGCCGTGGGTCAAAACTCGGCACCCAAAATGGAACCCCGGTAAATGGAAACATGGACCAAAACCTGCGTACATGGGATGTTTCGCACTAAATGGGAAAAGTTACAAATGTCTTCAATTGGGGGCCCTAATTGGAAGATTGATTGACCCCCAGATCCTGGTGGTTTAACTTGCTGCGATAAGTAGGGAGCGTGGTTGAATGAACCCAAAAAACTCCCGAATTTAGTGGAAACCACCAGGTTGGATGGAATTTTCCTTTCATTCCATAGCTCTCATTCCCTGCCTCACTTGCCCAAAGCACCCAGAAATAAAAGGTTAACCTTTTGGGGCCACCAAAAATGGTGGCCAAAACCGGAAAAAACCTCAAAAGGTTAAAAGGTCGATTCGCTTTGGGCCACTGAGCTGCCGATTTGTCGCAGGTTTCGACCGCTTTCGGCCCAGGCTCAGAGCCCGAACCTGGAAGCGGTACGTCGTCTCCAGTGCCAAGCCCGTCACGAAGCAGCCGCTCGCAAACGGGGCTTGGGCCACGGGCACGAAGCAGTCGGAACCTGAGGAAACGCTGATGCCTTGCCCTCCATTTGCTGAGGTACGCTTTCTGGGGAAAAAATATGAAACAAGAAACACCCGAGTGATAGACTCCCTTTAAAACCACCAGAGGGAAATAACAGCATATTGTTCAGCAAATGGAAGTTGCTAACAGCTACATTTGCAGTGCAGTCATAAACACACCTGTCTTGTCTTTTTTTTGCGGATGTCATGAACCCTATAAGCACCTCGCTTTTTCAGTGGATGTCATCAACCCGCGGAACACCGGGAGTTTCAAGAAGTCGAAGGGTTTGCCTGGGAACCAAGCAAAACGAGCGCAAAAAAAACCCAATGTGGCGGTCTTTTCTTGCTGCGAAATCGATGAGGGAATGAGGCAAGGATTCGTGTGAATCATTCTGGTGGTTTCCTTTCGGGAATCGCCTTCCGGTTCATTCAACCACATTCCCTATAGGTCTGAATGCAAATCCCGGGACCAGGTAGCAGGTAGCAAACCTGACTTGAAGGGCGAATCCATTGCAACTTTGGGAGTTAAGCTGCTGCTCAAATGGCTTGAAATGGAGGCCCTGCTACTTGTTGCATGTGGGAAATAGAGATTTTGGACATGGATCTGAACGGGACACACGTGAAACTTGTGCAATTCTTTACAATATCTGATTGAGAAGCCCGATAAACCATGATAAGCCAGGCATATCCAACCAACATGAAGCAACAAACATCAAAACATCATCAGGTAGTTTGTTGCAACTGGAATTGCGCCGGGTCCGGGGTCTCTGGCGGGATCCTGGCGCTCGCGTGTCGCGGCAAAGGTGTGAAGAAGCAGTCGGTTCTGAGTAGTCAAATCGGCTCAACATTAACGAAAACAATTATTCCTATAGAACCCAACTACGGTCAGAATAAGTTATGCCCACGGTGGTCAAGTGAACCCTAGGAATACATAGAACAACAATACTCCTGTGGTGGACCACCGTGGTCCCCCTGTTTACGGGGGCCCATCATTTCAAGCCTGCCTCGCGCAGGGGGCGGTTGAACTATGTGGCTTGTGAACGCCCAAGGACACGGAACATTTTGCGCTGGTTGCCATTTTGCTCGGCTGGTGCATTTGAAGCATTCTCATGCTTCGTACGAGTAGCATGTCAATGTTGGGAGGGAGGGCGGTTGGCCGGATCAAATCAAGGCTCAAGGAGCCTGACGCGAGTCCAACAAGTTGACATGTTGCGCGGGCGGAAAATACGTTTCAACGGACCAGCATTAATCAGCATCACGGCAATTAATCTCACACCCAAGAAAAAGACAAGCCATATGTAAAACAGAAGTCAAGCATGGAACATCCACAGCCCTATGTCCACAACTTATTCCCGGACTCCTCATGCTCAAACCATCTTCCGGGGAGCAGCCACCCCTGAAGCACGCTCCACGGGGTGTCATAATTTCAACAATCAGGGTGACGCCAAAGCCACAGCCCCCCCCTGAAAATTATTATAAAGCCAATTGGTGACGTGGTGCACAGGAATATACTTGTTCGGGGCTACCGCTTTTGAAATGCTCAAAGTATATGTTGAGCAACCCAGCCAGCCACCACTGGACACAGATCGAAGGCTTAACGTGGACCTATTGATTATCAAAAGTATTCAACCATGAGCAACCAACTGGGCTTGTCCCAAACTCGAAAAGGGCACCAACCAAAAAGCATGCTCGCTCAAATAAAGCCGAATCAAGCTTGCTTCCCTGCAAATTCCCAGCCGAAATGGGGGATCCCCAACCAGAGATTCCTCTGACCGATGGGGAAATTCCCTCCCTTCCGTTCAGTTTACTCGCAAGCCAGGAAGCAGGAAGCCGCAGCGGACGCAACCATGCACTCCTCAGGGATTGCATGGCAATGGCCGACCGGACACCCTTCTTTGAGGGAATCAAGACGGTGCCGGAAGTTCTGGGTTGACAAGAATGGAAATGTCTCACTTCCCAAGTTGACTGGCTAAAAAAGATTGAACTTGTTATTTACCACTAAAATGGTCTTTCCAAAAAGTTTAAAGTCCACCAACTCAGGAAGTGAGAAAAGGGATCAAACTCCTGGAATCATAAAACCGAAGAAGTGCCACTGTAAGATGACAGCTTAGTCATGACCATGTCGCAAGAAAACAACAGCTAGGGGAAGAAGCGCAACCTGAAACAAACGGTAGATGCTTGCAGGGTTCTGAGAACCGCCGTCCACTGGATCGCGTGATCACGCATGCTCAAGTCCAGGCAATATCAGGAGTGAACTGTGGGGGGTTCCCATCCAACACCGGGAACCCAAGTTTCAGCCTCCCCAAAAAAAAGATAAAGGATGCTGGGCAACTGCAGGCTCCACCGAACGGTGTGTCAAATGGGGAGCCCCCAGCGACTGTTCGCTTCCATTCTCCAAATCCCCAAGCGTTGTCCAAAAAAAGTCGTTCAGGGGTGCTGGTATTGCCTTTCCGGTTGAAATTCACCACAAAAAGGCTTTTCTGCCAAACCCCAAACAAAACAAGTGGGTGTGGCTCAAAATTAATCAGGAGGGGTTGCGCAGGTTTTAGTCCGTGTTTCCACTTACCAGGGTTTTAGTTTGGTGCCGGTTTTTGGAGCCAGAGCCAAAATGGCTTTACTCACCCCCAAAATTCACACATCAAGCATAGGTGGCCTTTTGGACAAATAGATGGCCTTGGTAAATGGAGCAAAGCCCATCTAAACCAGGGCCAGGCTCACCTGAAAAGCACACCTATGACATCAAGTGATTTGCCCCCCTCCTCCGCGGAGCTCCGCATCATGGTGCCTGGCCCGTCGTTCCGGAAGAGCTCGAAGCCCACAGCCATGCCGCCGTTGAGGTCCGGGGAGGTCCAGTTGAGATACACCGCGCTCGCCGTGGAGAGGTTCCTGGGTCATATCTTTCTTGGGAAAATCGGTGGCCCTGGTTTGCTTATGCTGACTAGCTAGTCCTCCAGTAGAGAGGTTAGAATAAGAGTAACATCTTTTTTCTGTAGTCTATTTTAGTAGGGGAACCCTCCCAACCCAGAAAGGGGTGAGAAAGGGCACTTAGCTGGGGGACATAGTTGAACCACCAGGTAAACCAGGAATCGCCCTCTATTTCCAGCTGAGTCTTCCGGTCGCACGGCAGTTTGCACGACCAGACCAAGAGGTCATATGTCCAACCAAAATCCATCACCCCGCGAAGAAACTGAATTGAAATTGGCACAAACTGGTCCTCAGATCCCCTGCCACAAGTTTAACTTTTAGTTGGGTTAAATGGAAACCTAACCACTAAACCAATTTAAAACCTAAGTTGAACCGGACGGCTGGTTCCGAACCGAGAAAAGCTAAGTATCTTGGAGCCACCCCCGAGTTTTGGGTCATGAAAAAGACCTGTGCTCAATCCCTGAAGGGGGATTTCCTTTGACTGCACCTCCCCTTTTAAGTTGGGGGCTAAGGGCACCGTCAGCCTTTTGGTGCGGCATGTAATCCCAAGTCCTGGCACTGACAGTGAACAGAAGAAGAACCCCGCATTAAACAACTCATGTTGACCCCATGTGAATTTCAACCCCAGATTATTCATAGCATATGGGGGGGGGGTGAAATGTGCGGAATCAGACCACTTTTGGAGGGGCCCCCCGCGAATCAACAGGGGTTGATTAATATGGGGTCAACATTGTAAACTAGACCAAGAGCAGCGAGCATGCGATTGGTCAAAGGTGTCACCAAAGCCTCAAGGACCATAACCCTTACGCAAAAAAGTGCGGCTCCATTTGCCTCTGGGGTCTGATCTGCCTGATCCCTGGGCAGGTCATTCAAAGTGGGAGAAAAAAAGAGAGAAGGAAAGGCAACTTACCACCAACGCCCAGCTTTATCGCACACTTCTCAACATGAAGCGAAAGCCACAAAACGCCGGTTGCAAGACCATGGTTTTCGGCGCCTTTGGCGGGTTTTGGCGCCCACCACTGGCAAGGCGCTGGCTGGGGTCGCATGTCTCTGCGTCTTCCCCGCGTGTGTGGTATTCTGCTCCTGCTTAAATGATAACAAGCATCAGTTTCAGGGTATAATGCTGCCCCATTTTGATCATGTTGGCTGTTGCTTCTGGTCCAAGTGCTTCGCCCTAGCTTCGCTGCTCAAAGGTTTCTTGCTCTCTTGAAGGTTGTGGGTCGTCCAAGCGAGAAGAGGAGAGCTGGCACCGAAAATCAAGCAAGCAACACCTCAAGGTCATAGCGACCAACACACTGCACCTCCCACAGCCCAGTGAGGAATATCGTTGGCAACATTGTAGCACTTGAGCCACACCCCCTCGAAGGCTTGGCGCTCAGACAGAAAATCTAAACGATCCAAGTGCGAAGGCTGCGCGACCAAGAAGCCCAATCCTTTAGTTTGATTCCACAGCATTGGATGTTGCAGTTGTTCTCATTGCCCAGGTTTGCCCCGAAGAAAACGGCATGTTCTCTCTGTCAGCCAATCAAGAAGGGCTCATTTCAAAAACACAAGACATCTGGGTGTGTCCTTCTTTTAGGGGGACCCCCCCCAAAAAAAAGGAGACACCGCCCTCAGCCGGGTATCAGATCGTGGCTGGGGGGCTCCATCTGCATCGGCACCCCAACCGCCTGGCTCAACGTCCACCCGCTGACCCGCACGTTGGCGGCCGCAAAGGCGTGCACCTCGGCGAGGTATTGAACTCCATGTCGACCCCGCTGGCTTGAAATGCTAGACATTTTGATATTTTAATTCTGAAGCAAGGTAGATCCATGGGGGGGGTCTTGAAATGCTAGACACATGTGTGTTTTTGTTTTTGTGGGTACCTTCTTTAGGGTGGGGTTAAATCAAGGCAAACTATAGGGGGAAAATGCGCCACCCATGGGGCATTTTGTACTTCCTCCTGAAACATCAAGAGGAAGTCATTAAAACAAGAAAAATGGGCGATGTTCAATCCGAGGGACCCTGAGCATTTGTTGAGGGTACCTTCTTTGGGGGTGGGTTAAAGGGACACCTATGGGCAAAACCCATAGTGGGGTCCGGTATTTTGAGACACGCCCATACAGCCCCTGATAAAATTTGACCGCCCAGCAGTGGGAGAAAAGCATTCGTTTGGCAAGTAAATTTTAAAGGGGCCCACCGGTGGCCAAAACAAGCAAAAGTTCAGCAAAGGTCTGGGAAACGACACCTCAAGGGGAAACCGGGGAAAGGGTCTGTGGATGACTTGGTTGTTCCGCGATGGATTGCAAGAAAACCTTGACATAGTCATCATTGAAACCCCCTCGATTCCACCCGTGAAGGGCCTTTACTCTGGGTTCTAGGCTTTGGGTGCCCTATCTTTCGACCAGTCCATGGATTGCATTGGTAAAACGGAAAGGAGCTCGCTTCCTATGCCCAATGGATCAACCAGCCATTTTCCTTTTGGTCTTTAAAGGTTGGTTCCCTTTACTTGAAAAACCAAGATGGGCTCACCGGGCGAATTTGGTGTCCATGCATGTGAATTTCTTGCTGCGACTGGTAAATGCAAAGGGAAACTGAAAACCAGTGGATTCAATCTAACACCTTCCCAGTGCTTTCAGGCAAGCCACTTGCCTAGGGAGGTAAACCTTCGGTATTTTTACCTCCAGATTGTATACGATATAACATGATGGTTCCCCTGGTTGCCTACTAGCGGCTTTCCCAAAAACATTGGGGACGAGGCACGGGGCTAAAAACATGGAATGGGGGGATGTAAACTAGCCAAAGTCACAATCCTGGCAGCATACAATTAGCAAATAGCCCCCGCAGCAAATAGACCCCAAAAAATTGTCAGTACTTATGATAAGTACCCAGTTAGGGGGGTGAGGATTGCTCAGTTCACCCTGCATTTGGTGGCATTGATTGGTGTGGATTTGAAATACTGGTGCTTTTGGAGAGGAACTGGGAAGCTTTGCCAGGAACACTACTCCACTCGCACAAAGCACCCAGAAAAATAGGTTGACCTTTTCGGGACCCCTAAAATTGACCCAACATTGGGAAAGCCACATGTTCTAAAAATGCTCAGTTTACAAGTGAGGATATGCTATGTCCAGCCAAGTTGAGCACCCCTCCCTTCGGGTTCGCATCCGGCCTGGAAGCGGTACTCGGCTTGCGGCACCAGGTTTGGCACCACGTAGTCTAACCTTCCACTTGCATCCGTCTTGTTTTGAGGGTGCGCCTTTTGCTGGTGTCAAGGGAAGTTGAAGGAAAACCGTTTGTGCTCATGTTCGTCTTTTGGGGCAGGGGTGGTCTGCTTCAAAGAGCAACCAAGACACAACCACATGTCGTTGCTTTTTTAAGGGGGGCCCCCCAAAAAAAGGCGGACCCATTTAGCTTTCTGGCGAGCCCAGAGAACGGGAGGAAGCGAAAGCAACCCGGGAAAACCACACACACACACACCAAATATCAGTCATGAAGCAAGCACAATCACAAAGCCTCAAGTCTGAAATCACCGCACCGAATAAACATTTGTTGGGGCGCGGAAACAAAAAAACAACAAAACTAGCAAACAAAACAACAAACACCCCCCCCCCCCCAAAAAAAAAAAGAAGAAGAAATAAAAGCAGCTAAAAAAAACACACCAAAAAAAAAAACACGAACACCAACCAACACGCATCTTGACTCCCAACCGTCTGGTAACCTGTCGGGCCCCAAAATCTCGGAGGCCATCGTGACCAAGGTGAGGTTCTCCACACCGGTGAGGTTGACCATCTCCGCCACCACCTTCAGCAGACGTGGAATCTTCGGGGGGGCTGGGGGGAGGGGGCGGGGGCATCCCTGGATCCCAGGATAACCCAAGGATAAGCCGTGAATAAGGCCTTGTTATGGGCTTAATGAGGGCTAGCCCCCCCTCTCGTCCATGAGGCTCACAACCAACGTTTCCTCTCAAGTGTCATACTCCTCAGATGAGTGGCCATTGGGGAAAAACGGCAGGCGGTGAAATGGAGGGGCCAACCCGACTTTCCGTGTTCTTCGATCAAGCTTACCTCGTTTTGGGGCTGGCTTGAAAGGGAAACCATGAGGAAAGCCACATTTTCGGGGGGTCCAAATCCCTGTTTTGTCAGACACTTAATCCTTATGGGAAAACAGCTGAAGACCAGACAATCCATACGAAACCCAAAACAAGGATCTTGTGGATTGGCTTTGAACCCAGTCAGCACCGCTCCCTTTTGCAGGCTTCGCCTGAGCTGAAAAAATCAGGAAACGAGCCCAAGCCAGGCACGTTCGGAGGGTGATTCACTAGTCCGTGACACCTCTTTTCGAGACCAAAACGAAAACAGGTGCGCCATGTTGGGCCCCCAAAAAAAGAAGACAGAGCCATTTGTTTGCGGCTTTCCTCTTAGTTGATGGAAATCCTCGGTGTTTATCGTCTTGGTTCCAGGCAAAAAGTGGTCATTTGGCCGACTTCTGGCCTCTTTGACAAACCTCGAGTGATAAAAACTGCAATCCCCTCTTCAATGGAACAACTTGCCAGCTGCCCTCAAGCCAAAGTCACACGCAGGTTGGACAAAGGGACACTGACCAATCGGTCAAAATGCGGCTGAAACTGTAGGAGCCAAAACCGCAGCTTGTTGTCTACTTTTCCATTTGCCAGGGTTCCACGTTGGGCCGAGAACCCGATTTTTCAGCACCCACATCTAGGTCCTCCAGTAGAGAGGTTAGAACAATGGTGGCCTTTTTTCTGTAGTTTATTTTAGTAGGGGAACTGTCCCCCAAAAAATATTGACCCTGCCTGAAGATGTGGCAAAATCTCTCCGCCCACTTTCCCGAAGAAAACCACAAAACGGGAGCCTGGTAGCCATGCACGGAGCACACGCCGGAGCCCAAAGACCTCGAGCCATGAGCGATGATGCCCTGGTGGCCGTCGCGCTCAGCTCGAAGTTTGAGTTGGAAACATGCCACGAAAGGACGCAGTACGAGCGAGCACTCTCCCCCCCGCACGCACAAACGCACCAACGCACCAACGCACCAACCAACCAACCAAGCAAGCAAGCAAGCAAGCAAGCAAGGAAGCAAGGAAGCAAAGAATCAAGGTGACGATAATTCTATCCGCAGTTTTTGGCTGCTCCGAATCGGGAGTCCCGAACCCCTTCAACTCGAATCGGCTTGAAAGGGATGCTGGACCGAACCCCCTAGTACTCCCAGAGGGTTTCGAGGGCTTCTCATTTGACTTGGGACGGGGGGCTCCCCTCTAAGCCATTCTGTAGCTGGCTGAAGTCTTGCGGATGTCTTCCCTGGACACAGTGGCCCTCTAGGGGCCTCAAACAATTGGAATGGCCTTCTGGGGTGCTCAAAGCCATAAAAATTGAGTGAGGGAATCATCTGTGATATATTCAGCCTTTCTACTCCCCCGCACCCCACGCCACCGGGACCTTCCAAAAAAGCTACTAAAGTCCAGGACGGCAAGTGAGTCATGGCACAAACCCACAGGCTGATACTTTTCATCCACCAAGAGCTCACAACTCTGCACCAAAAATGAGATATCTTCAGACTCGTCCTATTTAGCCCACCTCAAATATATTGCATATTCTGGCTTTGCCAGAACCCCAGTTGTGATGGGAATACCAAGGAACTCCTTTTTCTAGGTGCTTGGCTTTATTCAGGGCTTCTCCCCCCCATACAAACAAGCTGCCCACAGCGGGCTCGCAACCCACCTCACTTCCTGAGTGGACGGGCAAAAACAAGTCCAGACTTTTCGAGTGCCACTCAATTTGTCTTCCCAAAAAGTGACTCGAGTGTCCGACACGGAACGCAGAAGTGATGGGTCAAAATGAAACCACCAGGATAGGTTTAGTCCTTGTTTCCATTTACCAGGGTTCCATTTGGGGAAAAAAAACAACAGTTTTGACCCACAGCCATGTGGTCGGCTTCTTTCGTTTTGGGCACTCAGTTACCCACAGCCAAGTGAGCCACTGGGACCCGGGAGGAGTTGGGCCCGGAGCTCAGCCAGGGCGCGCGTTCCAGCGGAGCTTCAGCGCGTCGGGGGCCGGCAAGTACCACACCTCCGGGCTGGGCGGGGACGCGCAGGTCTGCGCGCTGAAGATGGCCGCGTTCTCGGACTCCCCGGCCGCGGAGATCCTGGGACGAGAGATAAAAGAACCGAGGCAAACGCCGCAGCTTGGCGAGTTGCGTTCTTTTTTGTGGAGCGGGGAGGGTCACCGAAGAGAAGGACACACCCGCAGGTGTCTTGTTTTCTTTTGGAAATGAGCCCCTCGGGATTGGCTGACAGAGAGAACCTGTCATTTGTTCTGGGCAGCCCGGAACAGGGGCATCAAGTCATTTTTGGGGGGCAATCAACCCCTCCCCCCCTCCAATTGTTCATGATGGGTGAGGGTCCTGGCCGCAGAAATTGGATAGATGGGTTTTTGGGGCTAGGCTGTTCTGCTGGGTCTGAATTTCGGGGAGATTGATCAAACCTCTGGAGCAAAAGGGTCTTGGTCTTGGGTCTTAACTACAGCTTTTGGCCCCAACCCAAAAAAAACACATTGAACAATTCATTTTTTGACATGCCTGATGTTGTCGCATGCTGCATTTGGACACCTGGCTGCACCAAATCCTGGCACCTACGAAAGCACGAAGCCAACAGGATCTATCCGGATGCGTAGCTCGTCGTTTCTCGAGTTGCTGCGCTGTTTTGGTGTGCCTTAAAGGAAGCCCAAAAGAAAAGTCACCAGTTGGCTGTGGGTCAAAACCAATGGTACCATTTTGGGGTAGGTGCACCACCCATTTTAGTCTATTTTGGTGGGGATTGGGATGTACCGGATTTTGACCCATGGCCAGTTCTTTGCAGGCCCCCAAAACGGCCTTCGCGCCAACTTTAGCCACCTCCTTTTGGTGTCTGCCAGGACCAGTGACAAAGTCCACCAAAGGGTGTTTTGTTGGGATCGGGCCTTTGCTTCCAACCAATCTTCAAAACGGGAGGCTGAAAACCGCCAGCCAAGGCCAAGAGTCGCAGTGACCCTGATTCGGTACCACTTGCCAGCATCCAAAGGATGCAGCTGCAGAATCACCGACTCGTTGGTCTCATCATAGGCGACCTCTTCCGCCGGAAGGTGGGTGTACAGATTCACATCGCCTGAGGCGAGGTCTCCCTTCTCTCAAACCACCCCCAAAATACGCGGGTTGGCTATGTTCTAGTGCTACCTTCCCCATTCTTTCCAGGGATCCTTCTTTCTAGAAAACCTCCGGAAACCCAGGGAACCGGCCGGATTTTGAAAAGAACGATGGTTTAAAAGAATGGGGAATCAACCGTTAGATATGTGGCTACGCTGCAAGTGAGGGAATGACCGACACCTCCAAAGCCGTGTGCAGATCAGCCGAAACCCTTGAGGTACCCTCTCCCCACGTTGCCATGCCGGACGCCTAGAAGGTAGTTGTCCTTACTTCAAAAAGGACCCTCTAAAAGGTTCCATGGCCTGCCGTGGAAAGGGTGGGTAATGAAGGGTAAATGATCTGTGAGCAGACAAGGTTCATCTTGCTTCCCTGTCGTCACCCACAGTGAACTTAACCGAAATTGCAATCACATTTGCAATGAACATAGGCATCTTTTGTGACGACTTTCTAATTTTGGCCCCAGCTGATCCTCATAAAAAAGAAACAACACCAACATGAAAATAATCACCGGGCAATCGGCAAGTAAACTCAATGTCGCGCCCTGAAGTACATTTTTGGGCGACAGCCCTTGAATTTGGATGAATCATATTCACAACACAATCTTATCTTTGGCTGGCAGTTGGGAACTGGTTTGGAAATTGCCATTTAACTTCTGGCGAAGTTCAGGAACCGTTTCATCATGTGCGAGTACTTGAAAGCTACACAAAATACACCATCCACTTTGGTCATCGGCCAAGGTATCCCATGTTGTTTGTGATATTTTGTGTCATGCTCCCCTTAGCCATGTCAGGACGCACTCCAGGAATCCAGGAGTGAAACCACATTTTGAAGGTCAACCATAGGAGCCGCTTGAATACGTCGTGGAATCCTGATGGAAGCGGGGGGGGGGGGGGAAGGCGAGGCTCTGTTGGGGTTCCCTGGACGCATCCCCTCACTTCGAAGGAGCTTCTTCTGCCGGGTGAGAGCTCGCCAGAAAACGGGCAGGTAACTTAAAGGTCTACTTAAGGGGCTAATTCATGATCCTCATGTTCATCTTGTGGTCATGACCTAATTTAATTTTGATGGACTTTCATCTTGTGGTCATGACTGCATTTAGTTTTGATGGACTTTCATCCTGTGGTCATGACTTAATCTAGTGTTGAAACACTTCCGAGTACCCCACAACCCAATTCTTCGAGCAATTGGTGGATCATCTGTACTCGCCTCCCAGGCCGTCGTCCATGTAGATGTTGTAGCCCACCAAAGGCGCGTTGAACAGGTCCGGGCTCGCCCACTTCCTTGCTAACTCGCGCCACTTTTTTGTTTTTGGCCGAGGAAAAGCTGCGTTGCCCTGCACCGCTCCGGGGCTCCAGGAAATGCGGCCGCGAGGCGTTAAGGCCTTTGGAGGAGCCAAAGTTCGATGGCTCGGGTTGCTGCGGGTGAGTCAAGGGATGCCTTTGTGTCTGCTCCGTCCTTGGAAGCTGACTAAAAATGGTGCAAGCATGCGCCAGTCGTCTGCCCACAGCACCAGTGCCGATTCCAGCAAGCAAGGCACCTACACAAACAAGCGCAACAGCACATGCAAAGAGACGGAGCGCCCCTGCAAATTTACATAAAACCGAAAACAAGGAGTCTTCCAGGAGGAGATTCCTGTACAGCGCTGGCATTTTGGGTTGTAGCTTCATGTTAACTAATCTGCACTAGTAAAACCAACCTTTAATTGGGCTCATCAACGTGCCACAAAATGCTGGCCAAAAGAGCACATGTTTGTGTATATATATATATATAAGGAACTTTGACATGACCCAAAGCATGTGCACGTATGTGGGGCCAGTCAAACAAAGAAACTACTATTTGTAGGCCCAGTGTATGAAGGGGGGAAAGCATCGGAGGCAACAAGTAGAGGTAAGACGCCACCTAGTGGGAGGAACAGCACGCACTGGGAGGGCCCGGAACTAATTCAACAACATCAACCATCCTCGTTAAGACCTGTGGGTTTTGAACCATAACCAACATGCAGTATCCCAGAGGCCCGCTGGCCGGGCAAAATCGCCAAATCACCTAATTACCTTGGCCATACGGATCCCGAGCAGCTTGATCTCTGAAATCTGAGAGCCCAGTGCTTTCAGGCAGCCCTGGCGCAACCCTTGAGGTAACCACCCAACTCAGTTGGCACTCCTAAACAAACAAACAAACAAACAAACAAGCAAACAAGCAAACAAGCAAGCAAGCAAGCAAGCAAGCAAGCAAACAAGCAAACAAGCAAGCAAGCAAGCAAGCAAGCAAGCAAGCACGCAAGCACGCAAGCACGCCAACAAGCAACCACTAACAAACAAACCCACTTCCCAAAAAAAGAAATAATACACACGACTGGGTTTTTCTTCTCCTTCACCGGTTTCCAGTTCGAGCGTGCCCGGTGCGCGGTGCCGCATTCGCCGAGTGTCAGCATCACCTGGTGGGGGTCAGCACTCAGCAGCTCCACGGCCGGTGGCAGCGGCAGCGGGGAGCAGAAGAAGGCGCTGGCGGGGGAGAAGTCTCCGGGGCCCAAGGCCGTGCTTAGCCTAGGTGGGGTGGCTAGGTGGAGGCTTGGGTGGGGAGGGCTTGGGTGTTGGGAGGGTAGAGGGGGGGTTGGTTGGGAGGGGGGCTTGGGTGGGGAACTCGGTCTGAGGCGGGGCAAGGGGGGTTACTGCAAGCCAGTTGACTTCCTTTCTCTTCCTTTAAAATTTCCTTTAGATTCCTTTAGCTCAGAACGAGTTCATGATAGGTGGGGGTGGCAGCGCTTGAGGTTAAGACGAAACTTCGAGTCACAGGAGATTGAATTTGGATTTGCTTGTGCTAGTAGCGCCCCCAAGCCAAGAAGGAGTGGGTTTGGGGCGTTGGAGGCCCCAGAAGTCTTGGGGGGGTTGAGGGTTTCGGTGTTCAAACATGTCTTCTCGAAGGCACAGGTTTCTACCTTCACTGGGAAACCAAAGGATAACAATGAGGACGAGTCCTGCTCGCTTCAACGAGCCGAATGGTGTGTCCCTACCTCTTTTTGCGGTTTCAAAGGAAACCAAAAGGAACACCCTACAAAAGACCCCCCCCATGTATCGGTATGTCTCCAAATATGGTTTCGAACCCCCAAGTGCCTGGTTTCCTTTTGGCTCTTTGCCCCCTTTTGGGTACCCGTAAAACCACGGCTTTCCGTGGGTTGCGGAAGCCTGTACTTGGTCTTTGGGAATTGTTTCTGGTTTTCCGAACCACCAAAAAAGGTACCCCATAACAAAAACACACTTCGCCCAAAAAGACACCTTTTGCGGGTTGAACCGACCAAATGCCTGCCGTGATTTGCGTCATTGTTTAGTGGCCTTTTGGTAGTGCAAAAATCGTCATTGCCATTGGGCGGGTGCTGGTGAGTGGACTCCATTGTGGGATTCGTATCTTGGACGTGTCATGCCGGTCCCTTTCCTTGCGAGATTTGAAGGTATCCATGTTTCTTGCATCTAACAAATGAAGGGTGATCAGCTTTTGGGCTGCCTTGACTCAAAATGGGAAGTTAAAAGATCAAAAACCCTGAACCGAGCAATCCAGTTGTTGTTATGTACGTTTTGAGGTATCAATCCTCTGAGCCTCGATCCAGAAAACCAACAAGTCAAAGGTCCGGAATCGGTCCACCGAACCCGATCCTTTTGGATACACCGACTTTTCGGGGTCACTGGATGGCTCCAAAAAGAAAACAAACCCCGAAGGCAGCGGCTTCTCCGGGTGAATGGAAACGCCAAGTTGGTCTCCACCAGGTGGCTCGTCTTCGTTTGGCGGCACCCCTTGTTGGCTGTATTTTTAAGATAAACCAAACGGAAAACCGAAGCCATTTTGGGGCGATATGGTCACAAGTCACAACCAAATCGCCACATGTGCAAACATCCGGCTCCAAACGCTTTGTTCATTTCCAGCTCAGCAGCGACACGCGCACGTACACCAGGCCATATCGGTGGTCCACCATGGTGGGGTTCCCGCTGGCGTCCTTCCGAGGTTGCTTTGGTCGTGGATTCCAACCCCGGTTTTCCACACTTCCGGTTTCGCCCTGGATATCTTGAGCAAACCCGCGGCTTCAAACCCGCAACACGGAAGGCGCCATAAAAATCTAAGCCCAGGCGCTATCCCCAAACAGCCCTGAAACCCTGGAACCGAATCTCCGGAACTCTCCGTGAAAGCTGCCCCAGGCACCCCTGATCGCCTATCTGGACCAGTCGACCCCAAAACGCTTTCTGGGGAGAATCGCTTCGGGATCGACATGTCCGATGGCAAGCGGAAGCTGGGGGGCTGGGCGTCACCGCCAAGCGCGGGACACATTGAGTCTATGTCTAAATAGGACCCGCCGCTTTTTGGGGGATTTCCTTTCTTCCAGCAACACGGGGTGCCCTCAACACGACCACCTTCCCCAGTAAAAAGCCATCAGCCAGGGCAGCGCGCTGCAAATTTTGTCTAGGTCCTCCAGTAGAGAGGTTAGAATAAGGGTACCCTTTTTATGTGGCTTATTTTATTAGGGACACCCTCCTGCAAAAAAGGGTAAAAGGACACTACTGGGGGACCTAGTTGTTGTTCGGCTCTTTCGCCAAGCGTCCAGCTGGGCGTAGTCCGGCGTATTGCTGCAGTCGTGCCTGGGAACAAAACCGGTTGGATTGAGTTTTCTGTCGGGTTGGTTGAACTTTCAAAGGGCCTGGCCCACCATCGGCCAAAGTCACCTGCACCCTGCCCAACAACTTTATGACCCAAACCCAAATTCGCTGATGTGTCACAACCAATCACCGGCTTGTCGTTGCCCATTCCTCTTTGTGACAACATGCTGTGCAAAAGCAAGACTAGATCAACCACTACTTGAAACAAGCTGAAACAAAACGAAAGACAAAGCTCATCAACAGCTGAGCAAAAGTGAGAACCATCAAACAAGCCAAAGGAGGTTCTTACAAAAGCTCACTTCCCGGGTCCGGGTGGATTGGCCAACCAAAGTCTGCACTTTTGATTTACCAATGAAATGGTCCAGAACCACGCCTAAAGTCCACGAACTCAGGTTGTGATAAAGTTAACAATAACATGACATTTCGGTTTACCCCCTCCCCCCCCGACAACATAATATACCAGAACGTTTTCCTTTTGGCTTTCCTTTAAACCCACAAACAAGAAAATTACCCTGAACAAAACCTTGTGGTGCCCCTTTAACACCTGCAACAAAAAGCATACCCACCTGATGTTTGGCCAAGAACACCAACCAGGGGCTACCCTCAACAAAAATCCGCCCGCTGCAGCCCATTGGGCGGTCCGCAAAAACCGGCGAGACGGCTCCGTCCCGGCTGCTCCAAAAGCTCCGCGTCCGTCACCACCGTGGGCTGCAGAACACTTGGCCAGGCGCGGTCGTCCGCGGTGATGTAGACCTGCAAAAAAAGAAGACCACGCGCCTCGCCTTTTGCGGTGGGCGAGAAAATGGGTGGCACGCCCCCGAAAGGCATCCCCCGTGGTTTCCCGTGGTTTCAGGGTTGGTGTCCAACAAGGTCAAGCAAGTTGTTTTCTGGGTATTTTGGGCGAGTGAGTATCCGCTTGCCCCCTTGGTGGTTTGGGGGTTGGTGGTTTGGTGGTCTGGCAATAGTTACCCACAAAAGACACGTGTCGCCCACAAGGTCTTGTTTATGCTGTATGATCGTGCTGGCAGGTTTAAGGTTCTTAGGGTTTCGTTTTTTGATTTTTCGGGTTTAGGTTTTAGGGTTTAGGTTTAGGGTTTTTAGGGTTTAGGTTTAAGGTTTTTAGGGTTTGGGTTTTGGGTTGTTAGGCTTTAGGTTTAGGGGTTTTGGGGTTTAGGTTTAAGGTTTTTAGGGTTTGGGTTTTGGGTTGCTAGGGTTTAGGTTTAGGGGTGTTAGGGTTTAGTCTAGGGTTTTCAGGGTTTCAAGGTTTTTTAGGGCTTGGGTTTAGGGCTTTTAGGGTTAGGTTTGAGTTTTTTTGTGTTAGGTTTTTTTTAGGGTTTTAGGGTTTTTAGGGTTTAGGGTTTTCAGAGCTTAGGGTTTTTCGGGTTTAGGTTTGCTTGGAGCTGGCTGTCCGGCGCATCCGAGGCTGGCTGGTCTAGTTTAGACTTGGGGTTGTGTTGATGATAGCACTATCCAACCGGGAAAAGTCGCCGCGCTCCATGAAGGGGCTATGGAGCATGGAGGGGTGGGGCCCCGGGGGCTCGGAAGTGCGTCTTCGCCGCGCCTGCCAAGCTTTCTGGATCGGGGACCCGCTTCCGGGTCGCGGGCAACACATACGTGTTGGCCGAAGAGTTACCGGAGGTTCAAATCCCCAACCAATCCAAGGGGGTACCTCCAGGAAGACTCGTTCCATCCGTCTTTGTCAAAAAATCCAGATGCCCGGACTTGCCTTGCGACACCCGGGTCTTCTTCCCTTTCTGACGGCGAGCAAGCCGCACCATTTTTTTAGTGAAGCAAAACCGAAGCCACGGCTGCCCCACAAAAGTGGCAACCAAGAGGGAAAAGAAGCCGCCATCGCCGGTTGCTGCCTTTACAGCTGTGACTGTTTTGGCGCGGAAATGTCTGATAGCAATTTGGGCGTGTCTTGCTTTGGGGCACCTCTCCAAAATTGTAGTCCTTCTGTCATCCCTTTGACTCCCCCCCCCCTCAACAGAAAAAAAGGAGGAAAGACCCATTCGGCTATGATACTCTTTTTGCAGCCGAGATACGTTGAAGCTGGGTGTCTGGTACCCGTCCTCCCACTCCCGGCCGCCTCTCAAAGGGCGAGGCTCGGCCTTGTTTTTCCGCTCAAGCCCATGTGGCCAGTTGGGATACTCTCCCAGCAATTCACATGGAACCTGAATCCGGGGGTCCCTTGAAAAGGAAAACGGGCTTCGAGGACCAACATCAGGTTCCATGTCAATTGGTGGGAGGGGTAAATGAAGGCATCTATTGCCATGAGTTGAAAGAGGGAACCACCTTAGTGGTTGAACATGACTCCGAACCTAAATCAGGTCCAAAGGGCTCCGAAATAAAAGTCCCGACCACGCCATCTCGGCTGGAAAGAGTTGCGATAAAGTGCACAACGAATCGTTGGGGTAAACCACCCCGCCTGCTAGGGCAAGACATTGCCCGTGCGCAGTAACAGCAGAATGGCATATTAGCAAAATGGGCGCAGGTGAGTCTTAAAGGGAAACCAAAAGGAGCGCCATTTGGTGGGGCCCCTAGTTTGACCAAATTTTACGAAAGCGCTGTTTGCAGCTACCACAGAGAATGCACAGAACGAACAATAGCAATCACCAGAGGTACTTCCCAACCACATGGACTGCGATCCGGTTTTCCTAGCAGCCGGTGACCTTTTGAGTGGTCTCCCAAACCCTTTTCTGCATGCAAATGGGGGATGATGGAGCCAATAGTTGGCCAAGGGCATAGCGGGATATACCTAGGCTGGAATTCGGAGCCCTGCAAAAATATTTTTTGTTTTGCCTGGATAGTGGAAAAGAATGGGAACCCAAAAAAAGCAAAAAAGCAAAACGGGGAGCTAATTCTGGGGAAGATACAACCTTTGTCCGAGAGAAAATGGGGAGTGTGATACGTGGGCATGCGACTGCCCTACAGGGGCAACCTACAAGAAAAGCACCACAGAGTAAATTGGACAGAGCCAGATTGAAAAGCACTGGTCTGTTTATCATCGGGCTTCTACATGTCGGTAACTTTTAAGTGTAGCCTTCGGCTTCAATGTACCCTCCCAGGAAAAACATGGGTACTCTCTCTCGCACAAAGGGCCCCTGAAAAGGGGACAGGGGGAAAACAGCAAGGTCCCGTTCATGCTACTGCCAAAGCAAAATCATCCAACCGGCTGGATTTTTCGGTTGGATCCCTGTGAAGCAGGAGGTGTTTGGATGCATTCTGCCGGAACGAAAGAGGAAATTGAAGAATTATCTGCCCACCAACTTTGCCGGCCCCTCTTACCCAAAGAAAAAGGACCTACCGCATACAAAATACAGTGGTCGGTCGACAGGGACCGACCCTGAAAAGAAAAAAGGATCTACCCACCCTCAAGTTCCCCTCCTGTGCATTAACATGTAACCTCACAGGGGGTCCCTTCAAAAGGAAAATTGTCTTCCAGGACCCGCCCCCCCCGGGCAGGTTCCATGTTGATTGGGGGAGAGTACCTACAATTTAAAGGAAAGCCACCCCATCATTTAGGGCAACCCATTTTTGCGTTTAGTTTCAAGGTCCAGGCACAAAGAAGCACCTCTCTACTCCGCGTACTCATGGCTTTTCAGCTTTTCGGTCAACTCTTCAACACCGGGTCGGTGTTTCCAAAGAACACTATAACATATAAAACAAGGTGGTGTTTGGAAAATGGTGTAAACCATGGCAACCAACACATCACCTGAAAATCATTTGCTTTTTGCAGAGCTGTTCTTCTGTCAACCCCCCCCCCAAAAAAAAAAGAAGGTCGGCACCGGAAAGCCCACCGTCGGTAAACAAACATCGCCGTAAAATACCCAAACTTGCTCTTTCTTTTTTGCTTAGCTGGTTGCTTTTCTGTCAACCTACCAAAAAAAGTCGAATCTTTTGTATTTTCAGAGCTGGTTTTTGCTGTCAATACCAAACAAAAATCAAGACCAGCTCAAATTGCATTTTTCCTCAAAATTGCTTTTTCTGTCAACCTACCAAAACCAAAAAGGGTCCGTTCTTCCACTGGAAAAAGCCCCCTGGTTTTTCCACCGGAAGAAAGCCCCGGTTCTTGCACCGGAAAAAGCCCCCGGTTTTTTCTTCCCCCGAAGATCCGCGGATCTCAATTTGTTTTTGCAGAGTTGTCGTTTTCTCTTTTCTTGTTTTCCATTTTTCTGTCAACCTGCAAAAAAAACAAAAAACAAAGCCCCGGTTCTTCCACCGGAAGAAAGCCCCCGGTTTTTCTCCCCAAAGCATCGCCCGACTTTTTTCGGCTCTCACCTGTGAGATTCGCCAGGCTGAAGCGCACCAGCGACCCATCGGAGGAGAGGTACGTCGGCGCGTCCACGGAGATCACGTTGCCCGTGGTCATGTTCCTAACGTCCGTTTGGAAACAAAAAGTCTTATGGAACAAAATAGTCTTATGGAGAAAAATCGGTCTAGTGGTCATGTTCCTCATTTCTTCCATTTTGCATATATGTCTTACTGAAAACAAAAGGAAAAACACGAGAAAACCATGTCCACTAGTGAAATCGATTCCCTTGGAACACGGTTGGCTTAATGTTTTATGGAGAAAAACACGTGATAAAAATATATCCACGAGTGAATTCGATTCCCTTGTTTGAAAAAACACAGGTCTTATGGAAAAGAATAGTCTTATGGAAAAAAAATGAGTTGTCATGTTCCTAATTAATGGAAGAAAAATGAGAAAATATGTCCAGGAGTGAAATCGGCTCCCCTTAAAACCCAACAGGGGGAAGTAAACCATAGTCATTTCAGCAAATGGAAATAATGGAAAAGCGATTGGTCTATGGATGGGACGTCACCTTTGGGTTCTGTGCGAGTTTCTTTGTGGACACCCCTTGGTTTGTGGTCTGTTTCTGGCTTGTTGTGGGTTTTATGAGAGTTACCTATGGTGTATGTTGGACGTTGCCCATCCTTCTTTGACGTTTATGGTTTCCTGCTTTATGGGTTGTCGTGGGTTTCATGATGTTGTTTCTTGTTTTTACACGGGTGACCACGTTAGCGGAACTCAGGTAACCAGTTCGGAACGATGGACATATCAGGGATTGCACGAAGAAGTATCACAAGAAGGTCATTGTCATTCTCTGACACATGCCTGGGCGGGTTGCTGCTTTTGTTTTCTCAGGTATCCCCTGATTAGTGGGGCCAGAGCAAACGGGAAGCTGTCGGTGAATGGGAGGTACCGATCTGTCTATGTCGTTTCTTGGATTTCCGGGCTTGTGGTTGCTGTGTACCTAGAGTTAAGAACCCTTACATCTGTCGCCTCGGTTTGCAATCATGGCATTCATAGCATCCCAGAGCTCGGATGCCAAAGACTCAACTGGCGAATCGCCTTTTGAATCGTCAGACTTCGATCTGTTCCTTAGAGACTTGCCTTTCAGATATTCTTTACTTGGGCGGGCGTGTGTCTTTTTTTTGAGTGGGTCCCCCCTTGTTTGGTGGCTTTTCGAAGCGAACCGACGAGGAACCACATTTTGTCGGGGGGTCCCCGAAAACAAGCGGCACACACACACGCCTTCAATCCCCAAAACCAAAAACGACGTCCCTTCGGTGGCGAAGGGCAGTGGAATCAGGAAACTGAACCTACTCAACAGAGCCAATCTTGGACAGGCTTAGCAAAGGGTATGACCAACTGACAGGCGAAGCAAAGCAACCTGCTGTCTTCCAATGCAGTGCCTTGCTAAGATCTTTGGCGGAAACCAGGAGGGGAAAGCTATGGATCCGGTCCTCCCTGTCTTGGCAGCGTCTTTTGAGGGAATTTTCTTGTTTGCCCTTTGGCAAGAAAAACGCAAAACAGGAACAACCCTTCTAACCGTGCTTTTGTTTCTCTTTCTTTGGAGGGGAAGACGGAACACGGGGGTGGCCCCCAACGAACGGGGGCCCCGTTCGCCAACGGGGCCCCCGCTCCAAAGCTGTCGAGCTGAGCGTCACTTGCCAGTCCGGATCCAAGGACATGCCCGCCTCTGTGATGGCCTGCACCTGGCATCGGATGTGTTTTTCTTTTTCATTTTTTTTCCGGCAGTGGCGAGTTTAAAACCCGGCCACAAAACCAATGAAGTATCGCCCCCCCCCCTTCGATCCGTCCTCTTCCCCCCCCCCCACCCCCCTGCGTGCATGATCGGCAGCTTCGCTCCTTCTGCCACTCTTTTCGCTCGCTTCACTTCACATTTCGATCCGCTTTTCGTACCCAGTCACGGTGCACCAGGGAAGACGTGGATTGTGTTGGTCGTTTCTGTGTTTTTTTTCTTGTTTTTGTTGCTTTGTTTTTTTGGTTTGTTTGTTTGTTTTTCTTCCGGGGAAAGCAAAGAAGGCCGAGCCCACTATTTTCACACACTACTCCAAAGTCGTTCATGGACATGAAACCCCACCATGTCCACCAAAGTGTACTGTGTTGGTCGTTTCTGTTTTTTTTTTCTTGTTTTTGTTGCTTTGTTTTTTTTTTGTTTGGTTGTTTGTTTTTCTTCCGGGGAAAGCAAAGAAGGCCGAGCCCACTATTTTCACACACTACTCACCTCCAAAGTCGTTCATGGACATGAAACCCCACCATGTCCACCAAAGTGTACCCAGATTGATGCACATCCAGATCACTTTGCATCGAGATGACTTGCTGGTTTCATTTCAGGAAGGATTAAATTGGAATCCCAAACTGAAGCATCCAACATGTGTCCTAGAATAATCCAAGATTGGCGTCCGAGAAATCGGAGGAGTCGATCGGAGGCCCTATGATTCAACCAAAGTCACGTGAGCTGGGCGCACTTCGCTAGGTCCAGAATTGCGTTCTCGTGAAGGATTATCTCACTTGCTGGGTGGATGGCCCAAAAAGAGTTCGATCTTTGTATTTACCACCAAAATGGTCCAAACCCAAAAAGTGTAAAGTTAATGAACTCAGGAAGTGAGGGAAATTCTTGAACCATCGGCGTCCGAGAAATCGCGGGTCGGAAGAGGGGCTCAGGGACCCAGCTCAAGAACTCAAAAGGCCTGGAAACGTTGAACTGGCTACCATCCGACTAACATGGGTTTGTGCAAAAAGGCCTTTTCCAAGAGGAAAGTCGTCTTTCTACAGGTCTGGGCATTTCCATGTTAGCTGGTGGGATGGTATTTGGCACGGTCTGTTGAAAATTGCCCCGGCAAGGTTCACTTCGGACTTTCTGCACAAGCTACCCTGATCCACCAACTGGAAATAGAAAATCAGTCAAGGACCCTTTCTCACGGGTGAGCTCATTTTACACCCAGAGCTGGATACAAATGTGCTGGAGGGTTCAGTGGGCTGTCCCAACCTACGCCTGCATTTATGTCCTTAACTATTCGTCTGTATCCATGGAAGGTTGTTAAAATCATGAGAGCCATATTTGGGCTTAAAGTGGGGGAGCCGCGTTTCAAAAGAAAGGCCCCGCCGTACGTTTCATAGGGAGTTCATTCATTTGGGATTGCTTGGATGGTTCTTCCGAGGTTCGCAGGGCGGCCCAAACTCGAGCTGACTTTTGGGCCCTAGCGCTGCTGCCAGCTTGAAAAGGTTTGAAAGCGTGAGCGCTCAGCACTTGCGGCGCTGCCGTTGCTACAAGGCAAAGCATGAAACGTACAAGGTCTCAGCACATGCGCCATCCACAGGTCATGAGTCATCTCAAGCTGCAATTTGTCGTGAAGTTCTGGGCACAGCCAAAGCGGTTGGGTCCTAGGGCTCTGAAGGCTCCGCTGACCCAACCTTTGCGCTGGCTGACTCCTTTTGGTCTGCTCTGATTCTGCCAAATTAAATTCCGCCAGACCCTCGCTCACGATGCTCCTTGTTGGTACCACGGGTAAGCCAGCCCAGCTTTCTGTTGTTTGGTTCCTATCTGTTGGACCTTGCCACAAACCTTGCTGGGACGTCTTTATCAGCTCCTGCGGCGAATCGGCTCAAGCGCAAGTCGAAAGCAACTGCGCCAGCTGTGCTTTCAGCATCAGCCTCAAGGATGAACTCCTCACTGCTCAGCTGCAGAGTGAAAGGTCGATCCGGCTAGAGCGAAGGGAAGTGATGCCTGAAATGGTCAGGTAGCCTGCAACCTTCGCACCCGCTTCCGGCATCTCCGGCAGCGCCTTGGGAAACCAGCGCAGGCCGTCAATTTGCGGGGAATGCCCCAGGCTCGCAGGAACAACATGAGACGTGAACGCGGCATGCAAGCCATGCAAAGAAGGGGATTGGAGTGTGGCCTTGCACACCAACTCCAGGTGAAAGCAAAGAGACATGGCACGGACAAGCCACAGCCACAGCCATGGGGCGTGTCAGGGGCTGCGACCGACAACCGAGCTGGTGGTCTCCACACTGACACTATGCAATGTGAGTGGGTGTTTTATTCCCTTTAAACTTGAATTGACGTATCAAGCCCTTTCACAAAGTCTCCGTGTGAAGGCTACCTTCCGCGAGCATGTTACTAGTGCCTCCGCGGGCCTTCGCGCAAGTTGCTTCTGGAAACTGAGGAAGGTAGCTTCCGCGAGGGAATTGGTGAGAACGGTTTGCAGGTAAACCTGCTTGTGCAACAACAACCCAAACGAAATCAAACGGCTATGCGCTGCCAGCACCTCTTTTTCTTCGAAGGAAACCAAACAATGTTTCTCCCAATCTGGTACTGTGATAAGAACCCCTTTTCGTGCCCGCATCAAAGCAAACGCAAAAGCGGACCGCAAGTCCGGAAGAAAAAGCAATTCAACGTCCCTTCCGCGAGCTTCCGGGGGCCAAAAAACCTGGCGTAGACACATGTTTGCTTGAGCGGCAAAAACAAACGCCGCTCATGTGTCCACCTAGCTCAGGCTTGTGATGTAATCCCTCAGAAAAGGTGCGAGCCTCAGCCTTGATAGCAGCTTGGCTGGCAGGCTCCGCAAGGCTTAGCGTCAAACTCGCGCAGCCGGAAATTCACAAAGCTCTGGGCATAGCCAGGCCGGCCGGCTTCAACAACACTGGCACATGGAAAAGTCATTCCAAATCACTGCCATCCGAGCTGCGCCTTCACGTACTCATTTCAAGCCGCAGGTTTGGCGTCATTACAAAGCTTACTCAAAATGCAAGCTCCTGCAAGCTTTCTTGATGCGAAGGAAGCCAGTGAAGCAAATGTTAGACCAAAACTGCACATTGAATTGAACCTCAACCTGCGCCAGCCTTCAAAGCGCAAGGGCTGGGAACATCCAAATTAGAAGAAGCGCAAGCAATTGCCGAAGGACTGCAGCCTCCAACCTTCACGCTCGACAAGCAGCATGCAGTATGGCTGGGAAGCTGCGGCGCTGCCAGTGCTGCAAGGCAACGCATCAAACGCAAAAACTCTGAGCATTGCGTGCACCAACCGCACGAGCAACCTCAAGCTGCAACTTGCCGTGAAGGTGCGGGCCTAGCCAAACTGGTTTGGTCCAAGCGCTATGTGCTTTGCTTTAGTCAAGCCGCATTGAACAAGGTCGTACGTGCGCGGACGCGTGCGACCTTACAAAGCAGCATGGAGAAAACATCTACGCTGCTATTTCACATGTCCTGAAAGACAGATTTCCGGTTTAGCTCTGGCTTGCGTCGGTGTTCTCACATTCTGGGCGGAAGTGGGGGAACGCAAAAGGAGTCGGTGCACAGGCAGTGACGCCTGGAAAATTCTGAAGGCGAGCTCATCTTGCAATATCAGCTTCTCAGCAATGGCGCACAGCTTTCCAGGAAGCATTGCGCAATGTGTCTGCAAAGCATTCTGGCACTATTTGTCACTGACCTATGCGCTGACTCCGTTTGGCTTGCCCTGATGCTGCCAAACTTTGCCAGGCCCTCGCTCAAGATGCTCCTGGTTGGTAACATAGGTAGGCCCATCCATCGCGTGTTTCCCATCTGTTGGACCTTGCCACACGGCGCTGGGGCGCGTGTCTTTATCAGTATCAAACATCCCCTCTCCAGCCGAATCGCTCCAAAGCCAAGTCTGAAGCCAACCGCGCCCGCTGCTGTGCTGGCAGCGTTATCTCTCACTCACTGCTCAGGTCCAAGAGTGAAAAACGGATTGGAGGGTGGCCCTGCACACCGACTCCTGGTGAAAGCAATGTAAAGAGACATAGTACGGTTAACCCACAGTCATGGGGTGTGCCAGGTGCTTTAGCAACCGACTGCCGAGCTTGTGCGCTCCAAACCGACACTTATACGACGTGTCCAACTAGCTCACTTGTGATGCGATCTAACACTCCAGCAAGCTTGAAAATAACCCATGCCAAGTAACCTCTTAGGAGTCGAAACTTCCTTGATGCAAAGCCAGCCACTGAAGCAAATGCTGGACGGAGACTGCAATCTTATATACATCCCACGCTCGCCAGCCTTGAAAGTGTGAGCGCTCAGAACTTGTGTCGCTGCCGTTGCCGCAAGGCAAGCATCCAACTCACGGGAGCGAATGTGCCGGCCAGGGCTGCGTCTACCAACCACAGGAGATTCGAGCTTGCCACGAAGTTCTGGGAGCCAAGCTAGTCGAGTACGATGTCCCCTGGCTTTGCTCAAAGCAACATGATCCTCATGATGCCATCTGGCTATGGGTCAAAATCAATGGGATCCCATTTTGGGGTAGGTGCACCACCCATTGTAGAACCTATTTTAGTGGGGATTGGGATGTTCACCGGGGGTACGGCATTTTGACCCATGGTCATCTCATACCACTCAGTACTCCTGGCAGCTAAAACAACCTCATTCCGAGCAGCCTTAGAAAAGACGCGAACGCTGAGTCTCAGCCTTGATAGCAGCTTGGCTGGCAGGCTCCGCAAGGCTTAGCGTCAAACTCGCGCAGCCAGAAATTCACAATGCTCTGGGCATAGCCAGGCCGGCCGGCTTCAACAACACTGGCACATGGAAAAGTCATTCCAAATCACTGCCATCCGAGCAGGCTTTCTTCAACCTGCGCCAGCCTTGAAAGCATAACTGCTGGGAAATTGCTTCTCTGCTGCTGCAAAGCAAGGCGTCCAACTCAAAAGCCTTGAGCGCTGCGTCTGAAGACCACCGTCGC